TCTGCAAATAGCAATGGCTCCAGACTGTTTACCGTTATAACGGCATCGCTGATAGGGGGTAGGAGAGGGGGGGGGGTAAGATCGACTAGACATACGCCGCACGCATGAGTCATCGCCTGCGCTTTATTACATAGAGATTATAGCAATTGGATTATGAGTAAACTTCGATAACAGTTTCATTAGCATTTTTATGAAATAACATTTTGATTTTAGTTTTAAATTTTGCAAATTTTGATTTCATGAAATTTTTCATAGCGTGAATTCAGACAAATAAATTATTAGTGCCCTAATTTTGAGTCGTAACTATTCTTTCATGCAGCTAGTCGCTCAAACACCATTGAAGTCTTAGGCTCTACTGTTTATTGTTTGAAATGTCCTCTGATACAGCACGTAAATCAGTTTTGATAGCATTTTCATAAAATGACATTTTGAATCTGGAATATTCCAAAAATTGACATTGTATTTTTCTAGAGAATGAATTTAATTTTAAAAAACCATCTGATGCTCAAACTTCAAATTGTAAATTATTTTTAGATCATTGCATGTTTGCAAGAACACAACTTTCGTTCTGATAACATTCATAAGAATCACCTTCGTTGTGGTCCATAGAGGATAGCTCATACGGGGGCGCGGATTACAAAGACATTACGATCGTCTGCGTAATCAAAGAATGTTGGTGTCAATAATAATAGTGGATGCATAACACTAATGTAGTTTCTCGAGGTTTATCTCATTCCACAGTATGAATGGAAGGGTGATAATGAAATGGATTAGCATGTGTTACTTTTCTTTGAACTTTCTTTCTTTTTATGCAGGCTTGAAGCTAAGAGGCTGGCACTTGGCATAGAAAATAAGTGAGTATACCATTTACGATTACGATGTTTTCCAAAAATATCGAGCTTCTTCATTGTTTTTTTTTTCAAACTTCAAACGACGGGGTGGTAGTCGGTAAAGGGGTGGAGATAGGTGAGCATGCTGATCTCGAAAGATGATATACGCGTATAAATGTATGTCTGAATTACTGTGGCTGTAAAATGTCTTTTGAGTTCTCTACAGGCCCTATCAAAAGCAGAGTCGCTTGCATCAGCATCTCCACTCCTGCGCTGGATTCTGCGTCTTTTCCGCGAACAAGCTTTCTAACCACTTCCAATCGATTGATGCTCCGCACTTTCTCATGCTCGCCCTAAGGAAAAGATCAGAGAGCATGTTTGCGCAAGAGATGCAGGGTTCAGCGCGGGAGTGGAAATGCTGATGCAAGCGACACTGCGTTTGATAAGCCCTATAATTTCTAAACTAGCTTTTGTACTAAAGAAACGGGAATCAGGCCTATTTTTCACCTTTATTTTGGTAGTACTTCTTCTGCACCCTGCATACAATGTCTTATTTTTTTGTGTTGTAAACGTAGTATTTTGTAGCACGCATTAAAAAGATATTTGGGACAAAATTCGAAGTCAAATAATATTATGTGGGTCTGAAAATTTTGTTAGTTTTTTCAATCCATCGGCAAACACGCAAGAATGAAGATGAACAAACGCTTCAAATTGTATCCAATGCAGAATTTTTTCCTCTCTCCAGGTGCTAAAGTCCATTGTGTTTCGTTGCAAGAGTGACGAGATATTTGCTGAAAACTACAACCATCGTTTTAACCATGTCCAGCTTTCGCTAATTTTCAGAATTTTTGTATGAGGCTTTCGGAGGAGCACTGATAACCAGCAGATAGGGCAAACCTTTTGCCAATAGAACCATTTTTCCCCTTTTTTCAGCTGCTTTTTCAGGTTTTTACTAAATAACTTTGTAAAAGTCTTGTGTTTTGGAAAAATCGCAGAACCTGTTATTGCACCAAACACTGCAAAACCTACAGAAAACTGAGGTTTCAACGCATGATTATTACTACCGCTATCATCGCGAAGTAAATGAGCGATTTTCGTCAAATTATGAAGATTTTGAAACACAGTTTACGTCAGAGCGCACTCCTGAAATTGGGAAATATTGCGATTTCTCCCACAGATTTTGCCTTCTTGGCAAAAAAAGACAAGTGTTAAAAAGAGGAAAAAATTCTGCATCGAACGGTGATTGAAGTGTTTAACATTTTATGTTCTACGAGGTCAAGATAAGCTGAATGTAAAATTTGGTCACTTCAGAAAATAAATCGTAGAAATTCTGACTGACAAGCCGTAGAGCAACAAAAAACTGCATCTGTTGGCAAAAGGTTTGCCCTATCTGCTGGCTATTTAGGCTCCTCCGAAAGTTCATACAAAAATTTTGAAAATTAACGAAAGTTGGACATGGTAAAAACGAGTGGTTGTAATTTCCAGCAAATATCTCGTCATTCTCGCAACAAAACACAATGGGCGGTTAGCAGCTGAAAAGAGGAAGAAACTTTGCAATACATTTTGAGGCGTCTGTTTATCTTCATTCTAGCATGTTTGCCGATGGATTGAAGAAACTGACAAAACTTTCAGACCGTCCTAATAAAGTTTGAATTCTATAATGTTTTCTACAGACATCTGTCTTCTACGGTCAACACGAAATTTTAGTGAAAAGTAGAGCGCACAGCAGAAGAACCATTGAATTCAGTTTAACGAATCCGGTCGTCACGAATTTTTCGCGGTTATCGAGTTTTCCATGAAGGATGAGCCATAAAAACAAGACCGAAAATGAAACAGGATTTGATTGAGCAGTTTATCGTTTTCAAGCGATTCCGAAAACCACAATTGGATTGCCTTTATCAGCTTTTATTACCGCTATATACCAACTGTGATTTCAATTTTGAGCACCGATAGAAAAAGCATAACTCTTCTTTTCAAAAGATATCGCATTCGAGATGAACAAACGAGATAAAATTGGGACGAAGTGCAAAGATTTAGGTGCAAGAGTTTGTCAACCTTATTTAGGGTTAAAAATATTATTGCGATAGCTACCTCTAGGTAAATCGCCTTCGAGCACATAGAGAAAGTGGTCTTCATCTCTTTCTATGACTGAAATCACGTTTTTTCTAAAAACAAAAAGTTTCGTAGCTTCCAAGGATAAGAGAAAATTATCGAGTGTCTTATTCGTCGAGTATGGTTCGTACCCAGTTTCAGGATCGTTACACCCCACTAATAGGAAAAGTGCAACACGTGTTTTATTCACTCCCTTTGCCGGAGCTTTATATACTTTGATCAGCATATGCACCTTTTCATGCTTTCTCTTTATTCTAGAAAAAGTGGACTAAAAGATTTCAAAAGCTTACCGCCCTGTTCCCTTATCAATAATTGGTGATATGCGAGTTTGATTGTGTCGTAAAAAATGGCTTGTGTGCCGTTTCGACAAGGATTCGCTATAATTTGGGCTATATGCAAAATACATTGATTGTTTGTTTGAATGGTATAAAATACACTAACGCGTATATCATCTCATAAGAAAATGAATTACCTTGTATTCATTTTTCCCTTTCTGTTCTTCGCTATCGTTCCTGCCACAACACTAAAGCCCACGGCTTATGAGACGTGCTACAAAAAGTGCAATGACAAAGTGTATAAGGTAAGCGTCATTCCATTTAGATGGCTACTTTTGTTAAAATCTAAAGCTGCACTAATGCAAAGAGAAGAGCAAATCATGGAGTTTAGCAACATCCAATTGAACATTGGTAACTGTAGCCTTATTTTCGCAAGTTCTTGCATGACGCTAGATAAAGTACCGTTCATTATTGCTAGAAAAACATCACCAACTCCCATTGTAAGCGTCGCATCGCCATATCTTGGTTTTGCTTGAAGAAAATCCAGGGGCATCATTCGAAAGTCAAATGCACAAAACCGCCCACATCACAGGCTGAACGTCCAAAATCGTGTCACTTGCGGCCACCGAATAAACTTGACTCATGGAGCACAACTGCAAAAAGTAACCCGCTGGCCACTGATTTAGCCGCGCCATAGGCTACCGGCTTTAGCCTGAGCAGTATGGGCGATTTCGTGCTATCGACGTCGTCCGGAAATCTGAAGTCAGGCTGAACCAAGAGTCCACAAATCCAATCCAATCGCTGAACCAAGATGAGGGACGACACTTCTGCGACGCAGATTTCGGTTATCACTTTTGGCCAGTTGCCTCGTGACGTTAAATTGGCCAATTGCTAGTTTAACGTCATGAGGCAACATCATTGATGATCCACCATTATATTTAAGCTAACTAGACTACATATAAAAAACGGAAGAAAAGAAAATACCGCAATAAAAAACGGAAGAAAAGAAAATACCGCAATAAAAAACGGAAGAAAAGAAAATACCGCATTGCCTGTTCTAACTCTGCAGCAGCGCAACTCTGCCATCGGAAAAAAGTACAAACCTGCTAGAAAACGCTTTGCAATTAGCAAGCGTAGATTCGTGGCCAAGTTTTCAAGACGGCTATTTTCGTACACATCGGAAAAGGCTACGGTGACCTCGGTTAATTCCCTGTGAAAATTGCATGAAGCTAAAACCGTGGAAGAAGAAAGCAAAGTAGACCTAATTTTCTAACAAGGAATGCATGTTTACTCGAAGTGACCTTTTAGATGAGATGTATACCATAATGAAGGGCATAACATGCTGATTCTGACACTGCATTCCTTATCTGCAGAACATTTATGGACGAAGAGTTATGAGCGCTTATTGGAGCAAAACATTGAATGTGTAAGTAAGGCAAAAATGGCAGTACTTTTTCTAGCTCTTCAGTGGAACAATGATAATCACCAGAGCACTTTTTTAAAGAAAAACTGCACTAAAATGAAAGATGTATCACACTTAATTGCGTTATTTGAGGGCAAGTAAGATTTAAGCAACTCATTTTATCCAAAATGCACATTCAATTTTTGGCTCCAGAAAACGCTCATAGTTATGAGGTAACAAAGGCGGTTTTGGAATCAGCGTTTTATGCTCTTTGTTATGGTGTACAACTCATTTAGAAAGGCCACTTTGACTAAACAAGCTTCTTTTATAAGGCCTTCTTTCTGAGAGATCAAAGTGTTGTAATTATTTGCAAATTTATAGGAACCACTAAAATTCGTCAGTAAAAACTCTAAGGCCGAGTTAAAGGACGCAGAGAAGGAGTTCACGTGTTACAAGAGGTGCTATGATCGTCTGACAGACAAAGAGCGTCAGGACAATAAGCAAAGGATCAGTACATTGCCACCAGTTTTGAAAGCGCTCTTGCAGAAAGTGTTGAGGTCAAAGGCAAAGAAATAAGAAACATCAACTTTACGAATTGCAATAAAGACTTCACATGATTAGAATGTGTGTAAAAGTTTTGGTTCTTGAATGATACTATATCCACAACGCTAAAAAAGTAAGACATTATATACGGGGTGCTAAAAAAGTAGTATCCCTCAAAAAAGCTAAGGAAAGAGGCGTGATTTCCAGTTTTTCTAAAATTTCGACATCAATCCCAAAACAAACACGATCTAGCATTTTACCAAATTAACTTAGAACTTGATTATTCAAGAGACAGTTTTAGCCACGTAATGTAGACATAGCACAAGACATTCCTGGTCAAATTCTGTGCAGTAGGCAGGCATTACGATGCGTGTTGGCTGTTTAAACCCCATGCTCAGTGTTGAAACAAGTTCACTGCAAACTACGCTTCTTTGATGAATTCTTTCGGCACTACCATTTGATTCAGGGGCAGGTCTGTAAGTGGAGAGCAAAAATTTCTGGAACACCTTCATACACCTGGGTAGTCAGCTAGCTTTTATGTCATCCTCATGCATCGAGGGGTACCTAGACTGTTTACCGTTTCATGTTCTACGAGGTTGAAGTGGGCGAATGTAAAAACATCAAAAATATTTTTGATTCTGAGTTACAAGCCACAGAGCTACAATTGCTCCCCTTTGAAATAAAGTCCTACCTGCTGGTGTAAAGCCCCCCCCCCCCCCCCCAGAAGTTTCAACCAAAAGTTCCGAAGTGAAGGCTGGACATGGGGAAAACAAAAGGGATGCAATTTCCAGCAGTTATCTCAGCACTCTTTTAACGAATCGCATTGAGCATTCAACAATTGGAAAGAGGATGAAATTGCAATACATTCTAAAATGTTCGTTTATCTTGCTGTACGGGATTTGTGGGTCCTCCCAAAAAACTGACAACACTCTTGAACCGACCTGTTATTACAGAAGCATCTAGCTATACGGTCATTTATAGCTTCATTATATTGATTTGCCCGAAAGTTTTTCGGACTTTAGGTGGCGTTTTACATTCCTTTTTATGCTGATTTTTAGATTGAAAGAATTATTTATTCAAAGGTTTTGGTAAATTACTAAATTAGTAGGTACTCAATTTTTAATAGCCTTAAAAATGCAACTGCAGCAAAAAACATAAAAACTCCCAAACGCTTACGGAATCTATAGTAATTATTTATTTGGGAAAGACGGCGGCTTTTTGATCACATTCAACGCATGGGTTACCAAGATTTCCAAAAAGTTCGCTTTATTGAATGATAACCTAAGTCTGCCCCAGAAAACCAAAACAGCTTCACTTATTCAGAAAAGGAGTTTACTTGTGGACAACCTAAAGATATTTGGTTATTTCAAAAATATGTTTTTGAAACTCTGAAATACAAGCCACAGAGCTACAAATAGGCTTAATGGCAAAAGGTTATCTATCTGTTGGTTATCAAAATCCTATCAAAAGTCTATAGAAAAAATTTGAAAATTAGCGAAACTGGACATGGTGAAAACTATAGTTAGAACCAAATATTTTTCGAATATTCGTATTCGAAAGATTTATTCCTACAAGAGAAGTCGAACATTCAAGAAAGTGCATTTATTTGATTATACGAATAATCGAATAAATGAAAAAGACTATTCGAATATTTGTTTATTCGACGAATTGAGTAAACAACTTTTTTGAAATATTATTCGAATATTCGTATATCCGAATAAAATCGAATAATTTGTTTTTTCGTTTCGTTGACTAAACAAATATTCGAACAGAAGTCTTTTTAATCTATTCGCCTAATCGAATAACCCCTGTGACATCAGTGTACAACACCAATAACCCCTGTGACACCTGTGTACAACACCAATAACCCCTACCTGTGTTCAAGATCTCGCCCCGTTAGCATGGTATGCGAAAACGAGTCGACTTCACGATGTTTCACTGCGTCCCCGACAACATTTGCAGATCTCTGCAGCTCAACGATCCTGTTACCAACTTGCAAACGATAACAGAGTTAAGATTTGTTGCTGTACAACAAGGACGGGTGCAATGTGTAAGCAATGAATATCGCCAATATAAGTCTCCATACTCATCAAACTCCAATGTGAGGTATCGTGTTGATTCATGAACAAGGAATTTATTAGGTCGTTGTTACATAGGTTTTTTAAATTTATGTTTTACTGCAATAAGTCATGCTCTTCTCGACTCCTATTAAGATGCAGGGTACTATTCGAAGAGCAGAGTAAGCTTTATCAAATATCGTGTAACTGTTAACACCAACTTTGGCATACATTGAGTTAGAAGCCGAAATCTAAGAATTTTGTATATCCGGAAATTTGAAGATCATATCGTCCAAACAGCTTGCCGGATCTCCCACTCGCTCACGCATTTACACTCCACATTAAGCATTCATTCATATATGCCGGTTCTGCATTTCTCGTGCTAGAAACTGAAAAAAATGTAATTTTCAGGCTTCTGAAAAAGTGGTCTGTGTTGCCTCGCATATAAGTAGTACATTACAAGCTTGTGGAAGTAAAATTGCAGATTTGTAGCTTTTTTACAAGCTTTAGTTTCCGAAGAATTAATTTCTACATGAGAAGGCACTAGCAAGAAAAGCTGATTTTGATATTTCGAGAACTAGAGCTTAATGGAAGCCGAAAATTTGCGTTATCTCTAGAAGCATGTATCAGGTTGTCCTACAATTTTTATAACATTTTCACTTTCTCCCATAATAGCTGGCTAATTCATACTCATCTTGTTTCTCAAACAGGATATGCGATACCCTTTCGATAGAGCAAAGCAGGCTTTAGAAGATAGCATCAAAATTAGCCCGTGTTCTACATAGAGTTCGAAGCCGAAATCTGAGTAAGTCATTTGTCGTAGGCGGAGAATGGAAAAACCTGTCCGAGCTACTGCAAAACCGCGCAAAGTTCAAATTACGTGCGCTGCAACGTCTGTTTTCATTTCATAAACCAAGAAAACAAAAAACAGCATTACCTCGACCAGCTACATCACAGAACACAAAGATTTCTCATCATGACGCCAATTTTAGGCGATTTAGGCGTAAAATAAGTGATTTTGTGGAAAGTACGCGTTACAATTGATTCCACGCCTAACTTACGGTAAGACGCGGTGGCTTTAGAAGTAATATTATTATGAGGGCAGTCTATTTGCCATGTGCCATAAAAATTGACCAGACGTAGTTTATCGCGGATCGCGATGCAATTGAGCAAAATCATGCATGAGAGTTGCACATGATGACCCCTCAACCCCAGCTGAGACGTTCGTTCCGCGGATCGCATTGCAATCAAACAAAGTTCTGAATGCTTGCTAAATAAAAAAGCCAATGGGAAATGCCAAGGAATGAATCCACGAAAATTTCTTCAAACTGCTTTAACTTCAGGCAGACTGATTCTTTTTTGAAGCTACAAACTTCATTACAAAGAAAATTTTTTTCACAACATTTACAGGGTCCCAAAAAATGTGCCTACTGTTTGATTTCTCTTGTGATGGAGTGTTTCGAGAAGTTTTAGGTACCGTTTTGTAGGGCGACATTGAACTCAGATTTGCAGTATAGAGCGAATCATCGATCGCTCATCATTATTGTAGGGTTACGGTAAGTCCAACATATGGAATCAATATGAAACATACCACCTAACTAATTTTTCAAAAATTCTGAAAAATCGTGTACTAGGGTTTTCGCGCACGCTGATTTCAACTAACAACTTTTAAAGAGTTTTTTCAGCTTTTTTGACGGTGTAATTACATTTCTGACAAGTGCTGGTAATTGAGTTAGTACGATTACCGAGGATAACTTGCAAAAGAAACATCACAGTGAGATGGGAATCAAATTCGAAATCAGCGGCTCCCATTACCATAGTATAAGAGTTTTTGGCTTGTTTGATTCTGTTCCGGGGCAGAATATAGCCTCCAATGGCCTAAAATCCTTGTCGAATTTCGTACCGTAATCCTACAGTAATGGAGAGCGATAGATGATTCGTTCCATACTGCATATCTAAGCTTAAGCTCTACAAAAAGATATTTGAAGCTCCTCGGAACACTTTATTACAAGAGAGTTATTTACAATCAAACAGCAGGCACACTTTTTTGGGACACCCTGTACTTGTCTTGCTGGCTTTTCAGCACCTCATTGCGATCCACTTGCATGCGCAAAGGGAAAAAGGTCGTCACAAAAAAAGGCCTTTTTGTGCAGGATTACCTCAGGCACGATAAACGCTGGATTGCTCAAATACTGTTATGGAGGTATTTAAGCCTTTGAGCGACCACATGCAAAAAAAAGTTTTTCCAGAAAATATGAAAAATCATTCATTTTTTGCCCCTAAAATTGCCTCCATTTTTGGAGCAATCAACTTTGAAGTCTTGTCGTTCTGCATAGGGTAGACCAAATCTTTGATCACTACGAACATTGTTGGAGTGATGCCTCACACATCTTTTGGAACCATCATCCAGGCGTGGCGATCCTCGCAGAAGCGACGCCAGCTGCGAAAAGAGTTGCAGCCAAAGGCAAGTTCGACAGCTTGTAATTTCTGACCGCAAATCGTAAAACTCGAGTACGGCTTCAGGTCAGAAGTTAACAGGCTTCACAATCAGATCACCCATGATTTGGACGAAATTCTTTGAATTGCACAAAAAAATCGCCGTAGGAAAAAATTGTGAAATTTTCAAGGCTGGGAAGAGTATTCTTCTTGACGTGCAGATCAAACACGTCTTGGCATCGATAAAAATCAGAAGCTGTATTGAAAATTTTAGGCTTCTATCTCCTGAACAGTATAAAAAAACTGAATGTCAAAGTCCGACCGAGCACCGAAAAAATGCGTTTGAAAATATTCCAAAAGTGCCCGAGAACTTTCTTTACAACCTAATAGATCTGTCAATATTTTAGACACTTGGCAGGAAGTTGGCTCCTCTCCTTGTGCATTTGAGACTAATCACAGTGCAAAAAGAAATTATATCCCTTCTTGTATGACTTTTCTTAAATGAAGACAGTTCTCAAGATTTAAAAGAAAGCGAATGCATTTTCTATTTGCACCTAACTTTAAGACGTTCAACTCTTACTTAGTGTTAGACTTTGATCATGCAAGACTGTCTAGCTTTGTTCGCTTTGAAACAGAGCTTTCAGTGATAGATGTAATGTGGGTTGGAGATTGTGGTAAAAAGTAAAATTTTCATGAGAGAACTTCTTTGGAAAATTAGATGAAATGTTTGAGAAAGGGACCTTACTGTATGTTAGTTCTTATCTATAGGTTAGAGTTTTGCAAATTTGGAACGACTCGTATAAATATTTGGCTTAAACGGGGTAATCAACTAAAGACTTCAGCACCCTTTTTTAAGTAGCATTCGAAGATTTCAACTTGCGAACATTAGCATTAAAAATAGGATGAATAGCTACATTAGAGCCAGAATTTCTTTTCAATTTTCACTCTTTACTGCGATAAGTGATACAGTTGATTTTGACTGGGATACCGTAGGGTAGGGTGCCGTTCGATATAGCAATGCAAGCTCTATGAGATGGTTAGTGAAAGTTTGTACCAGTCTCGGCATACTTCTTGTCAAAAGCCAAAATTTGAGGAGTTTCAGTGTCCGGAAAATCGAATATATTTGTATTGCCCGAAACAAGCTTACCTGATCTCGCACTCGCTTACTTATATATACTCCACATAAAACAATCGTTTGTGCCGTTGCTGCATTTGCACCTGTGCTAGAAACCGAGAAAATTATTTTCAAGCTTTCAAAAAAACTATGCTGTGCTGTTTTCACATGTGTAAATGTATTAGGTGGGTCCGAAAGTTCGTGCCGTTTCTTGGAGTTATCCTAATTATTCAGAACAGCGATAGACAAAATCTCTATGCACTGTTCTATGCGGAATTCCCTTCTTTTTTCAGCAGTAACGCTTTTGTTCGGACTCCAATGTTCTCTTGAATAATTGCCGCAAACTCCAACCCATGGTCTTTACTCACCCTAAATTTAGCGCTTTTTTGAAATTCTCATTTTGAGTTTTTGAACAACCTTTGATGCAGCTGCATAAAATAAACAAAATGCTACAAAACTCAATTTTTTGACATCGATGGCTGGCTTTCCAGTATTTCTAAAAACAAATTTCCAGAAGTCTCTTCACATCTGCGAAATGTTGAAATATACAAACCCTCTAAACATTGCGAAAAATTCGCAAACTAGAACTTTCAAGAGCCAATCATGATTAACCAGTGATTTCAACAAACAAATCAGTTTCCGCCTCAAAATATTGATTTTTGAAGTTATCGAGTGCGCCTGGCATCAAAAAACTGGAGTTAAGACAACTTTTTCCTTGAGGCCTTCACGAATCAAAGAAAAACTATCTTATATATAAAGCTGAATGTCTGTTTGTATGTGTGTCTGTATGTCTGTACGTATGTTCCGAATAGAAAATTCCATTTCTGAACCGATCTGGACCAAACTTGGCACACATACACTTCGGGCCCCGGTGGGTGTCATAGGCTACTTTTCGTCATCGACCGATATCGATTTTATCGATTTTTTGCAAAATTTGAGCTACAGGGCTGGGAGTTGGCACAGGGGAGTAATCGAGCATGCTGATTACAAAGATATTATTGACAGGGCCAGGCGGAGCCGGGTAAGCCATCTAGTCTATTATAAAGAGAAGAAGCCGCACTGAAGGACAGTTAGCTGTTTGCCGTTAAGGTTCCACGAAGTTTGGGATGAATAAATTTCATATTTGGTCATCAAAAGATAATTTTGAAAAATTGAAAAGCCAGCTAACGCCAAAAAGTTGTTTTACATTGTACATTGTTTACTCTATCTAACCGTTACTGGAGCATTTCGAAAAGTCCAGAATGAAAATTTGAAAAAATAGCAAAATTTAGGGTAAGTAAAAACCATGGGTGAAGATGCGACGACTTTTCATGCGAATATCAAAGTAATCGAAACAGAAACATCACTGCCGCGAAGAGGAAGAAATTCCCAAAAACTTTTGTGTCTGTCTATTTTTACTCGGAATGGTCTATAGGTCTAAAAAACGACACGAACTTTCGGACGCACCTAATATATTATTAGGGTGTCCCATGAATTTCTACTGTTTATTGTTTATTGTTTATAGTTTATTGATATACACACAAAGGTGCACCGATTGAAAAAAGAGAAGAACGAGTGAACCGTCGATATTGCTCCCTTGCTGGATTCTTCAGGTCGTTTTCCTTCTTTGGAAGGTGAGAAGATTCCTCCGAGATCCTTTTCTCCACCGAGACGCAGATGTTGACCGAATTAATCAGGGCTTGGCTGACCAACGTAACTCCCAAGCGGACGAATTCGTCAGGGATCCTGGGCGAGTGGGAGGGGGGATCTCAAGGTAGGAGGCTCACCGACTTCAGAGCTCCTCAAACGGTAGTCCATGCGAAGAGACTGCTTTGCGGTGCTGACATAGTTAGAACACCATAAAAGAAATACGAAGATATAAAATAAACATTACTGTTGATTCACAAAAAGATTGGAAGAAGGATGCAAATAGATCTTGAAAATTTTCAAGTGCCAATATCTTACTGGTAGATATAGAGAATGAAGGTAGAAAAAGAAATGAATCATTCGAGTGGCCTCGAAGACCAAGCTCTAGACGTCCGAAATTCCCAAAACTTCCAAAACATTGTCGGAGGTTAATTTCTTTCGAAATTTTGCAGGGTATTGCAAGAAATTAGTTCTTTCGGTAACACTTTGATCCATCCGGCCGTGCGCACACAAAAGAATTGAAAGCGATGGTAAATACCTTGCTGCCTAGCTTTCGGTAGCATAACTCGAAACACCCAGTGAGATTTCCACAAGGTCTGAATATTCAGAAATTACTGGGTCTTAGTCTCGTTTCTAACTTCAAAATTCAAAAGCGAAAGACTAGGTAGCTGGAAACCCGTCTACACTGAGGCTGCGCAATCCCAAGGTGATAAGACGCGATCTGCAAGATGGTAGTGAACAAGGGTACACTGGATTCGAGTATCTCGAAAACAATCCTTGTAAAAGTCTTTTGCACTTTTTCCAGATTCTCAATATTCTTTTTGAGAAAAGGATTCTATACTGGGGATGTATATTCTGAAAGACGCAAGTCATGACACTTATAGCGTTTGACTAGGAGAAATGGGTCACTGCTGTGAGTGTTTCTCAGAATGATGAAGAGGACTGATAGGATTTTTTTTTGAGCAAGTCGTAAACGATGGCGAACTTGAGCCGATCGTTAACAAAAGAACCCCTAAATCCCTAAGGCTTAAAACATTCCTATGGAATCTACGAGGCTTAGGCTATCGATTCGTGTAAATACTGTTCGCCTTGGAGGTCTTCTGAAGCGGGATTCCTGAGGTGGACAAAGAAGGAGTGCTTTGTCTTGAGTGGAAAAACGGATAGCTGATTCACCTTTGAAACAAAGTTAACCATGTTGGAAAATGGCCATTTCACTTAGGTGGCCTAGTATCTTAAATCTTCAAAATTCGCTCAAACTTTGTCTACAGTGGTTAATTAACATGCTCATCATGGATATGTTGCCCATTATGTTTGACAGGGCATTCAGGTGGTATCTTAGGTATATAATTCGGGGGAGGGGGTCTTATTAAGACAGCAATCAGGGGGGGGGGGGGGGTCGTAACCAGCGATCGTCTGCCACACCCCTTGCTTGACCTTGGTGGTAACCTCAGACAGATAGTAAGCCAACGCACTTTAACTGGTAATTTTTGAAGACCTGCATAATAGTGAACTGGTTTGAGTTGGACAGCTAATCGCGAACTAATAACTAATCGCGCCCTTGACCCCTCTCACAATGGCGCTGTATGTGATCTTACCTCAATCCTACAGTAATGAAAAGCGATCGATAATCTGGCCCATAGTATATTTTAGGCTGGAGCCAGCTTCAGTAAGCCCTACAGCGCTGACACCTTGGTGAACGAAACATCGAAGAAGGAAAATCAACGACTATCTAACAGTAGGGACATTTTTCGAGACACCTAGTATATTCGGATCACAATCAGGAGATTTGCGTTTACTGTAAAGACACTTCATGCCTTCACCCAAACGACTTAAACCTCTGAAATAACGAAGTCCCATTGGAACAGATGATTTGACTCAGTGCACGCAGTTGAGATATGATACAACCGCAATTTTTTACTGAGCGAGTCTCTTTACAATGTCATTGCCTAGACCACTCCATTACCACCTGCAAGTAGGGTAATGGGTATTTTTTGTAGCAAAACCGGTTTACCAACTCGCTGTTCTTCTGTGCGTATAATGACGCGGTGAGTAACGTACTCAACTAGGAACATTTCAAACAAGCAGATTTTTTGCTCAGTTCACTTGCTATTTATTCCAATCAAGATTTTGAGAGGTACTGTTGAGACCAAGTGATTGCTTAGTTCATACTATGCAAACAGACAAATGCAAGCTTGCCCATCCTTCGAGATGTAACTTGGCATGAGCTCGCTTTAGATTGTATGTCAATCCAATAAAATTAACCACTGCGAGTGTGAAAGACATAATCCAATGCACAACTTTACTGAACCAGCGAAGCGATAGAAAAAAAACGACAGCACAGCCGCCTTTACATAACTTATAAATTCATTACCAAAGAATGTTCAGAGGAAACAAACACAACTGGGGAGGCGAGACAACAGCGTTAACAAACCGAGACGATTTACAATGCAGGAGAACGTTTGGGCCACAAAGACAGAGAAGGGAACCCTGCTGAGAGGGGGAGGTCGTCTACTGCAAAGTTGACTAAGTGTAAAGATGAATGAATGGACAACGTGACAAGCTCCATGCGAATGCTTCCGATCACAACTCCTGCGATGTTACTCGTTATCTTCAAGGCTGAGATGCGTAATCTTGGAGAAGTCGAATTCTTGTGTCGTTCCGCGTTGGAAAATATCGAGTACATCCTTAAATAACCGAGTATAAGAGGATTCTATTGGGTAGCAAAAAACTAGACTATATTTACTAAAGGTCCCTAAAAGACCCTGATTCGGCATATAACTCTGTAACAGAACCTCAGTATTATGAAGAACCATATTAAGTTATTCGGGCTGCATAAAAATGCAGTAACTGTCGAAAGAGGATATACAAGGTCAAAAAAAAAAACATTTTTCACAATCTTGAGAACTAATTATGTGATGACACCACAACAAAATACAGTAGATAAAGCAAAAAAGAGAAAAAGAGCAATTCCAGAATGAAGACCATTCGTCTCTTCAAGATGACGTTATCATATGTGATTTCGCTAGAAAAGTGCAATACCTAAGGGAACTGGAAGACAATACCTTGCACGTGGTTTCGAAATGAGTTGTGGGATCATACGATCGTGAAATGAAGATCTGCGATTCGTGACCGAGGTCTGTTGGCTCATAGACATCTGAGACCGAGATGAACCTACAAAACAAGCTTGTAAGCATAATAAATGCTCACATAAAGCTGTATAACATTTTTTAATGTCGTGAATCACTCACTTCTCGGTTATAGTGCCCAATAGTTGTAATCCAGGAAGAATTTCGGCTTCTGGGTTGCCTGTCTCCACTGTAGTGGACACCATAGCGACAAACCACCCTTTTGGCGTTACCATATTGGTATTGGAGCAGCAAGATATATAGATATCTATGAAAAAAAGTTAAATGACAAGAGGCAAATCTCAACGCGCTCACCAAAATGTCGTCCAACTTGTTTTTGCGGAATTATGATTTGACAGGACTGAGCGTCATTTGTTCCAGGAATCGGATGATTTAGAAGACAGATAGCACGGACAACTTGTCCGACCTTCTTCACTCTGTCCATTGCATAAGATGGATCGCAATAGACCTGAAAAACTTGGAGTGAGAAAAGGACAGCTATCAGCCGAAGAACATCGACCTAGGAGCAAATTAGGAGCAACTTCTGCTCAAAATTATACCAATAGGCTGGAAACGAAAAAACATTTGAAAAAAGTGCAAGTTCCACTTTACCTGCTTTCCACGAACAGTCTCATCACCACACTTCACACCAACTACTTTGCCATTCTCTATGACTAAACTGTCTACAGGTTTGTCCAGCATGTAAGTGCCACCATAAATTGCAGACAAACGAGCAAAACCCTGCAAAAAATATTTTCAACAGCCTTTTGAGCAGAAGATATACACCTGAGGTAGCTCTCCGAGACCATATAATGGATACAGATATGGTGATTTTCCATAGCGAGCCAACGAGTCCGAATATAGCCGAATTTTGTCGACAGTAGGCCCAAATGGCTGTTGCTTATAACTATAAATACGAAATCCAAATTCTAAAACCTTTAACAAAAAAAAAGCAAAAAGTACTCGTCATCTCGATAAAGGGCCAAAGCATGACCAGTGAAGTCGGCAGTGTTGTCATCCAGGCCAAACTTCTCGTACACCTTCAAGAAAACATGAATTCGTCGGAGTAAAGCTAATATAGCCAGATATCACAAAACAAACTTGTTGCATGGTGTTATTATCAGGATCGAGTCCCTGCCAGGTGTCTTTGTTGACTCTATCAAATCCTTGTACCCAGCACAAGAATTTTTTGAAACGGCGTTTCTCAAACATCCCCATTAAGCTGGTAGCCAGGGCTTCCATTTCGTCTGCCGGTACTTTGTACACCTGCATGCCAACTACATGAGCGACTACAGCAGATATACAAGAATGATGACCACGGGAGTAACCAATTAGTGAGACTTTTCCAGGACAGTCACAGTACCTTGCCCCCTTTGTAGACATACGATCCTTCAACCGATTTGAATTCCAAGTAACGCGTAACACCAGTATGAATGAGAAGTTTGACCAAGGAGCCATTAGCCATCAAAAACTTTGGAATAAGGTCCACATTCCAGTCACGGCCACGCCCCATTTCTGGAGGGGGTTTGGCATTCGGACCTGGAATATGTTTTTTGCGTAAAGGACTGAGAAAAAATGAACAATAGTCAATAATCAAAAAGTTCGGTCAACAAAAAACAAATATCATGTAAGATATGCTGCCTTGCGAGACATTTCGCATGGGGCAAAATCGATTCCAAATGGATTCAAATTCTTAGACGAGCAGCAAGCACTTGTGATATAAGTAAGTAGATGGCTTACCCATGAACTTCTCGTACAGTTGCTCCAATGGAGTCAACGATGCCGACTCTCCTCCATAGTAGTTGTTTCTATCAATATGAAGAACCTTCTTGCCCGATACGGACAGCATCCCCGAGATGATGCATTCCTCAAAGACTGCAGTATAACGAAACCATTTTGTTTTCAAAAGACTACATCTGGATTAAGTAGAATGACAAGACCAACCTTAAGACCTGTTCCGAGAACGATTGCGTCGTATTCCTCATCCATGACTGGTTCACAAAGGAGGAGAGCTGGATAAAAAAGAACTATAAGCAATGTTGTCTGACTCTGTAATGAGATACGACGCTGATACGACAGCAAACAACGGATATGATATCGCAAAAAGATTTATTTAAAATGAAAAATTCTAATTCTTAATGGCTAAACATCCGTAATTCACAGCGGTAGATCGACACCACGACCAGTGATTCGTGAAAGGGTTGTACATAAAACCATTTATAACCCTAAAGCAAAAAAAAGGTGAAGCATGGGATGGACACCGCATTTGTCATTACCTGACATTGCATCCATGTCGCTCAAGAAGCTCTGTCAATTCTCGAGGTTCAACGAATTTTTCGTACTGGTGAACTCCGCGAGGGACGACTTTGACCACATTCTGCATAAACAGATATATAAAATAAAACTCGAAAGCATAATGCCACTTCCCTGATAAGTATAGGAAATTTATGACCAGTCGAAGCAAAAGACGCCCGTTAAATGCACATAACAAATACTTTTCGGCACCTCTTTTGACTAAAGCTCAAAAAGAGACTGATGTAATTTTTGATAAAATCAGTGCTGACAGGAAACCGTGATATCATATAGCAGCAGTTGAGATGAAAGCGAACCGGAAATGATTGACAGTAATGAACAAAAGCATATTGCTCAGGCTTTAGATACATAGATTAGAAACAGTAAAGATAAGCCCAATTTAGAATGGACGGTCAACGATTTTTGTACATTAGTTAAAATATGTAACAACCCCTTTAGCTCCGGTAGAAAAAAGATTAAAAATGAAACACTGATCAATACAGTAGAAGCTAGTGGACTTGAGTGAGAAAGACGCGAAGCATTACAGTCAATTTACCTCGGCTACCCAAATTGCGAGGACCCGACTGGCGAGTGTCCTGTTAATTGTCGTGAAAAACAGCGGTGCACCGGGTTTCGCCAGACGAGCACATCCTCCAACAAAAGCATCGAGATCCGCTACATGTTCGACGATTTCCGATGCAACCACGGCGTCAAACTCTGAAATTCTCTGATTAGAGTGGGAGGTGATGTGAGAGGAGGATGAGGTTAAAATTTGGTCATGATCTCCCTCATAGCAAACCAAGCGCCACGTGGAGAGCAATGCGTGCGCAACGAGAGACAAGAGAGCGTGAGGATTGCGCGACTACTACAAAAGCGGACATGAACATTGATCCGTCGCCGATGTAGACCGTCGGAGTCAACACGGAATGTACGCAGACGCAGCGCGGAGTGAGAAACAAGCAGCGGTTCTGACTAAGGAGCGACGGAAACAGCTTCTGACTTTCCGCTTTGCAAGCAGGGTACAAAGGCAAAGCAGCTCAGAACACGGACTGGACAACGGACTGCTACACTTCGACAAACGCGACATGCACGATCGATATGGCGCTCTGAACAGCGGTGAGCGGGCCCAAAAAGGAGATGAGGCATCAGCGCTGCAAATGCGCTTCTTGCGCTCGATAGATAGCATTTCTGGTCAAACAAAATAGCCATTCGCGCTAGTTTATTTTATTGCTACTACAGAAAGTAAAACACGTCTGAAATTTCTAGCAAAGAATTGTCTGAAATTTCTAGCAAACAATTCTAACAATAACATTTTCAAAAAGGAGTGGGCATAAAAATGTAAAAGAACTGCAAATTTATGAAATTGCTGTTATCATACAGCCTTCGGAATGACAACATCCTTATCACAGTTTCTCTTTGAGATCATACGTTCTAAGCGTAATGCTTAACTTGCGAAACAGAATGGCGTGGCAATAAAAACACTCTGACCAAATTATATGGAATGCTTGAATAAAACTCTCTAATAGAACAAAGCTATCGGGGTTGCGGAAAGAGGCAAACTTTGGGATGAGCAAAAAAATTTCCGCCGAGGCCAACAGCTGAACAAATTATTTCGAGGTTGAAGGAAAGCTCCACGGAATTTCGAATGATTACTGTACATGAAAACTCAACAAGCACTTCCACTTAAACGAAGTAACGTCACCAAGAACCCACTAAGAGATTAGTGATTGAAAACTATCTAGCAAGCGTAATAAAATTACAAAACTTGCCATCCTCATGCTCTTCAGAAAAGCTCTCGACTGTCGCACAATGATACGTGATTCTATCAGATACACCAGCAATTTGCAAAGGGCGGGATTTGAGCGCATCACGAGCAGCATTCACCTAGACGGTACTAGTAACCTTCGCATTCCATCACAGCGACTTACAGATGATTTAACATTTGTGAAAAAAGGAATCTTACTGTCAACTGCTTTTATAAGCTTTATTGCTGCGTCGCTTGACATTCGTGCGTTGAACAAATTATAGAATAGCTACTGCTGATTCAATAAGTTAGTGATATATCCACTCATCAAGTCCCAAAAATGTAGTTTTTGAGTCCTAGTGCTTTTTGGTATATATGTCTCAAAATTGTACCAAGTGACCCAGAGACAGAGCGAAAGAAATCTCATACCAATCAATCCTGTGTTTTTATACTGACTGCACCAGCACTACGTTCTAAAACATAAGAAAGGACTTATGAACACACATGAATGCTATAGGGTTCTATAATGCAGTTATAATAATGCAATTCTTGAAGCCTGGGAAAGAAATTTTGAAATCATTCCACGCACTCCAGATGCAAAGCTTACAGCGTGCCTAAGATCTGACGGACTACAAATTGAAAAAAAAGAAGTCTATCGATGCAAGAAGTTGTGGAAATCTCTAAAAGTTATTGAGAAAATGTCATATGTACAAGTCTACTACGGTAACTTACCCGTACTTCAGGAGTTTCAAATACCGCCCCAAACTTCAGAAAAACTCATAAAAAAATACATGCTATCACAAAATCCAGTACTTTCAGTGCAGCGGATTTCACATTGATAGTTTATAGAAGATGAAATCAGGCATGTTAATTAGGCATAAATTCAGCGAAAACAAGGGTTGAAATTGTTCAAAGCTTAAGAGAAGCACAACAATGAGTTATGGTTGATGCTTCACTTATGCATGATCGGAAATACGCCCCGCCGAAATGAGTAAACATCTTCGCCTTTTCAAATCCATCCACGTTGCATATTAAGCGAACGAATAATTGCACAAATAAAGCATATAATGCGAAACCAATGCAGCTAACCAAGCATTTTGAAAACAATGTGTATGACAACAGACATAGCACAAAGAAAGATCAGCTTCTAATAAGTAACTATACTGACTGCACTGAAGCTTCAAGAAGCTTCTAAATTAGGAAGCATTCTGGTAATAAAACTAACTTCAAACAGACATAGAAAAGGTTGGGTTTGAGCGTCTACCAACCTGCCAGCCCTATTTTTCTCTGTCGTGTGGCGAAAATTCTGAGCAAAATGCCTGTTGTTTTTTTTTTGATAGCAAGCGGAGTGTGTTGTGTACAGCGCTAGTAGGTTCAATGCTGATCATATATACATGCTTTTTCTGGAGGAAGTCTCTGAGTTTACATGTTGCGCTGAATGAGATCAAATCTGCGCTTGCTAATAGCTGTCAGCTTAAGACTGGCAGCACTTTATTCCTTCGTTATTGGAGCTTTCATCAACTGAAGTGTCAGATGTCGTAGTGACCTTTCGACATGAGACAGGTACCATTTGAAGCATCTTGAAACGCTGATTCCAAAACAGCCTTCCTCAGCTGCAGAACGAGTCTGAGTCGGGAATTATAGGTATTTTAGTCACCAGATTTTACACTGTTTAGAGGAACTCTGTGATCAAGGAAATTGTTCAAATGCTTGTTAAGCATTACAACATAACATTTAACATTAAAAAATTAGAAGAGTCACAATAAGCTCTGATAAACTGTTTCATTTGAGTTTAAGCCCACCTACGGATTAAATTTAATAATCCCGGAATCGTTCTGCAGCTAGAAACTGTTTCGGAAACAACGTTTCAAGCTGCTTCAGATGATACCTACTACATATCGAAAGGCCAATGCGACTTCTAACACTTCCCTCATCAGAAATAGGTTGCCTAGCCAAACATCTAAAATTATCACTTGCCAGATTCTAATGCTCCTTTCGAAAAATACTGCAAGGTTTTTCTTGAGCTTCCCAAATGCAGAAGCGAGGTACGCCACAAGTTCAGACAGATTATTCACTTTGGCTAACTACATAACTTTGCTTTTGCACTCAAATGAAACTCAACAACATTCTGCACAATCAGGATAATAACATATTCGCTCCCCAGACTTTCGCCATTGGAATTTCCCAAGAACAGCAACAATGAGTCCTAAAAGGATAAAGACCTTTCAAGCAGGAAGAAGTGCAATGTGGAGTGGACACAGCAGGAACTGCGCCAAGATCTAAAATTTCTATTCAACTGCATTGTTGTTTTCGTGCATATAAATCTGATCACACGTTGACCTCATTTATAGTCGAGTCATTCGTTGGACCCAATGAGAGTTTGAGAACCCTTCTAGCAATTCTGAGCATAGAAACGTTCTCAACTTCCACATAGGTAATTAGTACGATCGTGGCATAAAATCCTTGCCTCTCTTTTTCTCTTAACAAAGACGTGCTTCTGAGCTATAGCGGAAGAGGGGCTAATTCTTCGATGGTCACGATCCTCTTTTGAAACCATTTTCTTTTTCGACCTCATAAATGGCCTAAGCCACTCATGATAAATTGGAGAGAGACTCAATTTTGTATGCATCATAATCACCCACCCCACTCCCCACTAAGCAATCGAGCCACATTAGGCGACGTGCTGCTGGTGGAGCGCTATCAGGTAAAAGTTTTGCATGCATGAGAACTGCAAAAACAACTCGCTCTCCAGGAACCTTACAGGAAAAGCGGGTTCGTCTCTCCATAGCGGGCGCGACAATGTTTCAGTACCGCCTGCGCGCACTGCAGACACACGGCGAATCAGTCGTTGTTATAGGAAAAGATTGCACAGAGCTATAGGAAAAGATTGCACAATAAATAGAAGAATCTCAGCTAACCGCCCATGCAAACGACTCGTTAGGAAATGCACATGTTTTTTATTTTATTATTATTTTTTATTTTCTTAATTTTCTATTCTTTTTTTAAATTTTTTTCAATTACTAAGGCTTGCGTAAACGCAGCAAGAAAAAAGTTGATTTTCCTCTCGTCTTATCACTAGTTAGATAAAATCATGCAAGGTAAATTGTGAACAAAATCAACTGAAGTACAAGAGAACAATTCAAACTACTGTAAAGATCCGAGTAGTCAAAAAAGACGCTAAAACTCGCTTTGCTCTAACGCGCGGGTTTGGCAGGATGCAAAAGTAATTGAATTAAGCTATTTGATCAGGTCCAGGTGACATAAGCGCGAATTTAGCATCACTTGGATATAGATATGAGCGTGCGCAGTTGCAACTGTACTGTACACAAAACTATGAAAAGCATGTCTCCCCGTCCAAATGTCCATTATTATTCAACTTACAGCGCCTTCTGTAGCATCGATTCCGGTCACCCGCAATCCGGCGCGTGCTAATGGTATTGAAAGAAGACCTCCTCCACAGCCCACGTCAACAACGCTGGCATCTTCCTGCAAAACAGCGTAAAAAAAATATCGGGAGTCAGATGAAGGACCGTAAACAACTTCGTTCAGGTTTTGAAGTATCCAAGGAACCCTGAGCCCATTCAACGAATGCAAACCCTTGAAAGGTCCAAATTCTTCGTACCACTGCGACGACAGATCTGTGAACGTACGGATTTCATCGCTATCGACAGTCTTTCCCCTGAGCGCTTCAGTGCCAAGCAGACGATAAAGCGAACTTATGCCTAGTGCAGGCGAGCGCAACGCCCTCAAAGCCATCCTAAATGGTATGCTTGAGCATACTGGACAACGTTGCTACAGTGGAAGGTAAGTAACATCGAGTAAACATTCTGACTGAATTGCGCACATGAAGTCAATCTTTATTCTGTGCTACGATAGAGACAATGTAGAAAGCTAGTTACAAGTCTAACAGTAAGCTATGCGACTCCACCTAAACTTTCCATACTGTATCAGTTTATTCCTGACCATTCAAGAATTTTGACAAGAAATCTTTCGGCTTGGCTTCGACATTTTCCCGGAACAGATAGTTTCGGACGTGATCCGGATTGTAGAAGGCATACTGGATTGCGACCATGTGCTGAAATTCAAAACTTCGGAGATATTGGGCAAGACTATGCTATTCTACTTTGATAGTTTCGCATCAAACCAGGCTCCTTTGGTCCCGAGCTCTCGCGAAATCAGTCCCTACACGAACAGGCAATATGCCAGTTGTTTTCAACTTATCGTAAGCGCAATTTAGCTATACATCAAATGCAGCGCAGTCTATAAAAGTTACAAATGCTATACACCTGTAGCGTGCGAGTGTTGGATTTGCAAGTAGATGACCAAATCAAGTGGGAAATTGCGCGAGGTATGCCCGGGACTTGTGACAGCCAATTTCGGACGTCATGTAGGAGGCAGCAAAGGCTTCATCTCCTGGAAGTGCCTGAGGAGCTCTCACCTCTGCTTACTTTACAAGATAAAGGATTGAACGAAAATCTTTTTAGAGAGTACTCACCCTGATCAATTTGAGATTCTTGCAATTTCTTTCGATCTCAGCTATAATCGTTTTCAGCCTATTCAAATATAAGGTTCAGGGCACTTTACTCCAAAATTCGTACAGTCGCTTCATTTCATATGATCATGTGTGTCATTGCACACACAGTTCACCTTTGGCGTCCCCATCCTGGATTTGTGGGAGAAACAAGCCTTCAGGTAAGTGTTTCCAAAGTGTTCTTAGCATTTTCTTTCCTTTTTGGTTACTAGTCACCTCAAATTGATGTAATCGATGACAATCGGTAAGTCTCTTGCGTTTTTGCGATTGCAAATCCAGGATGAGGACGCCAAAGTGGACTGTGTGTGCAATGACACACATGATCATATGAGATGAAGCGACTGTAACAGAAGGAAGTTCTGCCGCAGAATAAAGGACGACTGCAATTAGTGTGGAAAGTCCTTGTCTTCGATCGGAATAACATGAGAAAGATTTACAAGAACATGTTTGAGACTCCGGTTTGAAGAGAGTAGACCAATTCATATTTTCAAATTAATATAATCAATCTGACTTCATACCGCCTTTGACGTTGAATGGCTATATTGAGCCCTTTTTGAACTTGTTATATTATATGCTATGAATTTGAAACATAAAAGCTATCTCAAAACTTGCCACGCTTGAGAAATGAACGATCAATTTGGCATAGGTCATATAAAGTAATTAGAAGTGCGAAGAAGTATAGAGGAGCGAAGAAGTCTGAAGTCCCCCAGGTACATCCATAAGCAGGCGGCGAGCCTTTGTTGCCTCCTGCTCACCGCCGCCAATTTCGCGCTTGGGTTCTACACACTTTTGCACAAAGCTAATTTAGAGTACCTGTTTGGTTTCTTCGACGAGTCTGTCAATGACGCGAAAATCTGTGATTTGTGAGTTCTTCATAAACTGTTTTTTGAGTACAGAACGGAAAACTCCCAACGGCATATCATGCATTCCAAAATCCCACCAGAACTTTGGTGTCATACGTTGCCTATGTAAGTGGTTTGTGATGAGAATGATTTTGACAAATCAAAATTGTACACTCACAAGTCCTTATAGACCTGCAGAACAGACCGGCGAGCCTGCTCCTTGCTGACGGACTGTACTGGAGTTACACGACGGAAAGCACCTGCTCCCTTCTGTATCGCCTTGCCTGCCGCAGAAGACATCTTACGTCAATGTGTCCCCTCTAGTAATCTAGAAAAGATACTACTATGGTAGTGGTATCTACTCATATGCAAAAAAACGTATCACAACTGGCACGTGCCAAAGTTGATCCACCTGACCCACTTCATCTACTTCGCTACTGGTCAGTTTGTTGATTAAGCAATAGCGATGTGGATCAAGTGGATCAACTGATCTTTCAACTATGGAGTGTCGAAGTTATTAGACATACGCACATTATGTAAAATCTTTGAAGAGTGAACACCTCCGTACACATTTGATAATGTGTGACTAAGGATCTCAAAAAGCAAAATATGTGTAGGATAAACGCACTCTTGCCTCCAAGAACTCGACCTTCTTCTCGAGAAGATTGAGTTTGTCACTCAGGGATGCTAATTTGCTTCGACACGACAATTCTGCAATACACACTTGACGGCATTTAAAAGTCAGAACTTAACAGACCAAAGCTGGACAAGAAATTCGCGATGTTCTTCACGTTGTCGGCGACTATCTGAACATCCAAAGGTCAGATAAGATCCTTGATCTAATATCTCTTACCTGTTCGTACTCCCTGTTATCCCAGTCCTCCCGCAGTTGTCGCTGAACACTCATACGACCAACGGTGACGTCTGCGAGCCGAGTGAGCGCTTTTGGCTGAACAGTTGAAAGGGGATCGCTGCGGGACTACAAGAGGCGACAAATCGAATATTGAATTGCTTCTCCTCCTTTAGCACTTCAAAAGCTTTCGCCATTTCAAGCTCATTGAGGAAATTGAGTTATAATTCATTTTCATGCTTCGAATCTTGCTTTCGTCTTGAAAGCTACGTATTTCCTTCCGGGTTGTATTGTAGGTGTGTTTGAGGTCTAGGGCAAGATGAGTCATCTGTTTCTATCTCCTACTTGCTTATTCATCATTCATTTCGAGTCGTTGATGGATCATTCATGACCTTTTCTTTGCATTCAACACATACGTTTATGTCGTTCTCAGGTCGATTCGATTACACAGTCGTTTTGTCATGCTTATCATTCAAAAGTTTTGATCTTCAAACAGTGTAACTTTTTTTAGAGAAGCGGCCTTTCATCTCTTACAAAATGTTTGCTATGATAAATAGGGTGCTGGAATGGTTTCGGAGCCTTTTTTGGAAGGAAGAGATGGAATTGACGCTTGTAGGACTCCAGAATTCTGGCAAAACAACGTTCGTCAACGTTATAGCAGTAAGCACTTTTCTAAGTTGCAGGTTTATGTCAGCAAATCACTCAAGACCTTCTTGTGAAGACATTTTTGTGGAATGCAATTTAAACGTAACAGCAATCTTGTGCTCCTGCCACGTTCATCAGTCTGCAGCGCCAGACTATTCCACATTTCATATTCCACACGTCCTTCATTTCCATTACTCAAATGTATATCATACATGTTGAGTATACCGAACGGTTGAATACTCCTTTGTCTCTCGAAAGACCTAAGCAGAACTGCAGTTTGTGTTATCGATGCTGCGCAATGAGCAACACTCATACTTCTTCACCTGAATGAAGAGTTCGCAACTCTTGAAGATCCTCATCTTGATTAGGCTTGTTTTAATTAATGAATGGGCTTGTCATGACCTAGTGCAGCACATGGAAACCTTGAGGCAGCGTTCAGACAAATCTGGCATATAGAGTTTCCGCTTAAAAATTGGTCGTGAAACACTAAGGGGACGGCCTTAGGTTGCCGGCACCGGTTGTCGAGGGGGTAGGGGAACGAACTCTCCGCCAGTTTGAACTGTCTCCGCGGACTACTGGTCCTGCAACGACATGCAACAATGTCGCAAAAGGACCACTTGCCATCGAAGGCGGGCTCAGCTGGCGGATAGGGCCACATGATAGCCTACATGTTTCGCGCGCTCTCTAATCTGTCTCTGACCGAGACAACGCCGGCAACCTCGGCAACCTCAGCAATCTCGACAAAGCCGGCAACCTCAGCCTCGGCAACCGTTGCTGGAAACGTATGGCCGTTCCCTAACTAGCAATAAAGTTTTGTTCACTTTTCAGCGCAAATGACGTACCCAAGGCCGAGGGTTACATCTGTATATCTTTCTCCGGTACGTATTTAGGCGAGTTCGTACGGTACTCGCCTCGTGTAGACTAAGGGGGAGGGGCTGTAAAGTGATCTGATTCCCCATTGTTTTAACTGATTTTCCTATCTGCGTGTATTGAAGACTTCTTGTCATGCATTTTCTGATAATGTGTTACGTGGAAGGTAATCCGCGGTAGTAATCCTGCTCATTTGTTCAAAAATCGTATAATTTCTACGAAGTTAGTGAAAAGTCGCCGAGACGCGGTGATGTTCTGAAGCGTCGGTGTAAGCGTGTTTTGAGCAAGTAAGATTTCAACGCGGAAAATCTCCAAAAAAAAACGCAGAGTTGCAGCAGGTGGTCCATGAGGAATCATATAGCACTATTGGACTTTCTCAACATCTTTAGATCTTATCGATTTTTACTAAGTATTGAGAATTAGTGAGGACGATAGTCGCTACGGATTATTGAGTGTTTTTAAAACACATTGAAAACTGCGATCTGTATGATGATTACGCTTCTATTCAGTGTATTTATAATAAAAGATAGTCATGGAAAGATGAGAAAAATGCGGATAGCAAAGAAAAGAGATTCTTGTGGTAAATCATGATCCAAAAGAAAAATCTATCAGCTGTATTTCAAACCATATTTTGGTAATTTCAGAGCGGACAGTTCACTGAAGATATGATTCCTACAGTTGGATTCAACATGCGGAAAATTACTAAAGGCAATGTGACCATCAAGGTTTGCTTTTTGGTTTCTGGCATATTTTTATGTTTCATCAATGCAGTTATTTGCTGTAGTAAATTATATGAAACTGTTTCTCGTACGATGTTCTCAGAGTGGATTGAAACTGAAGGAGGGAAAATGCTTATATCACATCTATAAGGAAGTGCACATGGAACCGAACCAAATTTTTTAACAATACATGGAGAAAGGAGAGGAGAGAGGGAAGGGGATAAGATTCTTACGCTCTACTTTGCATACATCTTACTTGCACCTGATCTTCCTTCATGATTGCATTTACGCATATCATGCAGCTTTTCCATGCGTAGCATGTTTATTCGTAGGTTCCTGCGTGAGTTCCGCTGCAAATGTATCTTTGTGTAGCGATTTCTCTGATTTTGATCAAGATTCTTCTAGCAGAGTACCTGTCATGTTAGTGTACCTAGTGTTTGAAGTTTTATTACTTTTTAATAACTTCCAAGTTCCGTTTGGCACAGCAAAATTAAAGAAAACTTTTTTGATTTTTTGTCAAGATCTCGAATTTTTGGCCTCATTTGGTTACGGCATGCATACTGCAATCCGCAGTCATCTATCATCTATCAAAACTCAGGTTCTACAAAATGACGTTCGTCCCATGTTATCTTTGTACGCGTTTTGCATAGTCTTCTTATCTGCATATTGGAAAACGTCCCCTCTTTCAATTTTCATATACGAAGCTCTTGAATGGACGCTTATATTTATACAGCAATCATGACATTGACAAGCATTTAACTCGTATCTCATCTCCTTGTATCATTTTGTTTAGTTATGGGATATCGGAGGTCAGCCGCGCTTCCGGTCTATGTGGGAGCGATATTGTCGTGGAGTCAACGCCATTGTTTTCATGGTCGACGCTGCTGACGAAGACAAATTAGAGGTTGTCCTTAATATCCAGCATTTAAGATTAACTAGAGAAAAAAACACTTATTACCCTAATTTTACGCGTGCAAGGCGCACCTTTTCGATTTCTCAAGCACCGCTCGGCTGCTTCACCGTGTTTTGGAAAGCATCCTTATGCCGCACGTATAGGGTCTTTTGATTGTGTTCTTTGGCATATCGGGGCTGGTCAATTTCAGAACAAAAACCCGCGTTTTGTACGCGTGGAATTAGGGTATAAGTTTGAGATAAACAACAAAAACAATTTCCGCATTCTAATTTTGTGCTAAATTCCATTCAAGACCCTTGCTCACATATGTTATGTTTCAAAGTGGGGCGGGCGTAGGCTGGATCCAAGGTCTCTTCTTCTGAAATCGGGTATTGATGTTGCTGTCGGAGGCGCTCTACAAGTATCGTCGGCTCACAGATTCTTGTGGAGGCGGATTGTGGACTTTCCCAGAATATAATGCTAACTTTGTTAAAGCCATTCTCAGGTTGCATGGATGAGCTAAGTCCGAAACTGTGCTTTGCAGCTTCAAAAGATATCAGTGAGTTGATTTTCTGGACGTAAAAATTGTGCTTTGTGTTTTCAAAGGTACCAGTGCTGTGCTGTTTAGGCGGGAGGCGAAAAGGCGGATGGGTGGAGACACCGTACCCATCTCGATGGCAACTGAATTATTGGCTCCAGCAGCCAATCGTTCTATGAAGGGGGTGGGCTTTTGCTGCCCGCTTAAAGGCAGTATATCGACAGAATGAGACCCTTGACAAAACAAGGTCACAGGGTAGGAGCCCCCATATGGAACCTATCGGCCAAAGTCCGATCTTTCTCTGCCACTTCTAACCCCCGAAATTTCAAAGCGAAAGCAGCGCTCATCTTTTGTCCTCTCCGAACCCGCCCACCACATGGACGAGTGAACGCGGAGCCCGTCATTGCGAAGACGCAGAGTCGTTGCGGACCTCATGCTTATAGCATTGCGGCTGGCACTCTGACCGTGGAAGTCACTCGTCCATGGGGTGGGCGGGTTCGGAGAGGACAGGAGATGAGCGCTGCTTTTGCTTTGAAAGTTCGGGGGTTAGAAGTGTCAGAGGAAGATCGAATTTTGGTCCATAGGTTCCATTATGGGGGCTCCTACCCTGTGACCTTTTTTTGCCACGGGTCTCATTCTGCCGACGCACTGCCTTTAAAGGCAGTGTCCCGGCAGATTCGCGTCCTGGGGGATATTGCTATGGTGGGGTTCCTGGTCATCCCACACCTCCAGGCGCAGTCCGGCTGGTTGATGTTCCCCCTGTGCTGAGAAAATAGCTCTTGAATAGGCGCGCGCGAACCCAATCGACGCGCGCTCGGACGACTTCGCTTACCGTTCGGCTCGGACGCCAGGACCGCTCTCCCTCATTGTGTATGCTATCCAAAGTAAAAATTACAGGCAGTAGGTTCTTCGTGTCAGGGCCTCTCAACATAGAAATTCCTGTCCGAGCTGCCTTTTGGAAACTGTCTAAACGCCCGAGAAAGATCTTTTCACGCGTTTCAAAACTCAAATTCTGGGTCTACGGGTCGAAAAGGCCCAAAACATGCAAAAAGATGGAAATGCAAAATCTGCCGGAGACTGTCTTTAAAGGCATTGGCTCGGAGTTTCGTTTTTCAGATTTTCACCTTTTTTTCGCTATAAAGTACCTATATCTGGGCTTTCAACGCATGAACAAAAATGAGCTTTTTTTGAAGCTTTCTAGGTCCGCATTCAGTGGACATACTTGTAAATGGGCGGGCCCGGAACTAGGGAGGCGGGGCGCGGAAGATTTCCGGCGTATCTTCACTGAACGCGGACCTGGAAAGCTTCAGAAAAAGATCATTTTCGCCATTTTTATGCGGTGAAAAGTCCAGATATGGATACCTCATGGTGAGAAGGCTCCGAAATGGTGAAAAACTAAAAACGAAATTCTGCCATCGCCTTCAAACAGCACTTTCCACGTCCGGGAAAGATAATATCTTCAAGAGCTGTAAAGAACATTTTTAGACTCAGCCCGTCCAGGGGAGTTAAGAACGATGAATATTTCAAAGCTGTTATTCTGCCGAGCTGCTGGCTTGAAATCCTCGCTGAAACGCTACAGCATTGCGTTTCGTACTCTCTTGTTAAGTTTATATTTATAATCAGGGAAAGTCCGCAATCTGCCACCACACCTATCTAGCGGATCATACTTCTCAGTCTTCATATGGAGCAAGCCTTGCTTCCTTCCTATTTCTGTCTGAGAACTCGTTATTTATGAAATGTTATAAGACATTATTGTTTATATGCATTGCTAGTGCTTCATAAGCTCACCTAGAGAAAATCCGTCTGTCATCCTTTTGTTGTACGAATCAAGTAAAAATAATTTAAGGCATCCCGTAACGAGTTGATGCAACTTTTGGACAAGGCCCAATTGGATGCCATTCCTGTTCTTGTGCTAGGGAATAAGAAGGATTTGCCGGGCGCATTGGATGAACGGCAGCTTATTGAGCGCATGTAAGTTTCCCCGTAGAAGTTCTGCCCGGTGCTTGCTCAAACTATTGTGACATCAGGAATCTGTCTGCCATACAAAATCGCGAAATCTGCTGTTATTCAATTTCTTGTAAGGAAAAGGAGAATATAGGTTTGTTGGTCGCTGAGCTTGTTGTTGCAAGGAAGTTATCATGACCTTTCAGATATTACGCTTCAGTGGCTGATTCAGCACTCGAAAAGTCAACGCTAGTGTGTTTGTCTGGTCCTGAGCAAAGCACTTCTGTTCGTATGTACATTGCGTAGTATTTCACTATCCCGAGATCAGTTACCACATCACATGTTTTATGCCATGTTCCTACTCCGCAAGTTGCCGTATACACCTTAATGTTCTCAATGAATTTGACCCAACCTGGCGCTCATTGCCGGGGTGCGAGATGTTGGGGAATGGCTAAGCCAGTCAGTTTTTCCTTAAGTAAATTGTCTTCGAAGCAAGTTTCTTTTATTTACTTGGGTGTATTTCTTGAGTCACGGCTTTGAATTTCCCAACAGCTTGAAAAATATTGTCATTGTGACTGAGCAGCACTCTCAAACGACTGTCCTGCTGCAACTCCCGAAATCGCGTCAATAGGGAGCAGTCTTTGCGCTAGCTCGCCGTCAACTCAAGCACACATGCTTGACCGAGTTTTATAAAATTTTGAAACACAACTTTCAATGGTTGTCGTCTTTGCAATTAGGTTGCTTCTGAAATGCTGGTGCGTATTTTCAGCGTGATAAATTATAGGACCCGTGCACTTTGCTAGCTTGTAGTCACTTGAATAATCTGGTCCATGAGTTGTATCAGCTGTCTCCTTTATTTTTATCTGTGCGCATATAGCAGTGTTCCTTGCTGCATTGTTGAGAATTTACTTATTCTCAATGGTCTTGTCCGTTATTCATAAATTTATTCATAATAAAGATTTACAAACACATTTGACAAATGTCGCTCTTATGTCCAAGTCATTCGTTACTAGGACAAAGCGCCGAAGCAGACCACACATTTAAGAGTGCTTTGAACACACTGAAGGAAATACGTGTTTCCCCGCTTTATTGACAAATTCACGAAGTAATATAATAGAACTTTGAGCCTCGCCTACAAATACAACTAGAACAAAGTACATAATCAGAATGTGAAATATATAGCAAGCACCAGATGTGTCAGTGATTTTTGGTATATGCAGTTGCGGAGAAAATACGAAGAATTGAAAGAATCACCCCAGTGAGGGTGGAAAGCACTCAGGTTGTCCCGAACCCAAGCACTTCCCACCATCACTACTATCGCTGGACCATTCACGGTGTCCCAAGCCGTTAAATGATCCAACGAAAACATTGAGACATGGGAAAGTCGGAACTCTTAACTAGGCAGTCGGTCGAGTGATCAAGGTTCAACATGCACTGCGGCTGCGTACTTGGCAACAGCTTTCTTGTCCTTGATAACTTTTACTACGTAAACACCCTCGTCGGTTGCTTGCACTGTCTGGAATTCAGGAGAATTAGTTGAAACAGGTTCATCGGAGTAACCACAGTTCATTTCCAGACGGAAGCGGCGTGGGCCCACATAAGCGATGCGGGTGCGAACGCGTTTAGCTTAAGGCACACGCACACGCCATACTTGATCCACTTGAACCACTTGATCCGCTTAACTCCTTTCGCTACTGGTCAAATCAGTGAACTGACCATTGGCGGAATGGATGAAGTGAAACAAGCGGATCAAGTATGCGCATGCATACCTGGCGTGATTCCGTCGCTGCACAATTTAGCACAAGAACGGCTCTTTTTAACCCGTTGTTTATGCGCTTTTTTGATCAGAACTTGATCCGTTTGCAACAACTTACACAGGCTACCCGAATATGCATTCGAGAAGCGCGCACGACCTATTTGTAGAAATCTGGCAAACTGCCAAGTCGCGTGGAGGTGGCGACTTGGCGGAATCGCGTGAGATATGCCTTAGGCCTAAGGTATACCTCACGCGATTTTAGTCGCCGCGCGATTCGGCACTGCAACGACACTCCACAGCTGGTCGTAAACGCACTTTGCTTGGGCCAAACTTGCTGCGTTTGTTACAATTTACGGAATCTACGCACCCATGCATCTGAGAACCTCGCATGCTTAATCTCTAGACATCTGGCAAATCGCCAAGTCGCGAGGATGTGGCGATTTCGTGAAATCGCGTGAGGTATGCCTTAGGCCTTAAGGGCCGGGCATACTTCAGACGATTTCAGTCGCGACGCGATTTGACAATTCGCCAGAAGTTTCACATACGACACACAAGCTGCACATGCATAGTGTGTGTAATTTACGTGGATTGATAAAATGCGCTATCTTCTGTACATTTAGGATTTGTTTACAGTGAGTTATGGACAGTTGGAATAATTGCCAAAATCGCGTCGGACTGAAATCGCGTGAAGCGCCGTTCGTGCCCGGCCCTTTAGGCCGCGGTCATACCTCAAGTGATCTCAGTGACGCGATCTGCTACACTCCACTGTGTATAACGCATTTTTAATAAACAAAAAATGGGGCGCTTGTCGATCTGCAAAGTTGTAACTACTATTGTGGATTTGTCTGCAGGTGTTGGATATGAAGAGATGTGGCAGATTGCGTGGCGACTGAATTTGCTTGAGGTATGCCCGCCCGAGGCCTTACACTGTCCGCTACCCTATGCGGCATTCACGCTGCTCAGCTTGTTTAGACAACAGCCTTCGTCCAGCGATATACTATAAGTATCAAACAAACCTTGAAATCTAATTTGAACGAGTTGCCAGATTTGACTGATTTCATCCTCTCCGACTTTTCTACTTTTTCTCCGTCTTTAAACCACTGTACAGTATATCCTTCAGAGTTCGACATCTCCAACGAGAGCTTCGTTGATGATCCCGACGCGACGCTGACAGATGCTGGCAATTTCGTGACTGGTGGCTCATTAGCATCACCTGTAAGATAATATAGGAAGAATTGCACAAAACTGATGACATCCAAAATAATTGGGGTTCCAACTTACCCGATACGACTAGTGAAGCCACAGAAGTGCATTTGACTCCTTTCTGATCAACCTCTAGCTCGTACTGACCAGCTTCATCTTTCGTGACGCTTTTAATTGACAGCCGGAATCGTTCGCCATCTCTGACTATCTCTGTTCGGTCGTCTTTTTTCACCTTTAACAATTTCATGTGCATTTCCAAATGTTTTCTGCATGAAACGTACCTCTGAGCCATTCTTAATCCAAAGTGTCCGTTCAGGTTCTCCTGCAACACATGCTTCGAGTACTGCCGTTGAGCCTGCCGCGACAACCTCTCCAGCAAGATGCCGTACTATCCTGCATTGACAGTATTGATTATTGAATGTAAGTCTTCCGCTTTCGCAAAATACAAGTTAGTAGTTAGAGACATCAGAAGACGTGTACAATCTGTGCCAACGATGTGCTCCCTTTCCAACTAGTTCAAGCGCAACGCGAGAGCCGAATACCGCGTCCGCTCCGTATCGCTTGGGCGTTTAAAGGCAGTGTCCGGGCGAAAACTCTTTTTCTAGAAAATCCACCGACCGGGGGTTATCCACAACGCTGAATCAGAAAATGCACATCAGAGGGCGCAAAAACGACGAGAACATGTCTCCAAAACCTTAAAATTTGAAATTCGGCGGTCCCGCCAAGGCTGAGACGCAGAGTCTCTGTGGGACCCTACGATTCTGATTGTTGCGGCATGCGTACTCTGCCGCATAGCAGGAATTCGGTTTCGGAGGACCCCGCCCCAAGGCGTAAGTTTCTCCGCTTTCCGGTCGTTTTTCTTGCTTGAGGTCGCGCGTTATGACGTCGCACTTGCGCGTTGTTGTGTCTGAGGGGGGCCACTCTCGCATGGCACTGAAATCCCAGAACCCCCATCTTGCCCGGACACTGCCTTCAAACTTGCCGGATCGATTACGTACCGCTGCGGATGCGTAGTTGCTACGTAAGGGAGCACGTGGATGAAACACATTATAATTTCCAAACGACTGAACCAAAACAATTGAAAGTGACGTCTTCTATGATCTGTGTACAATTTACGAAGTGGGATGTGCGCCAAAGGCTCTATATCCACTTCATAAATTGCAGAAGCGAAAGTTTAGGGTCTGTGCCACACAGGTGCATTATTTTACCATTTTCTGGATATCGTCGGCATTTTCGTTTAGACTTGAGAGGCTTGGTTCTAGAGTCAAGACCTTATAATAACGGGCTAAGGGTTGTTTACGTGTTTTTGTGTGTGTGTGTGTGTGTGTGTGTGTCCGTCTGTTACGAAATTCGTAGAGCGTGTTCCAGCCAGCGTTTTAAGCCCAAATTTTGCATAGCGCATGCTACCTTCACGAAAGTTCAACGTGCAAAAGCACGAATAGATTCGTTGAATGGGCCCCTCAGAAATTGCGCGCCAAACGGATCCACCTGGCTTCTGTCCCGCAAAATTGGGTCCATATCACCACTTTTTGCAAAGTCCTGGATGTGTTTGGTAAGCAAATGTGCAAGCGATGGACTTTAGCCCAAAAAGTGGTCAAAAGTTTGCTACATAACGAAAACGGCGCCAGAAAGAGTTGGTTGCGTAAATGGTTAATTTGCTAAGGTTCTAGCTAAGCGTTTCAAAAGATTTTCGCACGGAGATGTAGCTCACGGTTACTATTGCCTTTAAGGGGACTACCAAGCCATGACAACTTCAAAAACCTATTCAAATTTGCGTTTGTCTTCCTACGAAAAGTTTCATCCACGCGAAATCACCGATCTCACGTGAAAAAACTTTCTGAATGAGTAGCTCTTTACATTTAATTCGTGGTAGTCGGCATAGTGCGGTAAGTTCCATTGCCACGATTTTACGAGAATGAGTAAGGCACATAGATAGTAGAGCCAGTGCGAGCCTCTGCGAAGCAGAGGTGACGCACTGGTTTGACATAATGACTGTACGGTTCATAATACTTTGCGTCCTTCATATAAAAAAAACAAAATTATTTGGAGAACATCGCGCTTGAGATATAGAAGGGGTTTATCAGCGCAATATAGACTGTTGTAGTGTCGCTTCTCCTGTTCATAATTGTTTCCTCCCTAATGGGATTATTTATCAAGTTAACGGATTAAAGGCAGTGTCCGGGCAAAAACTCGATTTTGAGATTTTGTGCTTACCCGGGCCTATTCGCTACGCTGAATCCGAAAATGCGCATTGGAGAGCGCAAAAACGGCGAAAAAGGGCTCTACGCAGGAGGGAAATTGGAAGTGGGCGGGGTCCTCCCCACTGTGAATTTCGCTGTCCCGGCTTCTGGAACGATTTTCTCAACTCCGCTATCCCTCTGAGATCTTCACAGGCCAGGTGCAAACGCAAGACTTGAAATCGGGGCCGAGAAGATCGCTCCGGAAACTTGGAGCGTGAATCCGCAGTGGGGAAGACCCCGCCCACTTCTGATTTCCCTCCTGCGTTAGAGTTCTTTTTCGCCGTTTTCGCACTTTCTAGTGTGGATTTTCGGATTCAGCATAGCGAATAGGACCGGGTAAGCACAAAATCTCAAAATCGACTTTTTGCCCGGACACTGCCTTTAACGGATGTCGTATAGGTTGTGTCTGTGATTGTCACAGCTGGCGGCTTTGCCCTCTCGGCCGCCTCGCTCTGGCTTTGTGCGCGTTCGCGGACGTGCTCTCTGGGCGCTTTCTCAAGCTTTCGCAGCGAAGGGCTGCTGGGGCGTAAGAAAATGTCTAGAGGGTAACATGGCGCATGGCTCGAGTAAAGCGCCGAGATGCCGGAGCTGGTAGAGTTGTTGCACTCGCATTGGGGCGCCTACATTTATTTCGGGAGGGCAAGCGTTCGACGACATAACGTGGGAAACGCAAGCGATGTGGAGCTCGTAACATGCAATTATGCACCAATTTCTTATGGCGTCGATTTATGTGTCGCAAATCTGTGCACATAGGTTTTTTGCGTGGAAACTGATGAGGGGGTCCTAACCAAGGCACCATCCAAGCGGCAGCTCAAACCATCCATTCACGAGAAATCCATCCTCAAACCTTCCAATCCCCTGCACCGTGACCGGAACTCGCGAACCACGAAGGACGGCCCCACGAACGCAGTGTTAATCTCGATGACTCTCCAATTGACTCTCCTCCGCGGAGGAGAGTCAATTGGGGGTTACGGTCACGGCGCAGGGGTTTAGGGGTTTGGAGATGGATTTCTCAGACTGGATGGGTGATTTGCGCTGCCGCTTGGGCAGTGTCTTAGGCCCTATGCACTAACATTTTTGCGGCGAGGGGAGCGGCGTCCCCCGTTATGAAGGGACCGCGCGCGGACGCCGCTGCGGCTTTTTCATCATTGGGGACGCCGCTCCCCTCGCCGCAGGGATGTTAGTGCATGCGGCCCTTAGTTAGGAATCCCTCATCAGTTTCCACGCAAAAAAACCTATGTGCACAAATTTGGCTGGGCACTGCCTTTGATGTGCAAAATGCATCTGGGTTTCGTAGCCCCTACCTCACATAATCCCTCTACGCGAAGTTCGTGATTTTGAAACAGCTACTGTAGATCTACCGTAGGTTTACGTGAGGCTCATACAATGATGGGATATAGTAATGTTGAATAAGTCTTTGTGCAAAACTTTACCGTGCTTCTTCCTTCGAATCGCAATAATTTCGTCCTGAAAAGTTGCTCCAGCGTTTTTCTGTGCTGCACATTGTATATAGCATACTCCTTTACTGCACGCAAAATCATGGGTCGAAAAGTGTTAAAGGCAGGGTCTCGGCAGAATTTTGTCTTCCCGTTTTTCACGTTTTCGGAGCCTTCTCGCCATGAGGATTCCATATCTCTGCTTTTGCGCATGAAAATGGAAAGTGAGCTTTTTCCAAAGCTTTTCAGGTCCGCATTCAAAGATAGCCGAAAGTCTTTCGCGCCCCGCCTCTCTCGTTCCGAGCCCCGCCCACACACACGGCTGTCCACTCAATGCGGATCTGGAAAGCTTCGGGAAAAAACTCACTTCCGCCATTTTCATGCGCTGAAAAGCACTGATATGGATTCCTCATGGCAAAAAGGCTCCGAAAGGTGAAAAACTGGAAGACGAAATTTTGTCAGACACTGCCTTTAATTCGTACACAGGAGCATATGTCATTCTTCTACTCATTTTAACACCTTTCCAAATTTGTGTCATGCTGATTTCAGTATTTGAAGGGTTATCTAGCAGGAGGTCCAATCGATTTAACAGATCGAATCGTTCACTTAGGTCTAACGAGGGATAAATACTTGGTCGAAGTGGCGTTTCCATACAAAACGTAAACTATCTTATAGAGCATGGAATGCTAACTTCAAAACTGCTTTCGGTGTCTGCAAAGCTTTTCTGAAAAGGGAGTTACGGAATTTTTTTGTTGCAAAAATTGGAAAGTGCCGCTACAATAAAATCAATCAGAACTTTAGCCCGTGAGCCCAAATGGGGCCACGATTACAACCATGGCGTTTTATAGAATGAAGACTTCAATCTAATGAACTCTTTTCAACATTACTCCTTTCAAGCGCCGGAAAGATCTCAACATTTACTTTTATCTCAGCCAAATCACTGAATTTTTACCTCAAAAGAGCGCTTTGCAGATAACGGAAGCAGATTTGGAATCAACCTTCCATGCTCTGTAAGATGGTATACATCTCATATGGAAAGGCCACGTCGACCAAGTATTCTCCCCTTGTGCGTTCACTACTCTTACAATCGGTACTAAATGTGAGTACTCTATAGAATGAATCTGGATGTTTTTTATTTGAAATCGATCGCAGTCCTTTGAAACCTTTGTCGTACATGTCGCAAGCGTGTGAAGATATAGTTCTACTGATGATGAAAGACTACATCATAAATAGATAATAATAATAAGCGAAAGATACAATGCTGAATCATTTGAAGGTACTACTTGTTAATTTAGCCTTGATTAGCCGGAAAACGAGTCTAGGGTATATTCATGACACGCAAAGACTGGGCGCCGTTGCGTCCGACCAGGATTGTTCTTGCATGAGAGAGACAGCAGATGGTAAAAGAAAGGAAAGAGCGCTCGGTCGGAGAGACGCCGAAAGGTCCGCAATCTTTGCGTGCTAAATCGCCGATAAGTGTTTCGTTTCAATACAGGGAGCAACCTAACGGGATCACATATAAGTTCACATATGCACATAATTACTTGTATTTACAAAGCTGTCTATACTAGGGTGAGCTGCGGAGAATGCGAACTTTGCACAAAAGCTGACCTAAGCTCTTCTCCTGCTGCCCCATCCACAGCGTGATTTGTTCCATTGACGCCGTTGACGCCGTTCACATTTCCATTGCTAATGGATTGTACAGTGAGGTTTGCGCGACACGACTCTTCTCCAGCTGAGTTGCTAGCTTTACACATATATGAACCTCCATCGCTTGGTTCAGCCTCAGAGATCTTGAGCGTGGCTTTGCCACCAGAATACGAGGTAACTAATCTAGAATCTGTTACTCTTTCTCCATTATGGAGCCATTCGATAAGAGGTGCAGGAGTGGCGTTAACCTAAAACTCAATTGTAAAGGTTTGCATAGAGTTGCCGCTACTTACCTCGCAAGACATCTCTACTGGCTCTCCTTGGCTAACACTGACGTCTTTCAATTTGTTAGTGAAGTTTGGTGGTTCAGAGGAAATCTTCATTTTAAGGTCGTCTGCAGCAGATCGTGTTTCTTGTGATAGTGAACCTCTCGACCTAGAATCCGAGCGAATGTCGGCGTAGGATCGTGATCGCTCCACATCGCTACTCATAGAGTCATAAACTGATCTTCGATAGCTGCTAGTTCGGTAGGAAGCGACTCGAGGCATTGGCTCCCCGCCCTTCGTCTGTACAGTGACGGTGCATTCGGTGGTTGCTTCACCCAAGGGGCTGGTAGCAGTGCAGGTGTATGTGCCCGCATCGTCGAGTCGGGTGTTGAAGATCTCCAAACTGCAGACTCCACTTCGGAATGTTGTTTGTACACGGTCTTGGTTCACTGGTGATCCGTCCTTGAACCATTCCACCTTTGGCATCGGATTGCCTTGCAAAGAACATATCAGTTTGCACTGATGGTTCTTCTGGATGAGACGTGGCCGCAGATGGAATGTGAAGTTTGGAGGAATTTCCTTCTCCTTGAATTCCTCAACTTTTGGTAATGTAGCTTTGCGCATAGGTTCTAATGGTTTAGAAACGAAATCTTCAGTCTTTTTCTGCACAGTGAGGAAGACGACTTCTTCTCTGGATCCGTACGAGTTCTTGGCCCGCACGGTGTATTCACCCTTGTCGTCCATCTTCACCCTGTTGATGGTAAGACCATAGTCGTTGTCATTGTACTTCTTCATGTACTTCACGCTCTGCTTCAATTCCATCATATCGTGATGCCAAGTGACAATCGGAGGTGACGAAGCTATTACACGGCAGTAGAAGTTGGCACTTTGACCTTCTGTCACCGACGTACTATACGGTTTGATGATAAAGCGTGGTTGAGCCTCAGAGCGATCGAAGAACGCGTCGTGGATGTGGTACTCGCCAGGACGATGCTTGCGCAGTGAACTATAGTTCGATATTCGGCCGAGTGGTGGCATAGGTTCTGGCCATGCGTCCTGAAAATATATATCGTGCTATTTTCTTGCTCAGCATATCAAAATGAAAAACTTACGTATCTCTTCCTGATCCTGTCCCGAATGTTGTGGTACCGACTATTTGGAATAACTTCTCCACCACCTACTTCTCCGCTAGCCAACCAAGGATGAGCGAGGGCCTCATGGATGGTCATACGCTTTCTGTAAGAACAATCTCTTTGCACTCAGTAATCCTCAGCACGTATGTAAAAGCTTACTCAGGTTCCAAAATTAGTAGTTTTCGGATGAAATCTTTGCCATTCTCTGAGACGTGACTGAATTGTGAGTCATCCATATTCCAGTCGCATTTCTTCACATTCTTGAGTGTTTCCTCATCGTTCTCACCACCGAAAGGCGAGAGCCCTGACAGCAGAATGTATGCTAGAACACCGACACTCCACATGTCAGTATAGTAGCCCACAGGAGCACCGTTTGCCACTTCTGGAGCAGCAAATTCTGCCGTACCCGTTGTCACCTGCAAGAGGAAAGTTTTCAGATGTGTATTTTGAATTTGACCGTTACTGCGTTTTACCTTGACGCTCTCCTTAGGGTCGAGGAACGAGGCCAGGCCGAAGTCGATGAGTTTCAATTGGTTGCTTTTCTTAGTCGTGAACATGATGTTCTCAGGTTTCAAGTCGAGGTGGACATAATTCATTTCATGCATATGGCACAGCGCTTTGCAAACTTGGCGAGTATAGTCAATTGCTTCTGCCTCCGTCATTCGATTTGTGTCATCAGCAACTTTCTCAAACAGTTCTCCTCCAGACATGCTGCAAAATTGCTTTTTGTTTTCTTGGATTTTCTTCTTTCAAAAACTCACAATTCATAGATCATGACCATTTCCTTGTCCTCCTCAAATGCATCATGCAGATTGATTAGAGTCGGATGGCGTAGAACAGACATGGTGTTTATTTCCTTCCTAACGGTAGCCTTGTCCGCTTCATGAGGGGTGTTGACGAATTTGGCCGCGAAAGTGTTACCCGTAGCACGCTCGGTGCACCGATGTACCACACCGAATGCGCCACTGAAAAGTAAGGGACAGCGTAACAGACTTAGAGACTTTTTTTTAGAAATAGTAGATCCTAATGAAAAGCACTTACGATCCGATCTCCTCGTGAATGTCATACTTGTCGAGTACATTATCGTGCTTGATCTCAATCGCTTCCGGATAGTACTGCTTCCAGATGTCGATCACGTAAGGATCGTAGTTTCCAAGCGATGGTCCTCTGCCATGTACTATCTTACCCGTATCATCAACGTCGTAACCTCTCCTGCGCACGCGTTCATTGCCAGGAATCAAAACCGGAGCAGTCGGCTCGCACGGCTTTGACACGCCATGCTTGTTCTCTGCACTTATTCGGAATTCGTAGGTACACTTTGGTCGGCAGCCTTCCACGGTTAAGTATGTGTAGCGAGTCTTGGCACACGGTTCCCACATTCCTCCATTGACATCTCTTTTCTCAACAATGTACTGAGTGACTAGTGAACCACCATCAAGAAGCGGAGGTTTCCATGAGAGAATCACAGCCTCGTCTAGAACATTTTCAACGAGAGGGAAGCGAGGTGGTTCAGGGCTGTCAGCGACGGTCACAAGAACTGTAGCCGAATCCTGACCGACAGAGTTCTCGACAATGACGCGGTAGTTGCCGTAGTCCTCACGGCTTGCTCCAGTTATGGTCAAAGTGGCAAACTTATCATCAGTGGTGATAGTGTAGCGACCTCCACTTTCTATCTTCTCGTCTTCCTTCATCCACCTTGATTCGGCTCGAGGATATGCCTTATAGGGTATCTTCAACTCGATTGTCTCATTCTTCTGTGCTTCATAACCACCATGGTATTTTGGAGGTACGAATACCCGAGGTTTCTGTTTGAGGACCAACTGTGCTCTCGTGCTTCTTGAGCCGAACTTGTTCGTCGCGCGGCAGGCGTACTCGCCAACGTCGTCCGAGTTGATGTGGCTAACCATAAGTACTTGTACGTCTCCTTTGCTGAGGATTGTGAATCTTGGTGTGTCGACTAGCTCTTTCAAGCCCTTGAACCATGTGTATTCTGGTCGCGGTGAGCCCTTGATCTCACATTCGAACGTTACGCTTCGTCCTGGTTCGCCGGACTGATCGCTGAGTTCACTGACTATTTCAGGAGGTGTACCACCCAAAGCTGAGTTGAACACCATTGGCTCCCTGAAAGAAAAAATTCCAAATTAGGCTTTGAAATGCTGTAGGTGAACTCACATCATAACAGGTTCAGACAAACCAGCATCGTTGACAGCAAGGACGCGGAATGTATATTTTCGTCCATCGATGAGATTTGGAACGTTAAAGATGTTAGCGGGTGATGGGTTCTGATTGCATCGTATCCAAGCATCCGTGCCTTCCTCACATTTCTCAATATAGTATCCTCTCAAGCGACCTCCACCATCGGACGCTGGTCGCTTCCACGTGAGCGACACAAAATCACTACCGATCTGAGTGACTTCAAGGTCTGTCGGTGGTCCAGGAGGATCGAAGGGAAGCCTTGTAGTTACAGGGTTCTCGCCTACCAGTGGCGTTCCCTGACCGTTTTCATTCACTGCGCTTACACGGAATTCATATTCATGGTTGTCAAATAGTCCCTGTACCATGAAGTTCAGATCGCGTACACTCGAAGCGACAACGGTCCATTCCTCCTTTGCAAGGTCTCTCTTCTCAACGACATAGTTGGTGATCTTGGAGCCGCCGTCGTTGACGGGTGGTCGCCAAGACAGACCTACTTGGTGCAGACCAATTTCGCTAAAGTGCAGTGGACCTTGTGGCGCCGACGGAAGCCCTGTCACATTGAGCCAGAAACCAGTTGAAGCTTCTCCACTGTCATTGCTTATTATGTATTCGTATCGTCCAGCTTCACGGGTTGAAAGCGATGGAATCGTGATGAGAATGTGATCATCGAAATCAACCGTGCGGATGGATGTGTGCTCGGAATCGACTTCCTCCTTGTTCAGTGTTAAAACATGTTTGAATGGTGGGGTTCCAGAAAAGTAGATCTTCAATCGGACCATTTCACCCATGGGCAAAATCGTGTTTGGCACATCTTTTTCGATAACAGGTGGAGCTGGAAGGAAAAGATATTTAGCTTTTGAAATTTTCACAATGGCTTCTTACCTTGTACAATAAGTTTTGCTGTTGCTGTATCACTGCCGTACACGTTTGATACTTCACAGGTGTACTCTCCGGCATCGATGTCCCACACTTCTTTGATGGTGAACTTGTAGCTTCCATCGTGGGCTTCGAAACGATATCGTGTGCTTTCGGGCAGCTCCCGTCCATTCCTCATCCATCTGCACACAGGTTCAGGACGGCCTACTGCTTCGCAGACGAATACCGCACGTCTGTTGTAAGGCTGAGCAGTGTCTTCTGGTTTTACAACAATCATCGGTCGTGATCCATTCAGATCTTGGATCTTGATCGGTGATGTGGGTAATGATGGCACTCCCTTTCCAACTTTATTGATAGCAATGATGCGGAACTCGTAGTCGTGGAATTCTTTCAAGCCGGGCACAGTGAACTCAGGCTCGCGAACATTGTAGTCGCTAACCTTGGTCCACAAAGTGCTTCCGTATTCACGCTGCTCCACGATGTAGCCAGTGATTGGAGATCCACCATCGTCGAGTGGAGGAACCCAAGTAAGCGTGACATGGTTGCGTCCGATAGAGGTGGCGTTTGCTTGACTGGGTGGTCCAGGAGGCCCGAATTTGGCCTTCAGCTTGGCGCGATCCGAAGGCGCTGATGGCTTGGAAAAGCCAGCAGCATTCTTCGCGCTCACTCTGAACTCATACTCTCCTCCTTCACGGAGGTTGTTCACACGTAGCGTCGTCCCTGTCACCAGGTCGTTACTAGCGTTGATCCATTTTCCTGACAATGCGTCACGATACTGCACTTGGTAGCCGATGATCTTTGAGCCTCCGTTCGCAGGTGGATCCCACTCAACTTCAGCCCAGGTGGCGTCCATGTCGCGAACGACAGGTGGTTCAGGTTGACTAGGGACATTGAACTGGTATTTCGCAGTTATCGGTTCGGGATTCTCAAGAGGCTCAGAAACTCCGAACTGGTTTTCAGCGCGAACACGGAATTTATACATCTCTCCCTCAAGTAGATTGGATACTGTGTAGGTTGTATTTCTCACAAACGACGAGGCTTTCTCCCACACAGGCTCGACACCTTTGAGACACATCTTTTCCAATACATAGTTGGTGATCGGTGATCCTCCATCGGTTTTTGGAGGATTCCAAGATATAGTGCAACAATCGGGTGCGATGTCAGTAATTTCGAGTGGTCCAACAGGTACGCCTGGACGATCGACCACTCGTAACTTTACGGTAGCACTGTCCTTGCCCATAGAGTTTTCTAGCTGAAAAGGCTTGTTTGCAGCATTCACCAATCTGAATTCTTAGTTATCTCTTACCGAGATTGTGTATTGTCCGCTGTCACTGATTTCACAAGAGTCAATCGTCATCACTGTCAGATAGTCATTGCTTTCAACTTTGTTCCTCTTGTCGCGCTCATCCAGCACCAACTCTCCCTTGGACCATTTGATTTTCGGCATAGGAGAGGCGCTGTATGGAACCAAAATCTGAAAGAGATAGAGCTTCTTGGAAGTATCTGGGTAACAGATGTGCTCAGATTCAATTTTTCTCAATATCATGAAGGGCCCAAGAGGGAGGCCCCCAAAAATATCAAAAATTCGCATTCTTCAATATTTTACATGTCAAGAAATTAAATGAACTTTTGATGCAAAAGGTGCAAATGACCTTAGCGGTTTCTCCAGCATAGGCGATGATATCTCTGGTGAGCATGCCCATGTTGATAACAGGCTTCGTGGGTGTTTTTTCGGCTGCAATTGGGAAGCTTTCCTCGCTCCAGTCTCCGTTACCAGCTGCGTTCGTAGCGCATACGCGGAATTCATACTCCTTCTTTGGTGTCAATCCGGTTACCTAAAACCAAATTTGGTGTGAATTATGAAGTCACTGATTAGGAAGCGCTTTACCCTATATTTGGTGTCCGGAACTGCGCCGAATGCCGCCTTCTTCCATTCTTTAGTACCGACTTCTCGTTTTTCGATGACATATCCTTGGATTGGAGCACCACCGTCTGTCAGTGGTCGGCTCCACTGGAGGGTGATGGCCTCCTCAGAAGTTTCTAGGGCTTCTGGCTGTCCAGGTGGTCCAGGAGTAGCTAAAAAAGTTATTGAATTCATTTATATTCTTTGGTGCTAATAGCAGAAATCTCACTGAATGGATCCTTGGCAACGATTACATCGTCCGTCTCGAGTGGTTGTCCCACGCCGTACTGATTTTCGGCAGAGACACGGAACTCGTAAGCTTGATTTTTGTCAAGGTTCCTCACCCGCATAGAAGTGCCGACCGGATGGCCAACCATAACCCATTCGCCACCTGGAGTTCTCTTCTCGACAACGTAGTTCGTGACGTCGTCACCTCCATTGTCCTTTGGAGGCAACCAGTTCAGTGTCATCGCGTCTCCCTGGATGTCCGATGCTTTGATAGGCCCTGTCGGTTTGCCTGGCACATCCAGCACTTTCACGTTGAGCTTGGCAGTATCCTTGCCAAATCTGTTGGAAACGACAATCTTGTAAGGGCCAGCATCGCTTCTCTTTGAATCTGTGGTCGTGATAACGACGGCGTCAGGAAGCACGTCAATAACTGTACGGTCATTCTCGAATAGTGGTGTGTTTCCGTTGAATAGATCCACGATGGGCTTAGGATTGCCACCACTGTACGGAATCTTGATCTGGATAGTTTCTCCAGCCCGTACAGTGATATCTTTGAGGTTTGATAGGTCGAATACTGGTCGTCCTGGTTGTTCTTGGATAACCACTAAGTCTGATGGTTTTGAAGGCTCGCTTTCTCCAGCTGAGTTCACAGCAACAACTCGGAATTCGTATTCTTCTTTCTCGCCAAGGCCATCCACAACAAGAGATGTTCCCTGTAAAGCGATGATGTGATTACTGTCAGTAGACCAACATGGAAACAGTCGTACCTTAATCGGCTTGGCATTGACCCTCGTCCATTCTGGGTCTCCAATTTTCTTCTTTTCAACATAGTAACCATCAATCGGCGCGCCGCCATCCTTTGTTGGCTTACTCCACAACACTTCAGCGGAGTTCTTGGTTATACTGCCGATTCTTGGCTGATCAGGTGCTCCAGGTGGTACTGGAAGAAGAGTGTAACGTTTACAATTATGCGGTAAGTTAATATTAAAGAAGCTTACCAACAAATGGCTTGCAAGTCACTGGATCGCTTCCATTACTGGCTTCTCCCTGACCTGCAGCGTTAACGGCTCTTACACGGAATTGGTAGGTCTCTCCTTCATGGAGGTTAGGAATGGTAACTTCAGTACCCTTGATGAGAGGCATCTTGACTGGTGCCCAGTCACCACCGCCCTTCTTCTCAAATCTCTCAAGAACGTATCCAAGGATTGGAGATCCACCATCGTCTTTTGGTGGATTCCAAGCAAGCGATACAAGATTCGAGTCGTATCCGGTGACCTCCGGAGTGGAAGGTGCTCCTGGTGGATCGAACGGATCCTTGATCAAGACCGGGGCTGTTGTAATGTAGTCTGAAGCGCCAACTAGGTTTTCCGCTTTGATTCTGAAGCGGTACTGTTCGCCATGTTCTAAACCGCGAACGGTATACGATGTGCCAGCAACACCACCAGGAACTTTCTCCCAAATTGACGATCCAATAGGTTGATATTCAATCTTGTATCCGGTGATCTCTGAGCCTCCATCGTCCTTGGGAGGTGTCCACTTGAGTGTGCAAGTATGCCTCGTTACCGCATCGCTTGCAAGTCCTTCTGGAGTTCCCGGCTTGTCAATGACGGTAACCTTAATATCAGCTTCAGCTGTTCCGTAAGCGTTGGAAGCTTTGATCTTGATAGGACCCGCATCGCTACGGCGAGCCTTTTCGATGCAGAGACGTGTCTGAGAATCGGTGGTCTCTATTAGTGGCATGTCCTTGCCATCCTTGATCCATTTGACTTCCGGTGTTGGAGAGCCATGCATCGGCACAACAATGTCGAGCTTTTCACCGACTTTGACACGGAACTCCTTGCCGTTGATATCCATATCGAAGACTGGGGCTTCAAACATAGGTTTGGCAGTGGCAGCGGCAGAGGGATCCGACGGCGCTCCGGGACCGCTCTTGTTTACGGCTACAACTCTGTATTCGTAAGTGTGGTCCTTCTGGACTCTCACATCCGAGAATGTCGTTCCACTCACAGGCGTTGTGTTTACCTAGAAATGGTAGTTGGGATGTAAAGAAATTTTTTTGCGCTAATTGTAAAAAAGAATATATCATTTATTTTACCTTGATCCACCTTCCACTCTTGGCGTCTTTCCTTTCCACATCGTAATGCTCAATAGGAGAGCCACCGTTATCTCGTGGTGGATCCCACTTGATGTCGATATGGTCATTATCAGTATCCACGATTTGAGGCTAAATAGAAACACTGCTAATTTCTCTTTACCGTGAATTACACGAACAACTTACCTGTCCAGGCTTTCCGGGAGCTCCAAATGGATCTTTAGCAAGTACTGGTTCGGTCGTATTCAGTGGATCTGATCGACCGAATGCGTTTTCTGCCATGACTCTGAACTCGTATTCGTGTCCTTCGGCGAGCTTTGGCACGGTCACTTTCGTTCCTGTCACGAATGCCGACACAGGAACCCAGGTGTTCGTTTTAGTGTCGCGTTTCTCGACTACGTAGTTGGTGATTTCGGATCCTCCATCGTCAGCCGGTGGCTTCCAGCTGAGCACGCAGCTATCCTTGGTTACATCTGAGACTTCTAATGGTCCTACAGGAGAACCAGGGTGATCTGGAATTCATATCAGTCATTCTCTTGAAATCAGATACCCTCACAAAGTCTTACCTTGTATAACGACTTCAAAGACACCCTCATCTTCACCAACTTCGTTCTTGATTTTTAGCGTGTACAATCCACTGTCACTTCTTTTTGCGCTTGGGAAGAATATGCTGGTTAGGCCAGGCTTAGATTCGACCAAAAGCTCTTGTGGCAGAGCTTGACCGTCTCCGAAGGCCCAAGTCGCTATCGGCTCGGGTGCTCCGGCATACTCGATCTCCATGTTGTGTGTGTTACCGGCTTTGATCTTGATCTTGCGATTTTGAGTAAGTATTCTTGGTTTTACTGAAATACCATAATTGCAGATGTTTCGATTTTTTGGTGAATCTTATAACTCACAGTATCTTGCTTTAGCCATCTGAGCATCAGTGGGTTCAGATGGATCCGAAGGACCAGCTTCGTTGACAGCAATAACTCGGAACTCGTATTCCGTTCCAGTTTTGAGGTTGTTTGCGGAGAAGGTAGTACCGGAAGTCTTTCCAGCTTCGTTCCAAATGGCGCTGCCTTTCTCCTTCTTTTCCACGATATAGGTTTTCACCGGACTTCCGCCGTTGTTCGCTGGTGGTTTCCATTGTATATCAATGCGATCCTTATCCCAGTCAACTACTTCTGGTTTATCGACTGGGTCAGGCACGTCTGCAAAATCATCGGTTAAGCACGCAGGAACCTTTTCACAGCGCTATGAATGCTCACCGAATTCGTTCTTGGCGATGATCGGTTCTAGAGTCTCGAGCGGTTTTGACTCTCCTTGGAGATTCACGGCCATCACTCGGAACTGGTACTCTTTGCCATTGATGAGCTTGTTCACCTTAGCCGTACATTCAGGGAATTCTCCCACTTCCTGCCAAGTCCCGCGAGATGTGTCCATCTTTTCGACGCGGTAGTGGAGAATTTCCGTTCCTGAAAAGAATTAATTGGACGTGAAAACTTCAAACGCAGTATGAAAACGCTACCTCCATTATCGACGGGAGGTTTCCAGTTGAGTGTACATCCTTCCTTATGGATCTCATTGACCTTTAGCGGTCCCTCAGGTGTACCTGGTACATCCAGAACCGTGACAGTGCATTGCGCTTTGTCTTTGCCGTGTTCGTTCTCCACAGTGACTGTGTACAGCCCTGTGTCTCCGCGAACACTTGAGAATATGAGAAGTTCTGATGTGGTAGGCGTTGTGGTGATGTCAGCTCGTTGGCTGTCTCCGAGATCGGTATTGTTGGCGAACCATTTCGCAGCTGGAGCTGGCTCTCCTTCAAAAGCTACTTCCAACTTGAGTGGGGTGCCTGCCTTGATGCGAATATCCAAAAGGCCGGCCAGGTTGATCTTTGGAGCCACTGGAAAACTCAGTATCGTTATCATTATTCAAAAATACGTGTCTCAGCTGTGACTCACTCTTTCTTGGCTTAGCCACGATTGGTCCAGTTGGCTCTGATGGCTTTCCGGGACCAGCTTTGTTGACAGCTTTGACTCGGAACTGGTAAGTTTCGCCTGCCACGAGGTTACCAGCTGTGGCTTTTGTCGTTTTGCCGTCTACAGTGGCGCAAGGAACCCAGTCTCCATATCTGTCTTTCTTTTCCACAATGTACTGTTCGATTGGTGCACCACCGTTGTTTTCGGGAGCCTAGATATAAATTCAAGTCAGAATAGACGTTGTGACTTGTTTTTGACCCACCTTCCATTCAAGGTCCACATGATCCTTATCCCAGTCGACTGGAGTAACATCTGTTGGTGCGCCAGGTTCATCGAATGGATTCTTTGCAACGATAGAGTGATCAGTTTGCAACGGCGCTGAGGTGCCTTGTCGATTCACAGCTTTTACACGGAATTTGTATTCATGACCTTCGTTAAGTTTGCCAACTTTCAGGTTTGTATCAGCCGTTTCACCACACTGAAACAGAGTCAACTGGTCCATTTCACTTATGACCTCACAGTCAACATATTCAGCAAACAAACAAAATACACAGTGCAAATCATCGGCTGACGACGCGACAAAAACAGCAAGAATGCAAAACCTACCGGTACCCATCGACCACCATCTTCTTGTTTCTCTACAACGTAGTTAGTGATTGGAGAGCCGCCGTCATCTTCTGGTGGATTCCAGCGCAACGTGCAACTGTCCTTTGTAATGTCTTTCACTGATAGTGGTCCCTCGGGCGTTCCGGGAACATCTGGGAAAATTCTGGTTAAATTGTTCATTAGAGTATAACAAGAGTTAAACTTACCTAGAACGTTGACGTCAACTTCTGCTTCGTCACGTCCGTTTTCGTTTGTCGCTACAATTTTGTATTTACCACTGTCGGCCCTGGCTGCGTCTTTGGTATCCAGCTTGGTATTATTGTCATTGGAGTTGTCAATTTTCGTCTTTCCAATAGATTGGATGGGTTGTCCATTTAGGAACCACTCGATCTTGGGCGTTGGCTCGCCTTCGACATTCACATCGAAGTTGATCGCCTGTCCTGCCTTGATGCGAAGATCAGTGAACATGTCTCTGTTGATCTTTGGAGGTAGATTCCTTGGCTTAGCAATCATTGCTTTGCTCGGATCGGATGGACGTGATTCTCCGGCTTTGTTCAACGCCTTCACGCGGAATTGATATGTTTGTCCTTGCTTGAGGTCATTTACGGTAGCTGTCTGTTCTTCTCCTGGTACAGCTGGTACTTTCTTTGCGGCAACCCAATCGCCATTACCAGCCTTCATCTCAATCAAGTACTCTTCAATAGGAGCACCGCCATCATCTTGTGGTGGCGTCCACTTCAAATCAGCACGGTCCTTATCCCAATCAACAATTTCGGGAGTGCCGGGCTTGTCAGCAAGTTCGAATGGATCTTTTGCGACGATGGATTGGTTTGCTTCCAGAGGATCGGACTCGCCGTAGCGATTTACAGCTTTGACTCGGAACTAAAGCGCAGTTTTAAATTACATATATGAGTACTAATTGCCGAATTCAACAAACCTTGTACTCATGGCCTTGAGCCAGATCATCGACGTGGAAGTTCGTATCTTTGCTTTCACCACAATTCGTCCATCTGCCAGTATTCGCATCTTGCTTTTCGATGACGTAGTGATCGATTTCAGCGCCTGTGACAAAAACAAGATAGACTGTGGAAAATTTTCTTCTTCTATGTTGGTGGTCAGCACTTCTACTTGATAAATTGATACAGGGAGCAGCATCACTATACTCATATTTTTCAGGATTGACGCATCCATCTAATATAGGTGAGATGAGTAAAGGATACGATTGGCATAATTTTTCTAGTCGAGAAGTCACGGCTATTAAGAGAGAAAGTTTACCTCCGTCATCATCCGGAGCTTTCCAAGCTAGATCACATCCTTCTTTGGTCACATTGCTGACATCAAGAGGCCCATGAGGTGTTCCTGGATGATCCAGAACCGTCACCTTCACTTCAGCTGTATCTTCACCATTCACGTTCTTTGCTGTTATCTTGTATGTTCCAGTGTCGGAACGAAGTGCTCTTTTCACCAGGAACTTTGTCTGCAATGGATCTGCTATAGCAGAAGTGCGCAAATAAAGTCGTATGGATATACCTTGTAATCCTCACTGTTGTTGATCTTGATGCGATCATCAGATTCCACAGGAGTCTCACCGAAAGCCCATGTGATCTCTGGTGGTGGTTCTCCGGAAACTGGCACGACAAGGTGAATTTCTTGTCCAGCGCGTACTTTTATCTCGCCCAATGCGGAGCGGTCGATTTGAGGAGGAACTGTAATGTGATTTATTCGTAAACACAGTAGTGATAATAGATTATATGTACCATTTCTGGCCTTGGCTTTCACCATCTGCGATGGATCAGACGGATCACCAGTACCAGCCTTGTTCTTGGCGCGTATTCGGAATTCATACTCATGTCCTTCTGCCAGGTTTCCTACTGTAGCGGTTGTTTGGCCTGCTGGGACCTAAATGTTTCCCCATGCTTCCTAAGAATGGGTAGGCGGTGAGTAGAAGCGGAAAATTACCTGAGCGGCTTCAGTCCACATCGGCGAATTCTTTTCTTTCATCTCAATGACATACCCCTCAATGGGAGCACCACCATCATTAGCTGGAGGGTTCCATGCGAGGTCCACGTGGTCCTTATCCCAATCCGTGACATCGGGAGCTGCAGGTTTGCCTGGTTTATCAAATGGATCCTTGGCTAATGTAGACCCGAATGTCTCCAGAGGGTCTGATTCGCCTTCGGCATTCACAGCTGCTACTCGGAACTAAAAGGAAGCCATGTGTTTATTTTGAGTCAAAGTTTTTCACTTATACTCACTTTGTACTCATGGCCTGGAATTAAGCCATCTACAACAGCTGAGGTCTTGTCTCCAGACACCTTCGTTGCTGGAACCCATCTTCCAGTAGCTGTGTCAAGTTTCTCAATAACATAGTTGTCAATCGGAATGCCGCCATCGTCATCTGGTGGCTTCCAGTCTAGTGTGCAATGATCGGCATGGACATCGCTCACTTCGAGAGGTCCATTTGGTGGGGAAGGTTTGTCTAAAAGTAATGATAACAGATTCCTTTACTGTGAAAAGTAATTAGCAGTCTCACCGATGACATTGACATGGACGGTTGCTTCATCTGTGCCATTGACATTCACTGCTCGAATAGTGTAATTTCCACTATCTCCACGTTCCAGTTGACGAATGTGAAGCTTGCTGCGATACTCCGGATTGTCCAGCTTTACGCGGCCTCCGTTACGGATTTCACGGTTATCTGGCCAGCTCCATGTGACTGTCGGCGCTGGCTCTCCTTCAACGGGAACATCCCAGACTATGGCCTGACCAGCTTTCACCTTGAATTCTTTCAGTGCGGTGCGGTCAATCTTTGGTGCCACTGTAAATGGTAAATCAGATGAAATAACCAAGGAAGGCAATAGTCAATACTTACAGTTGCGCGGTTTGGCGATGACAGGTTTGCTGGCGTCACTAGGATCGGATGGACCACCTTTGTTAACGGCGACGACACGGAACTCGTATTCTTCTCCAGCTGTCAGGTCGGGTACAGTCGCCGTTGTTTGGCCTCCAGGAACAGTGATAGCTGGTTCCCATCTTCCATATTTGGATCGCTTTTCGATCTGGTATTCTTCGATTGGGGCGCCGCCATTATTGAGCGGTGGATCCCACTTCAAATCCACGTGATCCTTATCCCAATCAGTAGGTTCAGGCTTTCCTGGTTTGTCTGGGCGATCGAAAGGATTCTTTGCAAGCACGTCGGTGTCGCTCTCCAGCGGATCCGAAGCGCCTTCACTGTTTACTGCTTTTACACGGAACTTGTAGTGGTCTCCCTTGTTCAGAGTATCCACTACGAAGGAAGTGTCGGCGGTTCGACCGCACGGCACCCAGATACCGTCTTTTGTGCTCATTTTTTCAACCTCATAGTGCTCAATGGGCTCACCACCGTCATCCTCTGGCGGTTTCCAGCTGAGTGTAGCACGATCTTCGAATACGTCCTTCACATCCAGCGGACCTTTTGGCTTCGATGGCTTGCTCTTCACTTTGATCTCGATTGTCACCGAGTCAGTGCCGCTGCTGTTAAAGGCTGTGATCGTATACTTGCCGCTTTGTTTTCGAACTGCTTTCTCTATGTTGAAGCGAGACAGATAGTCCTCGTTCTCGATTTGTGCCTGAGATTATTTTTAATCGTTAGCTTGCCGAAATGTTCTCAAAATTATTTCATACCTTGCTTTCTCCAATTCCTTTGTCGTTGAATGTCCATCTCACATCAGGAGCTGGCTCACCATCGATGTGAATATTGAATTTGATTTGCTGTCCTACACGAACAGTTGTGTCCTCCAGATCCTCCCGATGAATATGAGGAGCCACTGAAAAGATAAATTGATACACGTTGTTAGTGCTCTGGCACATGGCCAACAATTGGGGCGAAATTTACAGAAGAGAATGACTGTTCGACTTACAGTAATTTACAATGTAATGTAATCACTATCACTCACAGAATCTTGTTTTGGCAATGATCTTGTCTGAGGGATCGGACGGCTCTCCAAGGCCTGCCTTGTTCTTAGCAACAATTCTGAACTGGTACGCTTCGCCTTCCTTTAGATTACCAACAGTTGCCTTCGTTTCTCCTGCTGGTACTCTCAGGACCTAAACAAAGAAAAATTGTTGTAGATAAAATTCTCTCAACAGCTTACTTCTTCCCATCGTCCATGTTTATCTTTCTGCTCGATGACATACTCTTCAACAGCAGCTCCGCCATCGTCAGCTGGTGGTTTCCATTCCAAATCTGCATGGTCCTTGTCCCAATCTGTCACATCGGGTTTGTCAACTTTCCCTGGGACTTCGTAAGGATTCTTGGCAAGAATTTCCTTATCCGTAGTTAGCGGATCCGACTCGCCCTCTTTGTTGACAGCGCGAACTCGGAACTGAAAAATAAGACATGAAAGCAGAGAGACCAGATTATAGAGGTATTCTTACTTTGTACTGATGTCCTGGCTGTAGGTTATTCACGGTAGCCGTTGTGCCCTCAGCTCGACCACATGGTACCCATCTGCCTGTGGCTGCGTCTTGCTTTTCAATCTCGTAGTGATCGATAGGAAGACCTCCGTCATCCGCTGGGGGCTAAATTTGCGCTTTTCATTCGAGTTTTCTTCTGCACGCTATGTATGCAACTTAATTCTTCTTTACGCTACGCACCTTCCACGACAGGTCGCATTTGTCCTCGAAGACATTGCTGACATTCAATGGGCCTTCCGGCGCACTAGGTTTTCCAAGTACCGTAACATCTACACTGTGGGTATCGGTGCCACTGGCATTCTTTGCTGTGAGTGTATATTTTCCTGCATGGGCTCGAGTTGCTCCTCTCAAGGCAAACTCGATGCGATAGTCTTCTTCGATGATCTGCATAGAAGATGGCGTTAGACATTTTCACACAGACTTTTTTAATTGCTCTCAAATTACCGATATCTTCGTGTCCTCAGCGATCTGTTTGTCATTGAAAAACCATGTCTTCGTTGGTGGCGGTTCACCTCGGACTGGCACATCATATACAACGTCTTGCCCAACTTTGATGGTTATGGCTTTCATCTTTTCTCGGTCAATCCATGGTTTCACTAAAAGCCGCTATATCTTCTTTTCTCCGTTTACATATCACAGAAAAGCACAGTGGTTCAAGATCCCCAGTAATCCATGTATAAAATCTTTACCAACTTACCACACTATTTGTAAAAATCTAGCTTGCTATCGTTTTAATACATAACACAAATTTTTCTGTTAATTGTCTGAGTTCCTCTTTCTTCTTACAATATCGAGAAATTTTTGAAGTTGTCCAAAAGTTACAAATCTATGCAAGTGACCTGATTCTGCTTAGAAATATTTTATGAAGTTCTTCAAGATATAAAACTCCAAAATTAACTTCCTAGGAAAGAATTTCAAGGGACTAACGCGCCTACTTCGAGAAAATTTTGGAAAAATAAGCTCCCCCAAAATTCGGGAAGGTTATCCAGTTAAGTTTCTGGAGGGCTTGGCAACGCATGCCTTTTTTCACCTCGCAAAAAACTCTATGACTGTCACTTAGCGTCTATTTTCTTCCTATGGAAAGCTTACGATTTCTGGGCTTCGCCACGACTTTTCTGCTAGGATCAGAAGCTTCTCCTGGTCCGGCTTTGTTCACGGCTTTAACACGGAATTGATATTCTTCTCCTTCTTTTAGACCCATGATGGTAGCAGTAGTCTCATCTCCGGAAACCTAAAATAATTTGCTGATTTCAAAATTCAGAAAAAGTTGAAGGAACTTACTTTTCCACATTCCTGCCATTCTCGTCCATGTTTTCCTTTCTTCTCGATTATGTACTGAGTGATTGGTGCACCTCCATCTGAATCCGGAGGTTGCCATTCGAGCGAAACACGATCTGCGTCCCAGTCAGTGACTTCGGGAGTGTGCGGCTTCCCAGGTTCGTCTGTAAATGTATCATAGTAGGGAAATAACGAAGTGTGCATAGTTAATAAGTGAAGGAAAGCTCACCGTAAGGATTTTTAGCCTTAGTTTCTTTTTCGGTTTGAAGCGGGTCAGAAGCACCTTCTTTGTTGACCGCTTTGACGCGGAACTGATAGGACTGACCTTTTTTCAGGCCGTCGATATGTGCTTTGGTGTCGTGCACCTTAAACAATTTAAGTTAGAACAAATACGAGGGTGAAATGAAAGTTACCTTTGCACAAGGTACCCATCGACCAGAGTCAATATCGAGTTTCTCTACTTCATAATATTCGATCGGATCACCCCCATCATCATCTGCAAGGGAGAAACATAATTTATTAGTCAGGCGGAAGAGAAGGAGGCGAGGGGGGGGGGAGGCAGGGACCAAGAGTATCAACTATAAACCTGGTGGTTTCCATGCGAGATTACAGTTGTCTTCGAATACATCTGAGACCTCTAGTGGTCCATTAGGCTTGCTAGGCCGATCAAGTACAGTCAAATCAGCTGCCTCAGTGTCTTGGCCATACGAATTTTTCACGGATAGCCTGAATAAAGTTTACTCGGGAGTGGGAGCATAACGCTTTGGAATCTTGCCTGTATTTGCCGCGATCCGCTCTAACCGCAGAAGGGATGCAGAGGATAGTGTGATCATTTCTCTTTGTGTCAATACTAAGGTTTAGTGAAGGTTCGATAGGTTTGTCTTCCTTGGTCCAAACGACTTCTGGCACCGGCTCTCCGCCAATTTTCACTTCCCATCTGACCGTTTGTCCAGCCTTCACTGTCAGGCTTTTCAGGCAATCATGCTTGAGCCATGCGGGAACTGTAAGGAGAAGTCGTGGCATAACTAGAGACGATGACAATTTGATAAAAATCTCACTGAATTTCGGCTTTGCCAGCTGTTTCTCGGACGCATCTGAGGGATTACCGACTCCGGCTTTGTTCACTGCCTTCACTCGGAATTGGTATTCTTTACCCTCTGTGAGTCCACCAATAGAAGCATTTGTGTCTAAAATAGTTCTTTGTGCCGTTAATATACAGCTTAACTATCTTTCAAGAATAAGTTCTAGAGCACGCGCTTCGCCCACCTTTTGATCTTGCAATTTCGCGCCATTCTTTCGTGTCTGGATCACGAACTTCGATAATGTATCCTTCGATGGGAGCACCTCCATCCTTATGTGGAGGATCCCATTCGAGGTCGATTCTGTCTGCGTCATAGTCGGTAACAGTTGGGCGTCCAGGCTTTCCTGGTTCGTCCCATGGATCCTTCAAACAATTATGCTGTCGCAAATGTCTTTGAAAGCTACTAAGTACTCTACTTTGATCAGTGTGTATTGGTCAGCTGTCAGTGGTTCTGACTCGCCTTCGTTATTTACAGCTTTTACCCTGGAAGCAATCGCATGTGTATAAATATCACTCAAAATTTCTTCCCTAAAGTTACCTGAATTTGTAGTTTCCTTTGTTTCTCAAGCCTTTGACTTTGGCTTCTGTAGTCTTCCCGTCGACGCGAGCAACCTAAAATGCTGATCTATATCTCTTTTATGATTCAAAAAATATAACTGCTCAATGTGCGCAGCTAAATCCTCAGCTAGCTCTTGACAGAGCGTTTAGTTTACGACAAAATACCAAATAGAATTTTTCCGGAAAACTCACCTCGACGTATTTGCCTTTGTTGTCCATATCTTGGGCTTCAATCACGTAACCAGTCAGTGGATCTCCGCCATCATCCTAAATGAGTTGCAATATTCAGAATCGCATGAATAGGTTGGGCTGTTGCGTTATCAATCGATGAGAATGTCTGTTATCAGATTACGAATGATGAAGACAGATTATAGAAAAAGAGCTTTTTTCATTATTCCTAAACATTTGAGATTAGAAAATTTGTCAACCTCTGGCGGGTTCCACGACAATGTCGCTCCATCTGCATGCACATCAGTGATGTCAAGTGGTCCCTTAGGTGGAGTCGGTCGTCCTACTACAGTAACCCTTGCCGTACTGTCGGCCATACCGCTGGCGTTTTTCAGAATAATGACGAACGTTCCAGAGTCGGACCTTTCCGCATTTTCTATCTGTAAAGAAGATAATAATTTAGACTCTTTATAAAAGTTGTCAAATCGCTCTCAGTACCTTCAATTTCGTCTTCCCTCTTTCTGTGCTCATCTTTACTCTTCCGACGGGTTTCAGCGGTCTTCCGTCGACGACCCATGATACTTCAGGAATGGGCTCACCAGTGATGGCCACGTCGTATTTGATGGTTTCACCGACTTTGAGGCGGAGATCTTTGATGCCTCCACCGGGGAATTCGGGTGCAACTGGAGAAAAAATCGAAATAATGGGTGGATTCACAAACTTGGTTGAAATAGTGTGAAAAAGGAAGTTGTCGAATCTTTGATAGCGAAATTGAAATATTATCCTAAAAGGAAGCGAAGAATTTGCTGACACATGGGGTGGATTGTGGTAAGTTCTATGTACTATACATAAAACTACAGTTACTAATGATCCTAACATAAGGTTGTAGTTTTTGGGTGGTCTATCTATGTTAGTTACTAACACTCAAGATATCAAAGCACATATATAGCGCAAAGCGAAGCGAAGCCAAACAAAAAGTATGCGAACCTGGTTTTGCTTTGATTTTTATACTGTTTGAGTGATCGCACGGATCTCCCTGGCCGGCTTTGTTGACGGCTCTGACTCGATAGAAGTACTCCTTATCCTCGACTACCTTGTCGTCGGTCAGGTAGTGAGTGCCTCTTCCTTCAGCCGGTGTGGTACCGACTACTTTCCAATCCTTTTCGGACTTCTCCCTTCTTTCAACGACATACTCGGTGATGGGAGAGTGACCATCTTCTTCTGGGGGATCCCACTGGAGAGTGACATGATCCATATCCATATCGGCAACGTCCAGATTTTTAGGTTTGCCTGGCGTTGCTGAACAAAGAATTCGGGTTAGGAACTAAACATCAAGGCACACAGTGGCGGCGATTCTCAGCTATAAGCGATATTGGCAAAAAATGTGCAAAAAGCTAGTGAAGGTTAGTGTTGATTGCCAAATTCTGAACGAACGTGGACATGGTTACTTTGACATACACACTTTGACATACTTTCCAACAAAAGGAATCTAACTTTCAACGGGATTACGCGCTGATTTCTGGCTACAACTACATTACTCAAATAACGAAAGTCTTTGTTTACCTGATTATGTAAGCAAGAGTGAACTTACTGTATGGATTCTTGGCGATCACAGTGTCTCCCGTCAACGGATCGGACTCTCCAACTTCGTTGACGGCTTTTACACGGAATTTGTACTCTCCATTTTCTTTCAAATCTTTCACCTAGAATGGGAGAATCACTGGAGTTATGCAAACCCTAGCTCTCAACAGCCTTATAGTACAAACTTTGAATTCGGTGCCTTTAGTTTCGGCGATCTTCTTCCACTGGCCGCTCCTTCCTTCCTGTACTTCAACAATGTACGCCTTAACTGGCTGGCCTTCGCCACCTTCTGGTTGTCCCCATTTGAGATCCAGACCTAAACAGAATAGTTTTCAAGCAAAGTCCAGCACATAAGCCCATATTTCGAAATTCCTCCAGAAGGGCATGAAGGATGACGTACTTTCAGACGTGACGTTTTTCACTTCCAAAGGTCCTTTTGGAGCCTTTGGCTTGTCCTTTACAAACAGCTCAAATGGAGCCAGAGCGGTACCGGCTGAGTTACCTAGCTCCAGCGCCCATTTGCCCGTGTCGGCCAGCTAAAACAGATTACATTGGAAAAGTTCAATTCGACAACGAGCAAACCTGTGGGTTTTTGAATTTGATCTCAGCAACATCTCCGTTGATTACAACTTCAACGAGATCTTTCATGCTTTCGTCAATGGGTTTTCCATTTCTGAGAATGACTGGCTTTGGATCACCACGTCTTGTGCCTTTGATTTGGAATGGCACCTGGAAAATGTACACTAACACGGGAGGAAGGGGAAGGCTCGGGACAAGCCTACTTTCACAACGCATGGTTCTCCAGCTTTAGCTTCAATCTTCTTCGGTTTCCAGTTCAGTACTGGACGTTTTTCAGCCTCTAGCACTGTGACGAAACAGTTGCCTACAAGACCGGCAACGTCGATCTCATAATTTTCGCCCTCATTCATCTCGATTTTGCTGATCTTTAGCGTATGTGTTCCATTTCTGGATTGTGTCTCGAATTTGCCACCTGCAAAAACTCTTACAGCTTACTCAATGATAGGGAATTGGTAGAAACTAACCAGGCATGCTGGTGATTTTAGCTCCATTTCGATTCCACAGTCCGGGAGTTTTGGTGTCTTTTGTCTGGCACGTCATCACAACGTCTTCCTTCTCGACAACTTCCATATCTTTCAGTTTAATGATGAATTTATTCAGGGCTGAAAAGAATCGTGGGAAATGCAAGAAAAAAATCTCTCTGCACATTAATCTTACGTTCGACGATGAGCTGTGCCATAGTCTTGTCATCCTTCGTTGTGCATTTGTACTCGCCGTGGTCTTCAATTTTGGCCGAGTTGATAATGAGTCTTCGTTTGCGACTTACTTGCTCTGTTTTGTATCTGAATATCATATTTTTGGGGATGTTTGGGCCACAAGTATATAAAAGAGAGCAGAAGGGAAGAGCGGATTCTTGCAAGACATTAGTTGTCAGTTTTCACGAAGAAAAGAGCTAGTAGGATGGACAACTTTGGTCGTTGACTTGTTTAGCGAATTATTCCGCTTAATAAAAAATTGCAATTCCATTTTTGCCCCTTTTGAAACAAATCATGCAGTAAAAAATCCAGTCACAAATAAGAAAGTTCTGGAAAGCCTTTGAATCGTACAAAAAATTTACTTGACTCCATCGATATTGATTTTAACACCATCATGCCACCATTCGATATCTGCGTCTTTGTCGTTTACATCGGTCTCCAAAGTAGCCGCTTCATTCTCGTTGACCTTTTGTGATTTCAACGGAACCACGAAGGTGTGCCGTGGTTCTGCAAGTGAAAGTTTTTTGTGAAAGAACTCAACGATGATGTTTTGCTGCCCACCTTCCACGTAAACTTGAACCTTGCTGAAAACATCGTTCGTGATTCGAGCAGTCCACTCTGCCTGGTCAGCTTGTTCGACCGTCTTAATTGTCAGTGTGCATCTACCAACTGCATCCTTTTCAATGTTGTATCGTGGATCGTTGCTGCAAAGAAAATGGTAGCAGGGGCGTTGTTAGCATAATCGTTCATAACTGTCAGTCTAACGTAATTATCGAAAGCTTTACAATTAAACACATAGATGTGAATGAATATAGTAGGATGTATGTAACCAAGTTATATATAAAGGTGTACTTGAGTTTTTCTTTTGAGCTCACTAGATACGAGGCCTTTTTTCAGACTCCGTTCCTTTCTTTTTTTGCATCAAAAATAGTCTGTTAAAAATGTACCGAAACGTAAAAAGAGCATATTATGATTTCCGAAAAATTTGACGTAATGGTTACCCTAATATTCTTGTTAATCAAATCTTATTACTTGCAAATTGAAATTTCCCACAATATGAGCTTCATTATTGTTTATCAATTCTTTACCGAAAAGTTGCACCAAAACAATTAAAACACTGAAAAATAGAATGTGGAATAAAGATAGAATGCAGGATACATGCAGAGTCTTGGAAAACTGTATATAAAGTTGTAATTATTATTTTTTTCAAAAAATATGAACTTACGGATCAATCGCTTGATTGCCTCGGTACCAGACAAGCGGGGCTCGTGGCGTGTTCACTTTACAAGTGAGCACTGCTTGTTTCGTTCGATAGATTTCTTGAGTGTTTGGTAGAGGATTTAAAAATGAGTATTTCATTGGTGGTTCTGAAAAGAATCATTACGGGCTTTTTGAGAATCCGCAATCTATGTTTTAGCAAATACTTACCGAGAACGGTAAGAATGGCATTAGTGGGGAGACCATTTGCTTCGCATGTGTACTTGCCAGAGTCATCGACTTCCGGATTGTTGATAATCAACGTACAAACTGCTTTTTCGATTACAATTTTGTACTTCAACCCTGAACTTGAGAAAAATTGAGGAATGCTGGGTGGGATGGTGATAGTGACTAACCTCCGGAGAAGATCTCTTTCCGATCTTTGTACCATCGAATTTTTGCATTTGGACGGGAATATACGCATTTCCATTCTGCGAATTTATCAACCTAAAAATGCATAATGTACAATACAAAGTAAGAGTACTATGTAAATTTTGTTGTTTGATTTAATAACAAACAAATCTTATTATTTGTTTGAATTATTGAGTCAATTCAGAATAGGCCAAGCATACCTTTCTGTGAAGCTAGTGTTTATTTTTTTTTTGAAAGAATAGAACAAAATTAGACCATGAAAAAGCGCCTCAGTGACGTGAGACCTCTGCGAGAATTAAGTTGGTAAGTAACCCACAATTTTATTGATTTCCAATTTTGATTTGATTTTTTTTTTTGATTTTGATGCCAATGTAAGGAACCATTTTTTTCTTTCTTGTGAGGTAAACTTCCGCGATGTTAACTATTTATCAATGAAAGGCATTCACGGAACATATGTTCAGATGCAATTGTGTCTTCCCCCACAAAAAAGTTGGTTTTTTGAACATCAAATCTAATCCAAAAGTATTGATCAGCTTTTCGAATCTCTACTTATCAGCTTTATGTCTAACTAGCTGGCTTACCCGGCTCCGCCGTATCCGGACCAAACTTGGCACACATACACTTCGGGCCCCGGCGCGTGTCACAGTCCACTTTTCGTTATCGATCGATGTCGATCTTACCGATTTTTATCGATTTTTTCGCAGAGTTCACCCTACAGGGCTAGGGGTTGGCACAGGGGGGAAGTGAGCATGGGGATTCCGAATACAATATTAGTTTTCAGAATTATCGATTGCTTTTATTGATTTTATCGATTTTTTGGCAGAGTTCACCTACAGGGCTAGGAGTTGGCACAGGGGGGAAGTGAGCATGGGGATTCCGAATACAATATTAGTTTTCAGGATCGTCCATTACTTTTATCGATTTTATCGATTTTTTGCAAAGTTTGACCTGCGGGGCTGGGAGTTTGCACAGAGGGTAATCGAGCATGCAGATTACGAATACAATATTAGTTTTCAAGATCGTCCATTACTTTTATCGATTTTATCGATTTTTTGAAAATTTGAGCTAGGGGGCTGGAATTTGGCACAGGGGTGTTCGAGCATGCTGATCACCCCCCTTGGGGAACATCGATCGATAACGAAAAGTGGACTGTGACACGCGCCGGGGCCCGAAGTGTATGTGTGCCAAGTTTGGTCCGGATACGGCGGAGCCGGGTAAGCCAGCTAGTTAGACATAAAGCTGATAAGTAGAGATTCGAAAAGCTGATCAATACTTTTGGATTAGATTTGATGTTCAAAATCTTATATATAAAGCTGAATGTCTGTTTGTATGTATGTATGTATGTCTGTCTGTATGTATGTATGTGTGTACGTATGTTCCGAATAGAAAATTCCATTTCTGAACCGATCCGGACCAAACTTGGCACACATACACTACGGGCCCCGGCGGGTGTCATAGGCTACTTTTCGTCATCGATCGATATCGATCTTACCGATTTTTATCGATTTTTTCGCAGAGTTCACCCTACAGGGCTAGGGGTTGGCACAGGGGGGAAGTGAGCATGGGGATTCCGAATACAATATTAGTTTTCAGAATTATCGATTGCTTTTATTGATTTTATCGATTTTTTGGCAGAGTTCACCTACAGGGCTAGGAGTTGGCACAGGGGGGAAGTGAGCATGGGGATTCCGAATACAATATTGGTTTTTAGGATTATCGATTACTTTTATCGATTTTATCGATTTTTTTGCAAAGTTTGACCTGCGGGGCTGGGAGTTTGCACAGAGGGTAATCGAGCATGCAGATTACGAATACAATATTAGTTTTCAAGATCGTCCATTACTTTTATCGATTTTATCGATTTTTTGAAAATTTGAGCTAGGGGGCTGGAATTTGGCACAGGGGTGTTCGAGCATGCTGATCACCCCCCTTGGGGATGATCAGCATGCTCGATTACCCCCCTGTGCCAACTCCCAGCCCCCTAGCTCAAACTTTGCAAAAAAATCGATAAAATCGATAAAAGTTATCGATAATCCTGAAAACCAATATTGTATTCGGAATCCCCATGCTCGATTACCCCCCTGTGCGAACTCCCAGCCCCGTAGCTCAAACTTTGCAAAAAAATCGATAAAATCGATAAAAGTAATCGATAATCCTAAAAACCAATATTGTATTCGGAATCCCCATGCTCGATTACCCCCCTGTGCCAACTCCCAGCCCCGTAGCTCAAACTTTGCAAAAAAATCAATAAAATCGATAAAAGTAATCGATAATCCTGAAAACCAATATTGTATTCGGAATCCCCATGCTCGATTACCCCCCTGTGCCAACTCCCAGCCCCGTAGGTGAACTCAGCAAAAAAATCGATAAAAATCGATAAAATCGATATCGATCGATGACGAAAAGTAGCCTATGACACCCGCCGGGGCCCGTAGTGTATGTGTGCCAAGTTTGGTCCGGATCGGTTCAGAAATGGAATTTTCTATTCGGAACATACGTACACACATACATACATACAGACAGACATACATACATACATACAAACAGACATTCAGCTTTATATATAAGATATATTACAGAACAGTCATGATTTGCACATTTTTACACTTTGACACCTTTATCTATGAAGTGAATATGCTCATTCGTTGCTAAATGAGCAATCTCACCTGTTGCTGAACTGTTTTGTCTTCGAGCGGCTGTTCCCATTTTTCAACTTTTTTACCCGGGAACAGAGATTGCCGCCTTTCAGCTTCGGTCATCGGCTTTTGCGATTCATCTTCTTTCTGACTTGTTTGGTCTTTATCTCTGAAGGAAAGTAAATTTGATTATCAAGTATCCGCTTGGGAAACTGAGAAAATTTCTAACAATAGGGAAATGAAATGGGAATATTAGATGCTGTGCGAGGAGGAGTAAGTGAGTATGCGACGAAAAAGTGCATATGAGACCATGGACATGACAAAGGTGGTAACGGTAGGATTGTGCTGCTACTTATGCTCGGGTAAACACACTTTGTTAAGTGAGGATTTTGGGTTAGTACGGGAACTTACTTGCCATGAAGTTTGGATTTGCGCTGTTGAGCGCTGAACAACGGCATATTAGGAAGTGAGTTGCAAATTGGGGATGAGGGGATGTGAAACCCGAAGGCGAACGCGGTATGTGCCGGTTCGCCTTGGGCTGATGTGCGAGGGACAATTGGGAACCGCAGGGAGTGGCAACAACTGTGCCATTTGTAATAAAAAAAACAGGTAAATGAAAAATTGCTTAAATGTATGGATTCTTGGTCCCCTGAAACAGCACAGGGGGTTGGCAATAAGTGGTACACGTACCTGTGCTTGAGCATGGCTCGGAAATCCAAGCCATTGTCTGACGTCACGAGCAGTTTGATATCTGCACTGTCCGATCCATTTGCATTCTCAATTGTCAGTGTGTATGCGCCATCATCCTTCAATCAATCGCATCATTTGGCTAACAAAGCTGGGTAAAAAGTTATCGTTTGCTCTTACATCTGATTTTTTTACATAACAACATTCTTTGGACATGGTGGGGCTTGCAAAAACACCATGTTTACTTTCTTCAATCAAAAATGTTCTAATAGATCAAATATTTAGAATTTTTGATAGGCTCGAAGAACGATCTTTTGACATATAACGGTGGCTATTTAAGACGAGACACCTGATGCTTCGAAACGAATTGTTATTAGCGCGAAATTGTTAGCTGTGACCGCTCTTAATGGCAGCAATAAGAAACACGAGTTCTCGTTTCAGATCATCTAATGCTGAGGACATGCGAATCCAAAATTTCTCACATTTTTTGGCCCAAAGAAAAGTGGGGAGGCGTAGACTACAAGAGGTAAGGGAAGTTTACGGAAAGAATAACTTTCGTTTTTGTTGTTGAGAATTCGCGCAACTAAATGCAAAACTGGTATCACGAACCAAAAATCATCATCTATGTATTTTAAGTAATATGTGTAAGCAACTTCACGAGACACTGAATTAGAACTAGGAAAATTTCTAGCGCATATAATTTACATATATTGAATCTGGTATAATCTCTCAAAACCTTTAGTTCTGATTTTTATTCTGATTATTTTTACTGAAATAGAAGCTCATAGATTTGGTTCGGACAAAGTATACGTTCTTTCTATCTTGCTAGATGGTTCTAGAGCTTTCTTATTATTCATCTTTTATTTTCTCTTTCGCCTTAAGGCTGAAAATGGGCTAGTCTCGCGCGTTGTTTGAACTTTCTTTCTCATTTTCTTTCTTTTTGATGCACCTCGAGTGTATTTATGAAATAAGAAATAAGAAAGAACTAAGAATGAAAAACCCTAACGAAAACAAATGACATAGTTTGCAAAAAATTTGCACGAAGACGATTGATTGAATGCAAAAGGTAACATTTAAAAAGAGTTTGATGCTCTCATTCCCTGTGCTTGCATCCTCTCACAGATTTTCTAAAGCTTCTTTCTTGGCAGGTTCGAGCATACTATTTGAAAATAAGTGTTTCAATTTGAGTAATTCAACTGATAGCGCAAATTGAACTTTCCACAGAAATAGTTGCCACCGAAGGTGGCCGCCCCTACAGTTATGCCTGATCACAACTCTTGTTTCACACAGCTCTCAAACGCTCGTCAAACCGATGACGGCAAAAATGTGACGTCAGCAACAGTCTGCACTTGTCTCCCCCACCCCCTCCATTCGCCGGAAATCCGTGACCCACCTGCGAGCGGCATTTGAGCAGTGCCAGTGACACTGAGTTCGTGTCGCCATCGGTTATGTGTCGAAAACGGCCACCGTTCAAAATTTCGCGATTTCCTTTCGACCATTTTATCGTTGGCACCGGGTCGCCTTCGATTTTACATTGAAGTATGGCAGTTTCATCTGTAAGATTGATTTTTGTTACAGCAACATTACAATAACTCTCAGATTTTGTTTGATGATAAGCATTCTACTAAATGCTCAAGCCGGGCCAGCGATACATCTCGTCTCATAAGCACAGGGCTCTCAAGAGCCGTTCTCGAAAAGTGTTTCGCCCACTCTGTTACACATATGTGCGCGACACCATCCACCTACCAAACTTCTTCATAGCGAATACCAGTCTCAAGTAATTCTGATAATTTATGTTTACATAGGAGGAATAATCTTTTGGAGAAAAGGGAATTTTTTGTGGGTGTGGTGTCACACTTCGTCATGAAGCACATACCAAGTAGCTGACGTCTTCCATGTCACTCATCACAAGAAATTTTCGATTTTCTTTCGGCTGTCCTTGCAGCGGAAGGAATAGCGAATTTTGTGTGCATGACGTGAGCTCAAACAGACCCCGCTATGCCCCAAAATACAATCTATAGAAAAATTCCGCAAAGTGCGAATTACCAAGCTACCCAGAATAACATTTGTAGAGTGCTGCTGTTTTGAAGTGTGTGTAAAGCATATAACATAAACTCTAACCTCAAAATGAGTTTTTAAACAACCGAAACTCACTTTCTACAACAGTAACGCTATCCGGTACTTCGATGATTTTTGGAGGTTTTCCTTTAGTTCCTTTTGGAACTAAAGGTGTGCTGACTTTCTCCATGATTTCCATTACAGATTCCCGTCGCATGTCGATACTGCTTCGCCGCTGCAATTGTTCAGCTTTATCTTGTCCAAAGGCATTTTTCTAGGTTAGCGCACTCATCAGTTGTGAGGAAAAACATGCATAAGGAAGAGCTGGTTAGCTTCACTCCTGGAAAGTATGTCGTCATGCAATAGATTGGCACGCATAGTCGTAGGGGAGAAGCTCAGGCGGCTCACACTTGAATCCCGTCGGGCTTCGCTTCCCCGACGCATGAAATCCATGACGGATCCACGCCGGGAGCGGGATTCCCACTCGCTCCCGGACGCTTCGCTGACGTCATCGTCGGCGATCGGCTTCAGCTTCACGCTTTCCAGGCTGCTGTCCTTGCTTTGCTTAGCGCTTCGGTCGACTTTTTTCAGCTGAATGCCTGTGAGGAAGTTTTTGGCTTCTTGCGGAGCCGCAGGCGCCGACATCTTCCTGCCCACTTGCTTTCCTTTCAAGAGTTCCTTGGGGTCGATCTGAAGCTGTCAAATTCACGCTAAGTTACTAAGGCATTGGTTTAAAAAGCGTAAAACACGTAAAACATTGTTGATTGCTTCTTTGGTTGATTTTTCAAACACTACACGGGTTATATGCGTTCATGCGTGATGTGTTAATAAGCGGAGAAGTAAGAGAGTGCATACTCGGCCGGCCGCATCAACTTCACCGGGTTTAGCTGATGAGATCGAGACTTTCTTCTGCTGCTTGTCATCCTAAATGGAAGAGATGCATGTGAACAGAGGTGCACAAGGATGTACAGGGGGAGCCCTAATTTGGGGAAATAAGAGAAACGAAAATTGGGGAAATAAAAAGAAACAAAATTGGTGTAACACTCAATATGAACACGGACAGAAAGGACGGGAACATGCAACAGATTTTATGACACGGTCCTAGCATCGTCGAAAAGTTGTTGAACCTTAATAAGTATTTGGCTCATAGTATTGTCAGGGTGTATCACAGTCAACTGCCGCTTATAATGCTAGCTTTATCGTCGCCAGAATATGGTAAAGGAAAATATTTTGAGATTCGTGAGATGTGAAGAGGTAAATGGAAATTTTAGGTTAGACGAGAATGGAAAGTGTTGAGTATGAGAGTTGGGATTGATGCTAATAGGAAAAGAAAATAATGGGAAAATCGTAGGTTTTTATAATGCACGTACTCGCACAAGCCAAAGTTATGAGCCTTCTTTTACTTTGTTATGAAATCATATCGAATGATGGGAAATGCAAATGGCATCGTTTATAGATAGAACATACATCGTCAGCTCCACTGGGAGGAGGTTTAGCCGGTTTGTTGCCGTCCCCGGTGTTTTTACCCGGGGCTGGCCGCAGTTTCTTCTGCGGAGCCTTCGCCTCGGCGTTGTCATCATCGGCTATGGGCTTGGTCTGCTCTTCGCCCTCTTCCTTCTTCGGAGGTGGTTTCAGCCGCGAACGTATCGAGCTGACATCTTCGACCCGATCTGTCTTGACCTCTGTGGTCGACTTCACTTTCTTCTTCACGGTCGTGGTGCTGTCCTTGCCATTTTCGGCTTTCCCATTCTCTTTGCCATCCTTTATGGTGCTCTTTTTTCTCTTTGTCACTTTTTTCACCTTCTTGGCGTCTCCCTTAGAGTCCTTATCCATCTCTATGGACGCAATACTCGACATTGAATCGCTCCTTTCAAGAGAACTTTTGCTCAGAAGACTACTTTGACTAAGATCATCCCTCAGCTGAGGCGGAATCGGGCTGGGACGGGCCTTCTTCGGATCAGCTGACACTTTCTGCGAACTCATCTGCTGAAAAAACACAAATGCACATTTGGACACACATAAGACGAGTACAACAAGAGGGTCACAACCTGTTCTTGATCAAGATCCTCCTCTGACGTTCTCTCTTCTTGGAGAATCCTTGACTTTGACTAAAACACATCACATCTGGACTGATACATGAACAGGACAAGATATAACGTTTCGACGCAAGGACAATGAATGAAAATTGGTGGAAGGAGCTTCTTGTTCTGAGAAAGGATGTGATCAAACGTAGAGGAGAAGTCATCAAGTAGATGGAATCGTGTTCAGATAGGAGTGAGTGCTCTGCTCCTGTGAGGACTATAAATGAATCCTATGCTTGCGCAAAAGCATATGAATATTTAAGATTCAATATGATCGGAGCACCAAATATGAGATTTAACAGGAAAAAAATTAAGACTTTGAGATTTTGTCAGTGTTTTCGCGATTTCTTTGAACACTGCATTTGAGGATCTGCTATATTTTCGGCTCAGCTCTGCTTCCACAAAGTTGACACCGAAAGACAATAAAATCAGTGTTGCACACTTATCGCACTCAGTAAACAACAAAGCGGATTCGCGCAGCCCTCGAATCGTGGCTATCACGTGTAAAAAAGTGCTCGAGAGGCTTTATCTTTTCACTTATCATGTGTTTGATTCACCTCGTTGTCTTTTGAGAGCAAGTTATACAAAAGCAACTGCAATCAGCAAGTGGAGTCTGATCTATCTTGATGTTTGCAAAAAATTTTTAGAACGAAATTATTTTAGCAGCGGGAACTTCAAAACGAATTTTCATAGTTTAGAAGATGCAAAAATTAATACAAAGCTCTTGCGTAGCCGAATCATGAGCGCTTCGAAATATCCAAGAAGATGCCAAAAATGCACTCTTAATACCCTTTACGCGCAAGTTGTTGTCGTTACCGCAAAGTCACTATGACCGTCGAATCTACCAAATTTTCCATAGATGGGATTCCTAAGCAGAGCACTCGCAGCAATGCCAAGTGGTAACAGAATATTTTACGTTTGTAAGTTGGGAGACCATTGAAGGCTTTTTTTGAAAAAAAGGCTAGTTTGTTGAAAAAATTTGCTTTCAGGTTAAAAGACACCTCTTTTCATTTCTACCTAAACTCACTGTTCAAATTAAGACAACAGTTTGATGTTCTTTGAGTCTTATGTAACTGTCTGCTTGTTCACTGTATATCGAAAAGACAGGAGCATAAAGAAATGGGAAAGGCAGAAAATGCAGAGGGCCGAAATATATGCATTCAGGCATCATAGGAGCAAGCTAGATCAGCTGATTAAGCTTAGTGATGTTTGTGGTTGAATACAGCAGAGAAGTGATATGGGTATAGGCTGTGCCCGGATAGGTGGTCCAGACTAACTGTCGGCAACAAAAGTATATATCGAATCGAAGTGAAGAAGACGGTGGATGAGACACGACAGCACAAACGGCACAGTACAATGCGAGACACAGAGAGCGGTGTCTGCGTGTATTTGCGGATAACTTAGAGATACAAAACTGTTCGCTACAGTGAGGACGAATACTCGACACGGACGCATTCCACCGGGGCACTCGACGGCCTACGCCCCCCGTCTTTGCAACTGTCACGTATCGAAACCCCCTTAGCAAGCCCCGCATCTCACTATTCACTATGACCCGAATATTTTCGTATACACGAAAACGAACTAACCTGAGATACTTTGCGAACTTTACTAGAACCAGAAAACGAAGGCAGTTCGGAGATCGACTCAGTGATCTCGTCTTCGCTTTCCTCGCCGACACCAAGTAGCTCACGTCGTCGTTCCTCAGGAATGGTTAGTCCTGATGACGGAATGTCATCTGCTTGCGAATCCTACAAAAAGCACCATAATTTTCTTTACATCAGTAATCATTTGACCTAAGCTTTTGAGTTGGGAGGTGTAAGTTTTTCCTAAAGAATTTTTTGAATGTGCTTTAAAGTTAGATTGCTTTGAATGCTCCAGATGTCACTTCTCCACCTGAAAAATTTCATAGAAATAATGTTAGGATCACCCACTTAGTGACCATTCCTCATGGCCTTCATATTTGAAACTACTTCGTATCTCAATCTTAACTTCCATGTCGCGGTTAGCGCAAAGGAGAAAAAGGGTTGAAGTGAATGAAAAAAATCTCTTTGATCTCACTCTAGGCAATCCGCTTCGACAGGAAAATTCAAGTGTTTAAGCAGACACCACAAAATTTCGAAAACTGGTTTGAACGAAAAGTTCAGATTTCGAGAAAAAGGTAAATAATAGGAAATAGTCAGCATTCACACTTTGTAGACCTGCGACTGCTGCACATTGAAATCGGTCTTGAAAAGAAGATTTTATGTGCGCTGCATGTTTTTACTTTAGGACTGAAGTTTTGTCCAGAAGAGTTTCTGGAAAAAACTGGGGTTTCCCTTTGTGCTGAGCTCAGTTCGATGGATTCTTGATCCAAATTTACCAAAATGAAGAGTGATTATTCTAGAAACAGAATGATTGCAAATGTTATCTTATTGGAATGAAACTGAGAGGTAGGATCGACTGTGACAAAGCCGATGATGCTTCCGGTGCCATTGGATGTTTGCTCATCCAATCAACCCTCGCTCCCGCTTGCCTGCCCTCTCACTCGAACCCCTCTTCGATTTTTTTCAACGATTCGTTGAACGAGATCGTCACAAACCGGTGGATCACCATCGAAGTACTGTCAATTCTCTTACCGCGATCAATGCGTTTCACTCAAGGACCTCAGTCGTTCCTGAAGTTCTTAGCCAGGGGACGGCTGCAGAGTGGAAATCGGATTCGTGGAAAAGGGATTTCCGCTTGTCACTCTAGGATTTTTATGTTGCCGCTGTGAGCTTCAGCTGTACTGGGCTACTTGAACGCGATTCTGTTATTATGCCCAGTATTTTGATGCTCTTCTGGGTTTCAGCGAGGTAAAGAGGAGGTTAGCAGTGTTGAAAAGTGCGTGTGTAATCACTATGAGTTGCATTATTTATTTCTTGCTTTCATTGTTTAGAAACGATTATCAGCTTGAAATTTGCTGACTGGCCCTTTTTGATTTGAGCACAACGGTCTCTTATTACGTCTAAAAGTTTTGGCATACAAATTTCCAAAAAAAAAACTTCTGGTTGTTTTTATCCAATGAGGGGAAGTAGTTCAAGTCTTCTACCACATAACAACAGGATTTTTTACCATCAGTGAAGGAATTGGCTAAATGCTAATCTAAGCTTTGTTTTTTCGTGCTGTGTGAAGAATGTAGAGATGAAAAACTCTGAATTTGGATCTACACGAGTTCGCCACTCTAATTCTTTGATTGGAAAAACGAAGTTTTCTCACTATTGCGCACGATGAGAAAAGCGAGTATCAATTCTTCGCGCCTTTTTTCCATAGGGAAATAAATTCTAGCAAACCGAATTCACATTCCAACTATCACTGATACCAAACACCGGGCCCGAATTTGTCTGCAGCATTTGTAGAAGCCGCAAAAGCGACCGAACTTATTCATTGGCCAATGTACCCTATTTTCAGGCGTATAAGCCGCACCCTTTTCATTCTAAAGGCGCACACGCCAAAAGACTGCCTGTTACGATGGGACGCGTTAAGTGAGAGCAATGTGCGAGGAAGCGACCGCTTCGCGAGGCACGTGCGCGGCGGCACGCCTGGGTCTGCTCGCGTTTAGAGCAAAAAGGGTGCGGCTTATACACCTGAAAATAGGGTAGTAGTTGGTTTAAGAGCTCCCCAAAGTGAAATAAATTTCTACAGATATGTTCTCCCGCAATTGCTCTACATTCATGAAGTAACCTTATATAGTACAGCAGTACCAGTCAGTAGCTGTCAGTGTCTACGGGCATCCTGCTGATCTTGCCATCCTGATACGAATTTTCGATAGTTGATGGCCAAGAAGTGGTTTCTCCTCCAAAAAATTGGAGTTCTTTGGAGTTCTCGGATAGAAGCGCGGTATCACATGTTCAGATATTTGAGAGATCTTGACGCAAACTCGCCATCACGAAAAGACAAAACTTTACAGTGGATTCGGATAACTTTCCCTTTTCAAATGCAAGGAGACCGGTATTCTGATTTCGGCTAATTTTTGGATGGTGGGGCCTGCCAATCATCTCCCGTGACTAGGAGTCAAGACGGATCGGATGGCAACAATCTCACATTTTGTGCTTCTTAATTCTCTGATGCTGAGGTTACAAGGCGCCAATCCCTGGGGTGGGGTGGGGACTGATTATGATGATGCCAAAAGTAAAATTCTGTAAAAGTTAATGGGAGGGATATTACACTGCTTTCATTTTGTATTGCCGCGTCCAAACCGCTTTGCATACATTGTTTGGACAAGCTTTTTTGTCCATTCTTGTATAGCAAATATTCTTTGGTTTAGAACAAGGAACATGTTGGCTGCGAGAACTTTTGAAAACGAAGCCCCGAAAACACATTTGTTGCGAAATTAAAATTTCAAAGAAATTGGAGGGGGGAGGCCACCAAATTCAAATAAAACAGGAAAGTTACCATCTCCTGAAGAAATTGATAGCAAGAGTTTCAAAAAAATTTTTCAACAGTTTTCCCTCTGCGCTCTACTACTTGAAACAACGTATCGTACCCTGATAGTAGGATGAGTAGAAGTCTTGCCTCACCATGGAAAACCCTAGAGGGGAAATGAAGAATGAAAGAGTACTAAATGCATTAGTTCTTGAAGCTTGAATTGAAATTTAGCATGAATTTTTCAAACACTTTTACACTCAACTGGTTTGGGCTTAGAACTAGACCGGTTGAGTAGCTTTCTTGGTGCCCCTCTTCAGTAGTTCCCAAGAAAGCTGCAAAAGTTGTGAAAGTGATTTAGTTGCAAAAAACAACAACCATTGTCGCTAAATACTCGCGCAGTCGTCATATAAGCGCATTATATATTAGAGTTTCACTATTTGAAGATAATCTTGGCCCAGTGAGGGGAGACAATGGTTTGATTTGGACTCTTCGCTAATAATAGAATTTTGAGCACTCATTTAGTCCAAGCCAAAAATGGGCAAAACTTGTGTACTCTCCGAGATCCTTAATAAGCGCAATCGGAAAATTTGCAAACACCTAAATCTACTCTGGTGGGTCTTTCAGATGCACTGATCCCAGCAAATACGCAAGTCCGTGAAGTAGTTGAGATGATGTTATTAGGTTTTGACTGAAAAATAGTTTTAGGTATACCTGGCCTGACTTTAAACAGTGGTCTACTGCACCGTGCAATGCTTATACGGAATTACCATCCCTAACTTGCTAATAACAATATTTTCAGTATTTTCTTTTTTCTTCTTAGGGCAAGTTTTATTCTTAATGGTGCAAAACCCTCTTCTTACAAGGATAGGGTGCCAACATTAGTCGGCTATAAAAGACGATATGTACATGATAATTCTTTTTTTTTTGATTGTGTGTGCCTTGTCTCACCTCAGGAAGCTCAGATCTACTTTTTAGTCTGCTGATTATGAATTAGTCTCGAAAACTGGTATTAATTGCTTATATCACTTTCCTATCTTTCTTACTGCTACTGTAGCCACGTGTAATCAGCATCTAGATCACCATGTGGAACATACCCGCCTTTTTTTTTCAGAAGATCCATGATGCTGACCTGTACTCCATAACTACCGTAACATATCGTATGATGCCAAGAACTAGAACCTCCTGATCAAACTTTGCTGAAAAAAATCTCAAAAACATCACTGTTTGGACCTACGACCAAGGATGAGTCATAATGACCTTGCAATGGTTCCTGAGATCTAAAAAAACGGTCTACTCGTGATTTTGTTAACATAAGTTAACAAAATGCGAGAAATGCTTGATGATGATTTCCCCTACATTGGAGCAGTTATTTTCTAGCAGTAGATGCAACAATGGCAAACTTTCTTCAAGATCAATCCCACTGTTCCATTCTCATTTGCTATATCAGTCCAAATAAGAGGTCAGGATTCGCATACCGTGTCATGAGTCAAATATACCTCATTAAAACAATTAGGTGCTTTCAAAGGCACACCCCCCCCCCAAAAAAAGGTTAAGGTTATGGGTTTGCGACGGTTTACAATAGTGGGTCTCCCCATTAAACCATTGTGGAAGTTTGAAAACAAATCGTTGTTTCCGAAGCGAGATATACGTTCCGGAATATTGAAAACTGACGGTGGCGGCGGGGCCTCCCGCCTGGCTTGAGGGCGTCCCGCCCACACACTGATTTCCTTTGACACGTTCCGACATGGAAAAGCCCGATCGGTCCGTTAGCAAACTAGACCATGCAAAATGATCCAAACTTGTGTGTGGTGAATTATTACTAAAGATTGAATGGTTTAGCTCAGTAAATTAAATGAATTTTAAAGGCAAGTTGAGATTTGGTGCACTCACAAAGTTAAAGGAGACGCTATACGCAATTCTGCTGGGGATAATCATCAATGACAAAGGGGTTGAAACTTCAGAACTAGAGACTTTGCATACAGTGGCCGTATTCATCAACTAATCCAGTAGGTTCCGGAACGCACTGGGTTCGTTGATGAATATGGCCACAGGAATTATTGGACCAGCCAAACACGAGTAATCATATTCACTAGTTGAAACAAAGCCTCTTTCCTTGATTATAATCAGACTTTGAACCGTAACTACGTTAATCTACAAACGAGCTCTTACCATGCAATTTCAGTGTCGTTGTCCTGATCAGCATATCCCCCCTCTATGCCAAGTTTCAATTGAATCTGTAGAATTATAATTTTTTCTCTAGTACCATATCCTACCGTAACCCTCACTGCAACGTCAGGATCTGGCAGACCAGCAGCTGCAATTGTAACTTACATCAATAACAACAATAGCAAAATTTGAGTGCGCCATGTTGACAGAGAGGAGAGTTAAAAGTTGCAAAACTTATCTAACAACCTAATATTTGAATTTGTCGATATCAGGTCCTTGAAAGGAGGTGGATATGTCAAAAAGCACTAAGCTAAAGATTTGGGTTGATGGGGCCTTTAACGATTTGTTGTTGTATTTTGGCACTACTTGCCTTAGGGAGCTGTATTAATTGAAGAGAAAGCGATTTGATGTTCAAGGAGCATATTCATTTCGCATTCTTATTCATATTACAAGAAAATCTTGGGCCACCAAATCCGTTTATCCTCAACAGCATTTATGTGGGGATTACACGAAAAAAAAAACAGATGCTGTTGGCACCGCAGATATCCTCTCCGGGGAAGGGGTGAAAGAACAATAAAAACTACTTATAAGTGTATAGCAGTGACTTTTCCTTCCAAAATTGATTGGCTCTAAAATTTCGTGAAAGCTGGTGACGTGGATTTGAAAGGGGATCACAGGCCACGCTTGCCAAAAAAAAAAACAGAGATTACTCTCTGTAATTTTCAAAAACACGTCTCATTCACGTCACTCGTCGTTTAGAGCCAATCAATTTTGAAAGGAAAAGTCATTACCATACACTTATGAATATTTTATTTATCAAAAGAGAAGTTGACCAACTTTGCTGAAGCCTGACAGGAATCTTATTTCTCCTAAGACAGCAAGGAAGTAAGCGCAAACTGAGAAAATTTCGAAACGCTTCGAAAATTTTTTGCATTTACGAAAGGCTAGTATGATAATATAATAACGGGCTAAGGTTGTTTACGTGTTTTTTTTTTGTGTGTGTATGTGTGTGTGTATGTCTGTGTGTCTGTCTGTAACGAAATTCGTAGAGCGAGTTCCAGCCAACGTCCTGAGCCGAAATTTTGCACATCACATGCGACCAACATAAGAGCCTACCGTGCAAACGCACGAATGGTTTTGTTGGTTGGATCCCTCAGAAACTGCGCGTCAAACGGAACCACTTGGGTTCTGGCCAGCAAAATTGGTTCCGTATTACCACTTTTTGCAAAATCGGGGATGTGTTTGGCATGCTGATGTGCAAGCCATGGACTTTAGTCCAAAAAAGTGGACAAAAGTTCACTACTTTAGGAGAACGACGCCAAAAAGAAATGTTTGCGTAAATGATTGATTTGCCATGGTTTTACCTGAGCATTCGAGAAAAATTTTGCATAGAGATGTAGCTCACGTTGCCTACTATTCCTTATGGCAGCTACCAAGCCAGAAAGAGTCCAAAAACCTATTCAAATTCGTATTTGTTCTTCTGCAAAAAGTTTCATCCACGCGAAATCACCGATCTCACATGAAAAAGCATTTTAAATGGGTAGTTGTTTACATTTTACTCGCGATGATCGGCACTGCGTGGTGAGTTTCATTGCCATCATTAGTCAAGAATGAGTAAGGCATATGAAGTAAGATCAGTGCGAGCCTCTGCGAAGCAGAGGTGACGCACTGGTATGATATAATCCCATATTACTTTCAAAAATTTCATAGATTATAAATTTTTACATAGCAGTCCATGACAAATCTGGTTGTTGATTCGCGTTACATGGTAATCAAAATATGGACCTCTGGGAAAGGGACAAAGTGTAAACTTCCGAAAACATTAGCAGCGCGGTCATTATGCCAGCTAGGCAGCACTTACCGTATCGAAGGAGTCAGAGCTCCTATGGCGTAGTGTTATCTTCGCAGGATCTCCGGACAAATCACCGCGGTTAGTTGGTGGTTCATTAAAATCGATGAGATTTTGAAATAGTTTTCCGCGTCGAGCAGGAAGTTCGGTCAGTATGTAGTTATGAATTTCCGAGAAAGAGGAGTGAGCAACTTTTCTTTGACGGCGATGCTGCTCATAGACAGAAGAATTCAGCGATTGAGATTTCTTTGGGCCTTTGTTGAAGATGATCATTGGTTCTCAAAAGGGTGAAAGCGGTCTTATCTGGTTCTTCTCTTGCAGACAAAGAGTAGAGCTAGCAAAGACCCAATAGTTAGGACCGAAGAGATTAAGACAGACAGAAGAAGGAACCACTTCGCGAGTTTCACCAAGCAGTAGATTGTTTGCTTTAAGAACTGAATTGCTAGACTGAGCCGTGAAGAAGAGCACTTTCGTGGAGAAGTGGCATTAGCAAAGCTAACAAAACACCTCTAACAACAGTACAACATAAAATCTACTCCAATCTTGAGAGCTAGTACCATGATTTTACTACCAATAACGTCAACGATGTACGCACCTCATCCGGTTCCGGCGGGATGATCTTCTGTTTTGGGAGTTCGTCAAGTGTCTTCTGAAAAAAGCACGTTTGCAGAGAATAATAGAACGATCTTGTTCAACTCACCTCCTCTTTTTGTGGGCGCGGACTTTTTTCTTTGGGTGCCTGAAACAATCAAAAAAACTGGCAAAGAAACGAATCGCCTTATAAAGTGAATGTTTGTTTGTATGCCCGTGTGTATCTGTGCGTATGTTTCGAACAGAAATGTTTATTTCTGAACTGATCCGTACCAAACTTTGCACACATGCACTCTGAGGAAGGCTCCCCGTGTCATAGGCTCCGATATCGATTTCATCGATTTTTTTGCGAAGTTTCACCTATAAGGCTGGGAGCTGATACGGGGGGGGGGGGGGTGGGAGCATGCCGCTCACGAAAACATATATGGCAGGGTACTGGCATATATTAGGTCGGTCCGAAAGTTCGCGCTGTTTTTCAGACACATGCTTGAACCACTTAGAACGAAGATAGACTAACGCTTAAGCAATATCCGAATGCAGAATTTCTTCCTCTTTCTAATGGTTAAATTCTTGTTCAGATTCACTGAATGCCCGTTTAATAATCGGTAGGGATCGCGAACCCATGATTTTCACCCATATTCAGTTTGGCTATTTTTTAAAATCTCCATTTTCAGCTTTTGGACTACCTTCGATGATTGTTGGGTAGAATTTTCTGACATCTCTAGCTGGCTTCTCAAAATTTTTGAAAATATTTTTCTGATGTCATTAAATTCCATCTTTGGGCATCTCAATTCTCACAGAACAATAAACGACTAGCAACCAAGGTGTCATTCGATGCAGCCTGTTCTCCCCTTTTGATAGATTTCTTTTCTTCCTGATTTGTGAGAAATTTGAGGATGAACTCATTATAAATTTTGTTTTCAGACGAGTTCCAGGCTGTACGCAGAAGATTCGCGATATAATATTTCGAACAGTTAAAAGCTCATTTGCTTGTTAAGATTAGTGCTAAGTCATAATCTATTTTTGGAAGCTTCAAATTCCGAAGATCTGTAAGTGTTTGAAGCGATTGTGTATTTACCTACTTCACAAAACTAAGGGCTTTTGGAAGAATTATTTTAAGAATTGCTGAAGAGTTAGTTGATGAAGCCGAAATAGTTCTTGTATCGCATTTTGTTTATTCTATCCAACTGTTATCAAAGCTAGTTCAAAAGTTGAAAATGGAAATTTTAAAAAATAGTCAAACTGAAGATGGGTGAAAATCATGGGTTGGAGATTCCTGCCGATTATTGAGCGGACATTGAGGAAGTCTGAACAAAAACATAACCATTAGGAAGAAAAAGAAATTCTGCATTGGATATTGCTTACGCGTGTTTATCTTCATTCTAAGTGGTTTGAGCATGGGTCTGGAAAACAGCGCGAACTTTCGGACCGACCTGATAGATGTGAAATGCTGTACGGAAATAGGGCTTTTATCAACGTATATTAACAGGGCCGGACGGAGTCGGCTATGCCAGCTAGTAGTCTATAAAGGATTTACTGGCTCATTTCAAGGAAGAAACTTGCTGCTAAAAGCAGTTTGACAATATCCACCCGAATCAACAAATCCATTGATGGGATTATGTAAAAATAGAGCCTGGGATTTCCAGGCCTAAAAATGACTTCAAATATTCTCCAAGCTAACTCAACTCATTTTACAGAGTGACACAAAACAAATATAAGTAAAAATGTACTGTCACAACTTATAATGATCACTAACTTGTTAAAGGTTACAAGTACCAGTTGACTCATGGTTGCTCTTGCAAGATCTTGCAAGCAATGCTGTTCAGCTTTATTCGCAGTAAGTGGTGGTTAAACAAAAGCAAATAGAATATTGGTGTGTTTATACATACAGAGTGTCCTAAAAAAATGTGAACACTGTTTGTTAGTCAATAACTCGCTTGCTTTCGCCGACCTTGAGGCACCAATCTATAAAACAGGGTTCAACTTGGGTCTACAGTATGGAGCGAATAACCAATCGCTCCTCAGTGTAGGATTACGGTATGAACTTTCAGCACATAGCGCCAGTGTGAAATAGGGCTTTTCGTTAAAAAAAATCCAAAAAATCTGGAAATTTGTGTAGCAGGGTTTTCAGGGGTGCTACTTCACTACACAACTTCTTGCAGTTTTTTCGAGCTTTCTAGTGGTGTCACATTTCTGACGAGTATTGGAAAAACAGCTATTACCCTAAACCAGAGATAACTTACGAAAGAAGCATTACGTAAAGTGCATACTTCCAAAATCAGCGACTTCGATTAGCCCAGTACAAGAGTTTCTGGTTTGTTTGGGTTTTTGAAACAAAATATCGCTTTCAGTTCCTACTGTAAGGCAAGGGACATACCTCACGCGATTTCAGTCGCCACGCGATCTGGCAATTTGCCAAATGTCTTCAAATTCAATACTAGTAAACCCCAAATGCACAGCATGTATAACTTTCGTAGGTTGATAAAATGCCCCATATCCCCTATATTCAGAAACCCCGTACGATGAGTTATGAACATTTGGAGTACTGCCAAATCGCGTCGCGACTGAAATCGCGTGAGGTATGCCCGAGGCCTAACCCTACAGTAATGCAGAAAGATCACAGATTTATCCTGTAAATCTTTTGTACCTCGCTCTACACAATGGTATACCTCAAGCTCGGCGAAAGACGTCCAAGCAAGAGATTGACGATTAGACAGTGTTCACATTTTTTGGGCCGCCCTGTATGTGAGCATTATCTCTTCAAGCGTCACCTATCACGAGGAGACAATCACTCTAGGATGTGCGAGTTGCAATGCTGACCTTGCATCATCGCGAGATGCATAGTCGACCAAATATCATGGCAGCGTTTTTGGTCCAAAAACTAGAGCTAACATGAGTCACCATAGTTAAAGGAGTCTCCCTCTTTTCAGCTTTTCTTTCTCACATTTTCTAGGAGGAGTTTTGGTTGCCTTGAATTGACTACGTGCCTAGGAACCCTGTGAAAGGTCAAAAGTTGGCGTTTTTGCGCACTAGAAAGGAAAGCTCGTGGAGAGCTTAATTTAAGATCGAAATGTGGGCCGACAGTCTTGACGGGGACTCCGCACTAGTGGCTTATAAGCAAGCTGGATATCGTTTTTGGGACAAAAAGCAAAGGGGTTTCTTTTTTGTGGCCGAAAAAACACAAAATTTGCGAATTTTTTTTTTGTGGTTGACGTTTTCTAGAGATTTTTTAGGGATTATGGTGTAGGGTCAAAGGAGACTTCGTAAAAATTCGCAAAAGTCAAGGGGGACTTCGTTTTTTGCATTTTCAACTAGCCACCTCATGCCGTACCCTGGTCTTGACTCTTGTAACGACCAGGGTACGGCTGTTTCATCCTTGAATATATCTACAAAAATTTCCATAACTGATCTCTCAGAAGCGTTCTGCAGATAAGGAAAGCAGGGAGTCAGCGTTCCATGCTCATAAGTTATTGTATATTTCATATGGAAACCCCACTTCAACTAACAAGGGAAGGATACTAACTTGGATTTGCCTTTTGAGATGAGACACATATATTTGGAATCAGCTTGGAACGCTGATTCCAAATATTTTATTACTAGCTGCTTAGCATTATTCTGAAGCGAGTTATGACCTCTTTTCTATGCAAAGTTTGCGTGCTCCTCGACCTACTGATTCTGCGGTGTCGACGTCTAGGTGGTTTTGCAATTGTGTAATGCTCCCTTTTAAGATCGAAAGAATTAATTTGATGCTAGTTAAACATCCTAGCACTTTTTTCGAGCAGATTTTCATATACACACCGTCTTACAACATTCAGAACTTCGTTAGTTATCCACACCAGCAAGCCTATAACTCGCTTCGGAATAATGTTAAGCAGCTAGGGGCAGCATATTTAGAATCAGCGTTCAAAGCTGATTTCAAATGTATGTGTCCCATCTAAGAAGGCGAATCTAAGTTATATCCTTCCCTTGTAAGAATCCTTCCATTATAAGCCTACTGCAGAAACAGTTCAATATACAAATCTCATCGGCTTTGCCCGTTCCCAGCGTTCAGTTGAGTACAGGGCGCGGCATGGAACCGACTCAAGCGGGTAACAATTTCGAGGAAAAAAGCAAAAGGGATATCGTTTTTGCAGGATCCGCGGAAAAGAGCCGCAAGCAAGCCGCTGGTATGCCGCCGGCATGCTTGCTCTACCCTAAATTAATAAAAAATTGTTTACATTCAAAACGCAATGGTTTGACACCAAAAATGCGCATGCGCGTGAAGGGACTCTTATTATGGCTTGAATATTTATGAATGCATATGCGAATGAAAGCCGTGCTGAACTTTTTTCCGAATTAGCTACGAGCAAAAAAAGTGCTTCATATCTCTCCTCTGAGCTTTATTATAGCCCTCGAAAAATTTTCATTGGTGCGCAATCCGCTCGATCGCAATGTGCGCCCTTAAATCCATCTCGGCAGAATCCATCTAAATATCTGTTATCAACCCAGGGTAGAGAAGTAAGAGTTGGGCGAGCGGGGAAATGAGGGGGAAAACTTGTGAAGTTAGTTTGAAAAGAGAGGAAGAAGGGAAGTGACTAACGGAGACTGAGGAGAAGACAAGTGCTAGACAGGGTAGGTTCAGGAACCAAAATGGAGCAAAACGCGTTTGACTCATTATGTGGGAAGTAATAAAAATTTTTTATCAAATTTCTGTCTGATAGATAGAAAAGAGAAGGCTTTCAGTCTTATTCTATTCTGGGATGGGCGACGGCGCAACCAGAAAAGAGTGAAAAGTAGCGAGGGCGGGGGCGGGTGGGAGGGGGGGGGGGGCAAAGGTCAAAGGGGACTTCGTGAGAATTTCAAAGAAACAAAAGGGGCTTCTTTCAAATCCCCTGGTTCCAGCTGGCACGGTTCAAAATCCCCTGGTTCCAGCTGGCACCGATTCATGGTTGGATACTACGGCAAAAGATCAAAAAAAAAATCAAATGCTGCTATCCCTGTGATAGAGATGCATGGTATCTGTCTACTCTTTTCCGCCAATCACATTTTTTTAATCAAAATGGGTGGATAGAAATTACTTACTGGGCTTTTACTTTTTCTCTTTCCTTTATCTGTGGCCAGCGACTGCGCGCTGATTTCATCCTCGGATTCTTTGGTGGTTGATAGAGTCGCCATCTTTTTCTCGGGTGGTGGCTCTACAGGCGTATCAAGGTCAATACTACGTTTTCGTGTGTATTCTTCATCTGGAGCATGAGACAATGATATGTGACAGTCTTGAAAAATTGCATAAAACAGACCTGATACTTCCATCTTGATCATTGCGCTGCTCTGGCCTTCACCATACTCGCAGACAGCATGACATTTGTAAAGACCGGTTTTCTCCTCAGTCAGATTTCTTACAGTAAGTCTGGCTTTATATCCGTCGAATGACTCATGGTAGTCGTCTGTCATTTTGACTTTCACGCCATCTCTGTAATATATGACGAACTTAATCGCTCTAGAATAGTTCAGTTGTACGGTCCTAAATGCATAGAAAACCTGCGACTTTTTAGCAATTCGTTAGCGGGTTTGAAGCGAATTATTCATTTTGAACTATTTTTCCGTTAGCTGAATCATAACAAACAATTGGACCAAATCAAAAAGTGCAAGAAAAAAGAAGCAAAAAAATGGCGCAAGTATGACGCTAAAACATCTCTTCCAGACTGGCGCGAGTTTGAGAATAATGATGTCATAGAAAGGAAAATATTGACAGGATTTGTGTAATACTCTAGCTATATAAAATAGCCAGGTGCTGCAAAAATTACCAACTATCTCATAAAAATTTTTGAGGAGAAACAATTTGTGGAGGAAAATTCGGTGAATTTTTTTGCAGAGTCGTGAAATTTCTGCAGAGATTTGAGTTTTTTCGTATTAACGATTCCCTGCTATTCTTTTTGTATTGCATTTTGGACGGATTGTAATCTGATTCTTTTCTGCCTAGTGGCAGAAAAGGAACGTAACAGGATATTTTGAACTGCTGTAATTTTTTGAAAATTTTATTATTTTTTTCCTTATATTAGGTCGGTCCGACAGTTTGTGTCCTTTCTCAGACCCAAGTTCAAACCACTAGAATAATGCCGGAAGACGCTTCAAACAGGATGCGGAATTCTTTCTAATGGTTAGGTTTTTGTTCAGATTCCTATGTCGCTCAAATAATCGTCAGAATCTTTAATATATGGTTTTTACTTATCCTGACTTTGGTTATTTTTTGAATTTTCCATTATCAACTTTTGGACTAGCTCAAACAACTGGATAGAGTAAATAAAATGCATTACAATGAAATGTTTTGGCCTCTTCAACTAGCTTTTCAGTATTTCACAAAATGATTTTTCCAAAAGCCCTTACTTTTGGAATCTTCGAGATAAACGACCAGTTCAACACCGATAGATTTTCGGAATTTGAAGCTTTCAAGAATAGTTTATGACTTAACGCTGTTCAACGAAGTGTTTAGCGGTTCGAAGTATTGGGTTCTAAATTTTTTGGGTTCAGCCTGGGACGAGCCTGAAAGCAAGAATTACAATGATTTCATCTTCAAATATCACGCAATCCAGGAAGAAAAGAAGTTTATCAGAAAGAGGGAAAAAAGCTCATCGAATGACACCCTGGTGACTCATCGTTTATTGTTCTGTGAGTATTGTTATGCCCAAATATGGAATTTGATAGCATTGGAATAATATTTTCAAAATTCTTGGAAGGCCAGCCAGAAGTGCCAAGAAAATGTACTGTATTGCATTTTGTTTATTCTATCCAACTAATCCCAAAGCTATGTCAAAAGTTGAAAATGAGAATTTTGAAAATAGCCAAATTCAGGGTGGGTAAAAACCATGATTTGGAGATTCTGACGATTACTCGAGCAACATTCAAGGAATCTGAACAGAAACATAGCTGTTAGAAAAAATAAGAAATTCTGCATGAACACTGTTTAGAGCGTTTGTCTATCATTATTCTAATGGATTTGAGCGGGTCTAAAAACCGGCACGAACTTTCGGACAGCCTTAAAAGAAGGTCAAAAACAAAACAAAACGACTTGACTTACTTGTACCATTCTATGATCGTAGACGTGTGACACTGCCATTCTACTTCTAGAGTAACTGTATCGCCTGGTCGGCCAGTCTGTAATCAGCTCTGGTTACTTTTTTGTGAGTTGAAATAATGTAAGATCGTTTAACATATGCATACTTTCACTTTTACCTTTCTCCTACCCACGATAAAACCTGCATCCTGCATTGTTCTACCGAATTACCGCAGGGTCTGACATTTTTCCATGGCGCGGCTGCGTGCAGTGTAATGTTCAAAAACGTAAGAAAGCTTGCTCGAAGACAGATTGCTCCACGAAAATTTGATTGAATGAACGTGACTTGGACCAAGCTCCGAAAACGTCAAATCTCAGGCAATAGAGGAAAACGTCAAAACTCAGGCAATAAAGGAAATTGCAGTTTCCAACCGAATGCTACCAAAATCATCCCATCAACAACTAAATACACATTCTTAGCTGTTTAGCTGCATTTTGATTGCTTTTGGTTAATTCTAAGTTAAAATATGAGTTTTCCTGACTAATTTGACCCGAAGCAAAGTTTTAACAAATTATACATGAATAAAAAACTTTGCGATATGTCGTATAAAACGATTCATTCGGATATAGATGATCTTATAGTAAGCATAAAAGTTTTGTTCATGTTTGAAAAAGTGTTGCATAACGAAGTCGAAAGTCCCTAGTTTTTTGGACGGTGATACGATGTTTTTGATCTTGCCGGCATTGAATGTTTTTGAAACCAAGTTTCAAACTACATTAAAATCAAACTCGGTGCGAACACTTCAACATTATCTTGTGAAGCTTCCTTCTTTGCCCCATTAAGTAGTGCCCTAGTTACTTTTCTTCGTGCTAATCCTGACACGATATTGCGTGATATCAGATGATGCGACATTATATCCCGTACAACCTAAGATGTTGTCTCTTTTCAACTCTTTTTCATGCTGTTGTTCTGCTTTGTGTTATGCTGTTTCTGTTGACTACTTGACAGAAGCACGCTTGAGCGAAATAGAACCTTTGATTCAACTGGCTTGGCGGGTGGAAGGCGGGGCTTTGTGACCTAATTAAGGTCGTTCGCGTCCGTTGCGCAATCTGCGTCTCTCTCGTGGGCGTGCTCTCTGGTCATTATGTTGTCTCTAATCTAGCCTTAATTAGGTCATGAAGCCCCGCCTCTCGGTCGCCAAGCCAGTCGAATCAAAGAGTAAACGAAATAGAACATGTTGCTTGTTTCGCCTCGTTCATTTTCGAGTTTTAGTTGAAAACGTCGTTGAGTAGATAAGTTTTTGCATTACACATTCTTTCCTTGCACCTTTGCGGTATAACCAAGCAATGCATAGGAAAAAAATTGAATATTTCGCCAAATTGAGCATTTACTGCAACTGAAAAGGAACGTTGGCACCGAAAAAGAATGTGTGATTCTTTTTATCAACGTATAAAATCCGCATTCGTTCGTCGATCCTACCGTATTCCACTGCTTCAGTAAATTTTGTGCAAATCCGAAGTGATTTTGTTATACATAACAGCAAGCAAAAGTGACCGAGCTTTTCCATTATTAGAAAGAGCTGTAAATTTCCATCTTGGTCCAAGGGGCTGCAAATTTCCATCTAAATAAGTACAAAGTTCGTATGTGTGATAACTAGCGAATTTGTTCATCAGGACTGGAATTTGAAAAGTGGTTTATACTGCAAAAAACGCAACCGCCTTATTCCTCTTGTCTCGTTTTCTTCTCTGTCAAGTAGCCCCACGATGCTCGAAAACAAAAGTTTTTGCTACATAGCCGAAAGCCGGCTTCGCCCCCCTCAAGCGCCAATCCATGCGCTAGTCTGTGTGTGACGACTGGCATGCGAAACGCCGACACATCAACACTTTACACCGATGTCGTTTACGTTCAGCGACAACGCGCAGCAGGAAGCGCTGCGTCACCATGTCGTCCCCTCGTGACGCGAACAAATGGCTACTTACCCGGGACCTACTGGCTTCCATAACGATAGGGGGTCGCTTGAATTTCTCTCTTCGGGCCTGATCTCGCTGGCTCTGCTGCGTCGGTGGCGGTGCTTGTGGCTGTGGTTGTGCTGCTTGTGGCTGCGCCTGTGGCTGTGGCTGTGGCGCGGGAGCCTGGGGCTGTTGCTTCGGAGGTTCGGCTGGTGCTGGCGATGCTGTGCGCATCTTCTTCTCTTCAGTCTGTGAAGGTGGGACAGGAAGACCTTCTGGCTTCCGCTTCACAGAGGCTAAACAAAATCATATTGTACTGAGAGGATTGGGAGACTTGGAGGCAGTGTTTAGGCAAACTTGGGTGTCTACTTTTCTTCTGTGGGTAACTGATTGGAGAGAAGCCTTACTCAGGCTACTGCTGAAACGGCAGTGTATAACTCATTCGTGGCCAAGAATTTTGAACCTGAGGTCTCGCCCAGTACCGTATTCGGAGACTCTGATAAGTACTAGAACACGGTGCCGGCCGTGACTTCAGATTAGACCCGTTACGCGGTGGGTTCTAGTCTAGGAAGTTTTCGGCCGCGGACAAATCATTTGATGTTGCCTGATTAGTGGCTTGGTAAGGTCTCCCAAAAAGTATCTACATAAGAAGCCCAGTTACCCAGACTTACCTGGGCATTGCCCCCTAAGTTGGACGGATAGAGAAGGGGGGGGGGGGGGGGGAAACAGAAGGGAAGATCTCGCTGACCTGTATCAACTTCCATCTTTGTGGCAGTCTTGCTCGAGCGGCGCGACTCTGAGACTTCTGTTTTCTCTTCTGTCGTCGTCGTCAGTTGTGTTTTTTCGGATTCCTGCACAGGAGTCGATGTTCGGGACCTGAAAAATTGTTCCCATGAGAACAACTCTTTGAGGAAGTCAACCTTACCTCATCGACTTCTTTGCTGGGGATCCTTCTTTCTCTTTCAAGCTTCTCTTTGGGGTACCCTCTCGTGATTTCATCGCTTTCTTCGGACTTCCCGGACGCGATCCACTTCGGGACGGTGGACGCGGGGAAGCTGATTCCTTGCGTTTTTCTGACGGTGAACGACGGCTCTAGAAAAAACTATATTTTCTACTGCAAAAAATTGATTGTATGTGAGCACTCCTCCTCCACTGTGCGGCAGACATAAAAGCTGTTTATTTGTGTTTGTCAGGTGTCATATCTTATCAAAACAACTTGACACTGCCAGATGCTGTCTCTATCGAGTAGCTTGATGGCTTCTGTCCCTATGAACAAGCTAGAGTCATCGTTGTCTTACGTCGAGTCCTTACGTCGACGAAATTTGGTCACTTTTCTTATATGCTGACGTACATCCGACCCCATGACAGCGTTTATGAGCTTTTGCGTTTTTTCTGCGCGTGCTTAGCATGCAAAACAGGCGGGGGCGGGTGGGGGGGGGGGTAGCAGAATTAGATCATTCATAAGTTGGTAGAAAGTTAGCAAGAAAAGGATATTCGATGCCCGTGTCCTTCCGAAATGTGTTCTGTACCGTGAGATTCTTCGGTACGGTCATCAAAGATTTTCATTATCTGCAAAACTTCATGTAAGAATCAGAGACGATTTTTTCTTTAAAGTTATAGGTGTAGGTATAGTGCAGATGTAGAAAATAGATTTGGAAACAAGATCGATTTACTACTCATAATATTAGGCTGTTCACCAAGTTTTGCAACGGAGTCCGTAACTTCTCGCTTTTTCGTATTGGCCCACTCAAATTTTGACATTGTGTAGAATGCCGTGTGAGCTATAGACTGGCACAAGCCGCTCGCTTCCTGACAATGACAAAATAGAAAAAAATCCAAGAGTTCTTCGAAAACTAGTGAAATTCGAGGATTTGTGGGATTTTAAGTGAAAATGAAGCCGTTTTCAACCTAGATCAGGCACAACACAATTAGAGGTGTGCATAAATTGTTGCTAGAGGTTGACACATCTAGCGCAGTAGAGAAGAAATGGAATTCGAAGACAACTCAAAATTTGGCGCCTTCACAAAGTTAAACGAGCCGCGGTACGCAAAGCGTAGGGATAGGGATAAGCGTCAATCACTAGGAGTCGAAGTCTCAGAATTTGCCAAAACTTTGCATGACGGAGTCATTTGCCCTCCGAATATGAATATTATATTCATTCATCAAATTAACACCTCTTTTCTTGTTTAGCGTGAGGCTCCATACCGTAAACCTACCGTAACCTTGCAAAAAGCTGCTACCATGCAATACCAATATCGTTTTCGTGATCAGCATGTCAGGTAGCCCATCCACGCAAATAAAAGCCGATTTTGTAATAATCTGCAATTTTTCCTCTCATACCATATACTTACCGTAACCCCGCTGCGACGTCGGTTTTGCACTATGGCTGCACTTATAGCTCACGTCACGATCTACATGATGGTAAAATTTGAGTGCGTCTTATGCAAAGTGAGAGAAGTTAAAAAAGTAGTTACAAAACTTAGTGAACAGCCTAATAAATGGCAGGTCAAGAATCTTTCGAGGTCTATAGTACAGTTCAAAAACATCTAGTTTCGAACAAGAATGCCAAGTAATAAATTTCATTTTACAATATCCTTACTACAGCAATCAACAGAATGTTCATCTTGAATATGTGACAAAAATATAAGGTTCTTTTTTATTCCGATGAACTACTACGTTTGAACTTGCCCTAGAACTTAAAAGTAGCGAATCCTGAGCATTTCCATTCTTGAAACAGAAAAAGCATGCGCTTTTCAATGCAAAAACTGTTGTTGGCATTACGGCGATGTAAGCTGATAAAGAGAAATCTCAAACTGTACTTTTACTACTTTTACCATTACTTTTTTTACCTACCAATGCTTAAGGTCCACCAAATCTGTTAATATCTGATTTCGAGTTCATGAGTTACTTCACCCACATGAAATTCACGATGATTAGATGTCTCTACAAGTATACGATTTTCGAATCTTTCTATTCGACTTTATATTATATTTTGGTTCCAAAAATTCCCCAATTATAAAATATCATATTACCTAAAGAGTGTACTGCATGAATATTAATGTTTCGAAACGTTCTGAGACGATTTTTTGAAACCTTTGAAGATTTATATATCAATCAAGACAAATTAGTCGGCCAATGTGACTTCACTTCCAATTATTTGTATTCAGTACACTTGTAATTCATGACCTCATCAGTTACCATCCCCCATTACTCCTCAAATCCTCGTTATTTTATTGCCTCAATTTTCTTTTATCACCCTAAACTTCCAGAAGAAATGTTTAAAAAGTTTTGTGTTTCAGTAGAAGTTCGAGCAGTAAAAGTTGCACTTAAAGAGAATTTATATGATCACCTGCTGCCATAACACCGCATGTAATGTGTTTTAGGGTCACGTAGAAGTAAGCTAACCAGATGCACTGGCCATAACTCCCGGAAGTTGAGGATTAAAAAACGCAAGCATGTGGCTCCTCGGCGATTTTATTGCGCTCAAAGATCAGCAAGTAATGAAAGTAACTAATCAGATGGGGCTCACATTGTGAAAAAGAGCATTTCAAATCTAAAAGTTGAAGGTTCAAAAATTGCTTCACCTTCTTTTCCTGTCGCTCATTTGGTTCGGGTTCCTCAAAGTTCAGTGCGAGATTGGCATTTGTCTCACCTTGCTCGTTGCGAAGATTACAACGATATTGGCCAGCATCCGAAACGGATGGACCCTAAAAACATCAGTGGAAGCACAGTCAACTTACCAAGAGTTACCCTGTTATCTTACCCTGATTTCTAATTGGCACAAGTATGTTTGATCTCCTAGATCAGTAAATATGGCGTGGTAAAGACCACCCATTTGTAGCGGTACACCATCTTTCATCCATCTGGAAATATTATATATTTTAGCAATTTTATAATTAAGATTACCTAAAACTGACTTTGCCGTCGGTGGAGTGGGACTCTTGACTTTGCATTCCATTACAATCAAGGCTCCACCGTCTTTTGGAATGATTCGTGGTTTACCAACGAAAGACGGTCCTTTAGACTTTGGTTCATCACCTCCGCCACCTCAAATACGGTATTACTGCTCACATGACCGTATTCCTACCGTAAGCTATCTGACCATTACCTGCGAAATTGAGGTTGATATTGGCATTTGATTCGCCCAATTGATTCTTTGCTGTACATTTGTAAGCTCCTCCATCTCCAGCATTTGGTTCCTGGAGAAAAATTCATGAGAATGTGATAATTGGAACATATGGCTGTGGGAGCAAAGCTGGCCGGAGAGCAATGAACAGGAATAATTGGATGAGAAGCTGGGAAACGAATAAGAGGGAAGAGAGAAAGAATGTTGTTGAGTGCAAATCTAAAAGTTCTCCGCGAGTGGCTTAGAAAGTGAATTTCAACGGCTAATCGGTAGTTATGAGGAAACTGAGTCTTACATAAAAACGGAGTGGGAGACTTGAACGCCTAACTGGCACAATCCATCTAATCAGCAATAAATTTCATTTTTTCCTTGGTCCATAAATCACGTGCTATTCAATTCAATCCTCCTTATCATTTAGTTCAAGAATCTCCTCAGTCAAAATCATAAGTTTTCAAACTTCGGTCAGCTGTTTTGAAAAATTTCTCGGAATTTTCCCTTTCAATCATTCGTTGTAACAGAAATGAGAGCGAACAGCTTTGCTCACATTCAGCTTGCGCGCTCTGTGAAGAAGCGCTTTTGCTTTTTGTTTCCTTTTTTCAGCTTTTACACAACGATAACGGATTTACACAAAGTGACAGCACAGCTTGTGTAAGTGATGAACAGACACTCGTCTATTCAAAGCAGTTAAAGTTAAGATAGCATCAGCGTTGCTCGGTCAGGCGCCAGAAAATCAAGGTTTCTGTTTAAAGAAACTCAAAAATAGCCTTGTGTAAGATTTCTATTCCTAGTGCAACTATTAAGTAGTTCTACATCCCACTTTCTCATACAAACTGAGTGGAAAGATCTTACGCAAGGAAAAAACACTTCTTATGATTTCGAGGAAATTTTCTCATGCGCTGATTTTGTATGAGCAAAAAATGAAATGAGTAAAAACCCGTGCAGCCGTGATTTATACGTCGGTTGATGTCGTGTTTGACGACATTGGGGCGTAAAAAATGGCCATCGAAGCAAATTCAAAAATATGCGCTCGACGGCCATTTTTTATGCGCGAATCACAAGCAAGTTGTTGGCATTGGCGATAGCATATGTTTCCGCGCAAACGTTGTCGTCAGTGCAGGCACATATCAATAGCAGTCTATGTAAATGGCACATCTGACCGTAGAAAAGCAAAAAACAATGAGATGTATCTCTGGATCAACTTTGAAAAGAGAGAACAATGTGCTCATAGAGTAAATAAAGCTGAAAAGTAAATGGAAGTTTTCTTGTGAAGAAGAAATATGCGAGGTAGCAGTACTTGTATATAGACATTTACGATGAAGGACTTGTTAAATTGGAGTAAAATAATTGTGGAATCTAGCTTGGGAATCCAGGGTGCAAGTTTACAAATCATGGACATATGAAAAACCCAGGTCTTATAAACGCGATTTTCCACAAGTCTCAGCTGTGCCATTTTCATAGATAAGAATTGGATTTTCGATAAGCTAGTGTAAAACTGCAAGGGATGATCTTGGGCTTCATAACTTGGAAACGAAATAATGAGCAGAGAAGAGGCGAGAAATACAATCGATTAGCCACAAACAAACAAAATCGACGAAACAGAGGTCACGCAAAGGAACCAGCAATGGCGTAGATCAAATGAGATCAATGATCTTACCTTTATGATTAAGTTGGCCTTGTAGAGAATGCCTCCCATCGGGCTGAGTACCTGTAGAACCCGAGCCGATGGCGAGATCACATTCCCGGCATGTTGCCAAGCGATTGTTGGTGGTGGATCAGCCTCCAGAAGACATTCCATCAACAGATCACCCTGAACACAGTGAATCAGGCTCGAAACTCTTAGGACCATTTATGAGAAACAATTTGTTAAAAGCGAAAGAGTCAGTAAGATGGGCTTTTTACAAAGATGTAGTAAATAATTTGCTTGAAAAAACTCTTACTTCTTAGAACAAAGTTGAAATCCCAAAATTCATGCTCTTATGTTCAAACATTACGAATTCCTGATCTTCTTTTATCGCGTTTGTTCACTTATGTTCTCTAACTTTTGATGTAGCGTATTTTATGCGTAGAAATTGAAAAACGTGGGCATTGAATTTTTTGTTTGTTTCCAGGGTAAGATTATATTAACAGTTCTTAAGAAGGAAGAACCCTCATGGGGATTTGATAATTTTCTGAGTCAGTTTTTTTGGTCTGAATATAATTTTTATCAGTCTCAAGTGGTCTATGTTCTTCATTTTTTGTTGGCAGTGTAAAACGTAAAATTGTAATGGTTTTTTGACCGATCAAATACTGCAAACTTCCAGCATATCCTACAAATCAGTGACTCTTTCTTAGCACATAAGAATTGAGAACTCGACTCTTCTAAGCAAAAGAATTACGCTTGCTTGCGTACGGTGAAGGACGGTATCGATACTGTCGAACAAACTCTTTTACAGATTGTTTTTTCGGCTTAGCTTCTTTAAAATAAGTTTTATTCGTTCCATTCCCAAGATCAAGAGCTGGGCAAGCAAAAATCCTGAAATGATGCCTGTAAGCCATTTGCCGTTTTGTCATCAGCTTTAGACAAAGAATCTGTTTTTTCTTCGTTTAAGCGCAATTAAGTCCAGAAATCAGGTAAAAAGGTCGTGACTTGTCGGGACCCCTTAACTTAGGGGGATTTTTTTGTGATCGGTCGTTTTTTTTTGGAAAACAGTTATACATATTAAAGAATCTAACGTCTAAAATAAGCTTTCTTTCATGGGGTCTTCATCGAATAGCTGCGACGGAAAGGCTGCGACGAAATGTTTCATGCTCAGAACATAATGAGGGTGGAGGCTTTCACATGCTTAGTCGTAATTTTAGAACAAAATTCTTCACTCCTCCTCCCCCCCCCCCCCTTCTGGTAACTGCTCAGGGATTGATAAAACATTAGTCGAAAAAACCTGAGTAGGCGGGCCACAGTACGTCAACTCTTTCCCCATCTGTGTCGAATTCTGCTGTGTTCTGCCTATGTTCTGCTGACCCCTAACTTTTCTTCTTTACTCCAACGGCTCTCAACCTCATTGGCATCGATCGTCTTCTCGACAGTGATCGATGATGATGAGAGTGCGGTTGTCCAAGCCGCTCGTTCGCAGCCGGATCTGCCGTAAGTACCGTTTGTCTTGGCAAATATCCGCCCGCGCCCTCTGCCATGTGCCAAAGTGTTCCGACCAAACACGATGGCGAACATAACTCGGCCAAAACGGCGATGAAAAAACGCATATCAAACACCTGGCATCCCAAAATTCCTAACGCCGATGTTGAAGCTGCTCGATCGAGGGCGAACTGGGCTGCTCCGTGCTGCCTGCTGCCATTGGCGCCATCGGGGGCCAAGTGTAACAGGAGCTGCGCTGACGATTCCGTGGTTTCACGCCATTTTTTGCACCTATCGAGTCCATATGTACGCTGTGCCAGAGCATTCCTTAGCTACCAGCTGATTTGCTGAGGTGGAATTTGCGCGGTTCTATCGCAGCAGAACCAACTTCTACTCTTGTCGCAGCAGAACCAACTTCTGCATTTTACATGTACGCTGGGCTGAGTAGTGATCATTCTTATGCTTGACAAAAACATAAAAAGAGGCCGGTAGCAGCAAAATTGCTCCAAAACAATAAACTATCAACTTCGACCCCTTTGGAGCTATCAGATCCATAGCTTTCCCATTGTTTCGGCTACTCGACGATAGTTGACCCTATTAACATTGGCTGGAGAGCAGTTGGCACGCGCAAACATTTGTTGTAGTGATTGATATCGTCACAATGCATCACCTGGGAAATTTTTAGCCCTAAGAAAAGCTGCAGGGAGACTTATTGTGATATCCAGACGAGGCATCTGGGAGAAATCTTGAGGTACCAACTATCATCAGATAACCCATGTTTTTGTGCTTTACCGCAAAAGGCTTGATCCCATACTTTTTAAGCGGATTAAACCCTCCAAAATAAGGAATACGAGTTCCCCAGATTCTTTGAATATCTCTCGAAACTTTCCTACACTCCAAGAAATCACTTTTTCTCATTCACATTGTGCTTCTGGGAGCAAATGCCATCACATTCCTCAACCGTCATAGCACCTGTTGCGTCTAAGACAGCACTCAACAAAAAGCAACTTCGTGGTTTCCGACAGACAAAACTTCCGTTGGAAAACGTGTTCGAGGAGGTGAAAATTCTGGATTTGCAGAACGTGAAAATCAGCTTCTGTAGAAAAATAAGAAGCTACACTCTGTGGTTTTGGGGTGTGTGAGATATAAATAGAAGCCTAGAGAAGTGCACAGACTAAGATTGCAAAAGATGATTTCTGAGTACCAGGTGATTTTGGGACGACTTAGAGAAACAGAAGCTGCTACAGTATTCTTGTGTTTGTTATTGTTAGTGACAACGAGTAGATTTAGGAAAGGGGGGGGGGGGAGGGAGGGAGAGGAAAAGTGAATGTAGATTTTTTCTTGTTTAGTTTGAGAAACGAGGCCTAGGAATTTTCTTTGATAGCGTTTACAGAATTTTCCATTTCTCAAAGTCGATTACTGGTTGTTCAAGTGGAGATTCTAGCATTTTTCTAATTTTTGAATGCAAGTTATTTATTTTCCTAAAGTATAAAGCTAATGGAAATTCTCGTTATACGCATTCAATAAAAGATTTTCTTCTAAATTCCGGCTACGAATTCATGAATCAGAAAAAAAATGAAAGAATGACTTTTTGTTCTGATGGCAAATATATACAGTTGGAACAATTGTCGATTTTCAAATGCACTGCAAAGTCTAATATTTCGCGAAAGAATATTTCTTGTATCTTATCCGAAATTGGAGTATTACAGGCTACACAGCTTTGCTGTGAAAAGATGAGTCTAGTGATTCTCCCAAAGAAACTCCCATCTAAGCCTAAATCCTTGGAAAATGTACTAATTCTGATTACACGTGTTATTCATATTGTTCTTCTTCCTTACAACGCCCCTCAAGCTTCTTTTCCTTCAACCCAACAGCCACATACAACCACGCCAGAATATCAACAATTTTATAGGTGATTTCCGATTTTCCTGTGAAGCCTTCATTTCATGGAAAACTTCAAAAAACAGCGAGTAAACATGCAACGAATAGCCGTTTTATTGTTACAACGTCTGGTGATTGCGCAAGAGAAGAGCCGGCAAGCGGCCGACAGGGAAGACAGCCGCGTTTTCGCCCCCTCACAAGCATTTATCACACTGAACCTATATGATTTTTCTCTTTGACCAATATGGATTGGACACATATGGGTAAAGATATTTTAGGGAATAGAAAGAGAGACGAGAAGGTTTGGGAGAGAATGTTGTCGCGGGAAGGAGCAAAGAAATGAGCGTAAAAGGCAATGCAGAAGTGCTTGAGAACTGCGAAATGGAGTAAAGGTACAAATTGTGTACAGAATAGTGAGTAATGTCTATAGAAGGTGTGGATGTGTCTTACCGTAGGTGTCTGCTGGATGGACGGCTTCTGGGTGAAGCGAGGCGCTCCAGGCATGGCTAGTACCTGTGGGGTAAGAAGGTGATCCGGGCACTTTGAGTTGCTAGATTGTGGCGCTGTAGAGTGATGAGTGAGAAGAGGAGGCTCGAGGCGATGGCCGAGAGGGGAGCGGCTGGCTGCGGGCGAATCGAGGCAAGTCCGCCCAACTAAAAATACACTGCCCGCTCCTCCGCCTGGCTGATACTGCCCGAAGGAAAACTCGGCCGCGCTCACGGCCCTGCTGCACTTAACCCGACCGGTAACGAATCACTGTGTGTCCCCGACACCTCCACGTCCGGTGCCGAGCTCGTGCCAGCGCCTTCCTCGCGCTCCTGCCCGACATGGCGACGAATTGTTTGCGTAATGTCGCGACGCTTCAAAACATTAGTGCGTTTGCAACAAAAACTCGGAGCAGTAACGATCGATCAGTTTTCTTCAGTGCTAGCTTGTCTGCTTGGAAGAAGTTCACAAGAGACTTACTCGTGCATGTAACAACATCAACACGCCTTGAGGATCCCAAATCCCGAATATGAAGTGCATAGCGCGACTACCCAGTAATGTAAAAATCAGTATCAAAAAAGCACAAACATTGTTTGTGGGTAATTCATTAACGTTTTTCACGAACCTTCAGCTACCGTAACAAAAATGGCTTCATTTACTGTGAGATTACGGTATAACTTCCAACAACAATCATCGTGCAACTTCCAAAATCTGAGAAATCTTTTTTCGTGGGGGGGGGGGGTCGGGTAAGCTAATTTCAACAATGAAGTCCTAATGGTTTGAAAAAAATTCGAAGGGTACAAGCTATAAAAGCAATTTTTCAGCCTAACGCAACTCATGTATGAGGGGTACTGTAAAGCGCAAACTTCATTACTGAACTCAACGAATCTGAATGTCTTGGGAGAATTGTTTACGTGGCGCTGTTTTGAAAATATCTGACGTAATTTTACAGTAATGGACAGAGATCCTTTATTCGCTAAGATATATTTTGATATTGGCACCAAACGCAAAAAAAAATGTTATAACACAATCACAGGTTACATGAGTAAGCTTCTAAATCAGGGACTGATTCCCTTGCTGGAGATTCAACTGTTGAATACGTTAATTCCAAGTTTTTTCTTGATCCTAGAGACGTTTATGCTATTAGCATAATCACTCTAGTAGCTTTGGGATAATTTTAAAGTTTGGATTAATCCTTCATTACTTGCAATAGAAGGGTTTCCAACTACCTTAGACAAAATCTAGACTTTGTGTTGGACACACGAGCATGTATGCGACTGTTTTCACCTGGCACCTATTAACTTCAAAAATAGCGTTTGGTATTTTGTACTCTTTCGTACCTTTTACATCAAAGTGACAATCAGGAACACCTGCACAGCGTTTTCTCCCACCTTCTTTTTTTCTTTAGTCCGAGATGAACGATGTGTCAAAGTGTCGGGAAGAAATCATCACAACACAGTTATTGGAAGTAAACTAGTTGGAAACTTTGAATTACCTTAATGATTTTCCTTTATGAATTATAGGGCTCTTTGTCCAGCGGCACATAAACTGAGTATGATTCCCTGAAAAAAAGTTATATCTTGTGCTTTTGGCTGCACCCTTTAACTTTTCAACCCTTCGCGTTACTCTCCTCCCCTCACTTCAGCACTAGAATTATTTGTAAAAGTTCTTGAGTCACATAACAACACGAAGTAAATTCTGGAAACATTCTCTAACAAGTCATAAATCATGATGGAGCAGCATGATTATATGAACGACAGAACTTCTGCAGCTAATGAGTTGCTGATTGATTGCGTGGCCAGTTTTGCACGCTTGTGATTCTGAAAATAATCACAAAGCCAATATATCGTCGATACAGCTAAGTATTTGTTTTGACAGAAGCAAATTTATATGTTTCTTTTCAAGATTACATTTATTTGTCTCTTTCGCCTCCGCGTATCTTTTTTCTAAAGATCGGAGAGCTCAGCTTTTATTAATCACCCACAGGTAATCTATGATTGCTTGGTTTATCCTTTGACACAGCAGGCGGATAGCATCTGCAGTGATTTTACATAGCAAATTGAACCATATGTTGCTTTCAGTGGACTCTTCAGATTTCTTGCAAAACACAGCCACGAGGAAAGCATCCCTTGAAAACAGAGCAAGGGATCAAGGCTCGGCACCTGCGGGAACCAGAGTCGCAGAACTTTTACCTCATTGACCTATCTAGAGTCCCTATACTATTTTCCAGAGTGAACGCTAAAGCACAGGCTAGGAGTTCACCATTACAAACTAACAGAATTTTGATTGCCTAAGGGGCTGTTTGCCGTAGGGGCTACAACTTAAAAATTTCTAGAGACAGTAAAAAAAAATGGAAGAAGGACTATGAAACCGATTTCTGCCAGTATGGAAATCGTATGCATCGAATATTGTTTAAAAAACTATGGAAAACATGTGCGCAAAAGGTCGATCCAGCTTACTTGGTATCCAGGTGAAATGTTTCCTAGTAGGTTGATGCATAATTCCTGTGCCAAAGTAGGTACAGACCGCATATTCCGGAATCTATATCCCAAATGGGATTCGATGTATCATTAGATAGAGCAAACCTACAAGGTAGTGCTTGATTTGCAGCAGCCGATCCAAGCGAAGGTTGAAGCCAAAAACGAAAAAGATCCAGGCGCTCCCAAAAAACCAAGAAAAAACTGAAAGTCCGTTCTGAAAAATCCTTCAAAATTCCTAACTTGCTCATGCATTGTCATTTCGTATAAGACTTTTTTCTATACAGTTGCTGTATTTTTCTCTCAGCTAGAAATTGAGAAAAAGAAGTCTTTCAGGTTTTTTCTAAAGCAATGCTGTGATGTTCTAGCACTGACTGTTGTATACTAAGGACCCTAGAAGCGTGAGTGTGAAATTTCAGCTTTTTATAGCAGCTGGTTTTAGGGGAAATATCGAATTTTTAGCAACTAGGCAAGAAAAATTCGGATGAGGAGAGCTAGTTTCGTCATTTCTCGTGAACTAGCTGTTTTAGAAGGCTGAAAATGTAAAGTTTTACTGCTAACGGCATGTACTATACAACTGTTAGTGCTAGAACATCTCAGCATTGCTTTAGAAAAAACCTGAAAGACTTCGTTTAATTTTTAACTGAGAGAAAAATACAGCAACTGCATAGATAATTGTCTTATACGAAATGACAATGCATGAGCAAGTCAGGGATTTTGAAGGATTTTTCAGAACGGACTTCCAATTTTTTTCTTGGTTTTTAGGGCGCTTGGATTTTTTTCGTTTTTGGCTTCAATCCTCGCTTGGATCGAAGCTGCTGCAAAATTTTAAGCATACTTTGTAGAGCTAGGTTTGATGTATCTAATGATATACCAAATCCTATTTGGGATGTAGGATTATTCCGGATTATTGCGGTCTGTACCTATTTTGATGCAGGAATTATGCATCAACCTAATGTTAGGTTGATGCATAATTCTTGCACCAGAATTTTCAAAATTCTCTTACTTCATCCAGTTATAATGAAATCTTACTTTGACAGATATTAAAGAGAGAAACTATTGCTTCTGAAAGGGCTCAACTCAAAACTTCGAGGGCATCTGGCAACGATATAAAATGATTTATAGATATATCCAAAAAGTGATTTTTCAAAGTGATTTTTCAAGTATGGTCACTAAAATTGCTAAAACGTCTACAAAAATGGATGTCTCCGCGGAGAGTATATTGACTTATTGGTTTTGTTTCAGATTGATTTTCTAAAATGTACCATAAATTACCTTTGATATATTTATATAACAATAAGCATATTCTTCAAATTGACTAGCTTGTTTAAGCGTTTTTGAAACAATTTTTTCTATTTTTTTGGTGCAAAAATTGTGCATCAACCTAATAATTGCAAAAAAGTTTCAAATGGCCTTCATTCACACAAACTTTCCAAAACCAGTCATAGTACGAGGCCCCTCATACGCATGTGCGCATCAAGTTTGATGTCATAACATCACGTGATCTTTGTGAACGAGGCATTTGCTCATTTGGGACACGATGATTCCGTGATACACTGTAACAAAATGTAGATCTGTCTGAGGCAAATTTTGTAAGTTATAACACATGTTTGCAAAGCCCATCGGAAGGCAAGTGCACCACGAGGCAGTTCAATACAAATTGCATGAATTTCGCATAAAATGCGCTATAAATATCGCTTATGTTCGCAGCATTCTAGCAATATGTTCGACAATGTGTGCAATTGCACATTTTCTAAAGTGGCAATAAGGCGCTAGTTTTTGTAAGAATTGCGAAAACTCAAACTCAAGCTGCACGATAACCATTGTACCTAAACAAAGAAGAAAAGTAGGAGGAAAGAGATAACCTGGACTCCATAGCTAACCTCATCCCAAAAATTTTGCAACTGAACACGTGAATCTCCTACGGCTTCGTATTCCAGATAAGTTGCTCATTTATACTCGCTTACAGTACTCTAGTAAGTAAAAAGTTTCGTTTTAAAGGCAGTGGATCCCCAAAATGAACCCCTATCAATTTTGGTAGTTTCAGGTGTAGACCCCAAGTACACCGTAGTCCCAACACCACCCTCCAATTGTGCTAAGTCCTGTAAAGGGACTTCAATACCCCACCGGCCCCGCCCTCTTCCAATGAGTGGACGTCATTGGTGGAGTTTTGAAGCGCTTTTTTCAGGACTTAGCGCATGAATTGGAGGTTGAGGTAGGGACTACGGTGTACTTGGGGCCCACTACCTGATACTACTTAAATCTGACAGGGGTCCATTTTGCCGATTCACTGCCTTTAACAAACTAAGTGCAGATCCTTTATGATGCGCGATTTACCCCAATAAAGAAGCAAATCGATAACAAACATCCAAGCGGTCCCTGCTGCATTTTCTTTCTTGACTGATGCCCAAACTAAAAAATCAGAATTGTCACCAACCCTTTGCGTAAAGATCGACATGCCCTCCAAACTTTTTTTTTCGACGTTTGATGCACCAACAATCTCATCTAAAACATTTTCAGGAACGGCACGTATTGGGGATTTGCTGCTTTGAATGACATCTGAAGTATACGATAACCCAGAAAAACATAACATTCTTGCTTAGCTTAATTTAACCAGGAATCTTTTGAAATAAGAAATCCC